GGAGATCAGACACCATTGCAACGTGGGTGAATAATCAGAGGGGCATCCCCCGCAATGATTAAACACCAAGGGAAGGCTGCCTTCCCGAGTCCGTGACTGGCGCCGGAGTTTTGGGTCCACGGATAAAATGTGTCTCCTTTGTCTCTACCAGAAAATGAAAGGAATTGAAATTAAGGGAGAGATTGAAGGGTGGTGCCAAGATTGAAAGGAGAAAGAGGTTGAGAGATAGAGAGGTTGGAGAAGAGAGTAAAAAGAGGTTGCTTATCCAATTTAAAATCGGTGAGATGTTCCTTGGGCTGGTTGGTCAGAGGACCCGAGGTCGTGGGTGGATCTCTTCATGGAGTGAGGGTGAGGACAGGGGACTGGTCTCCCGAAGAAGTCCCACTGACCAGGGTCTTCGGCACCAAATGTCTAACGAGTCCATGTGAAGAGACCACCAAACAGGCTTTGTGTGAGCAACAAGGCTGTTTATTTCACCTGGGTGCAGGCGAGCTGAGTCCAAAAAGAGAGTCAGCAAAGGATGGTGGGATTATCATTAGTTCTTACAGGTTTTGGGATAGGCGGTGGAGTTAGGAGCAATGTTTTGCGTGCAGGGGGTGGATCTCACAAAGTACATTCTCAAGGGTGGGGAGAATTACAAAGAACCTTCTTAAGGGTTGGGGAGATTGCAAAGTACATTGATCAGTTAAGGTGGGGCAGAAACAAATCACAATGGTGGAATGTCATCAGTTAAGGCTATTTTCATTTCTTTTGTGGATCTTCAATTGCATCAGGCCATCTGGATGGATAGTGCAGGTCACTGGGGATATGATGGCTTAGCTTGGGCTCAGAGGCCTGACAATTTATTTCAGGACAAGAATTTACCATATAATAATCTTTTTACATAAATTCTGATCCCCCTTTTTTTTCCTTTTTTTTTTTCCGAAGATGATAACCATTCTTTTCCAAAGCCAACTTCTTTTACGTTTGTGAACTAGACTAAGGCCACAAGATTAGAAGTTACTATAATACATGTTACACTGTTCACTTTTAGCAAACTTTACTTTTGTTGAAAACCTTGTAAGTTTGGGATTTTAATTATCCTTTGCTATTAATAAGACTTTGTTTTGTCCAAATTATCTTAGAATTGGTATAGATGGCTTTTTGTTTGTTTAGTTACCTGGGTGGAACCATCAATCCTCCTGTCCTGAAGGGAGTTCCTCCTAGGTCTGGTTGGACCTTTGTACAGTAATTAAGATTTAGATCCCCCGTTAGGAAACCTGCTGGGTTAAGGGAATTTTCAGTGGTTAATGTTAAATCATCTTTTTTGTTTTTTCCTAACAGAATAACCCCATACTTTAAGATTTCTGACTTAGTAAGCTACTTTTTTCATTTTTTGATTTAGGATAGTTCTGAACCGAACTAGTGAGGTGTGTTCACAATGAGGTTTCCTCTAAAAGTTATTTTTCTACTTTTTTATGTTAGCAAAGCAGTTGCCGCTGCAGATTGAATGCATTTGGGCCATCCGCGGGTTACTGGGTTAAGGATTTTTGATCTGAAGGCTACAGGTTATCAGTGGCCTCAGTGCTTTCGGGATATGCCCTTGTTGACACTGACAACAAAGTGGTATTGAAGTGTTATAGGGTTACAGAGAATACCTTGGATTATCAATTACAGGTTTTAAATTTATCTTGGCTTTTAAAGGAATAGGGTACACTATATTTTCTTAACTACTTGTATATCTGTCTCTCTTTATTCTCTTTCTCTTTGACTTTGTCTCTCTTTGACTTTCCTTTTGCCTCTGTCTCTTCCTCTCTGTCTCTGTCTCCTTGTCTCCCTCTGTCTCTCTGTCTCTTCCTCTCTCTCTTTGCCTCTTCTCCTCTCTCTCTCCTCTCTCTCTCTCTGCTGGTCTTTCCTTGCCTCTGCCAGCTGCTTATGCTGCTGTTCTCTCAACCTCTGTGGGAGGGGTCTAAAACCAGCTGTAACCAAGTGTTTATGTACGGGAACTGGTCTGGGTGCCCTGGCTTACAGGTTACTTTGTGTTATACCTTTGAAACAAGGGACCTGTCCAGGCTTCCTTCTGATGGCCAACCCACCTGTAATGCTGGCCAGTCTATCTTACACAAAGTTTTAAGTTTTCCTGGTGTCATAGTACTCCATAGTCTCCCTTACATCCTTTCTTGAAAATTTTCAACATAGTTCCTAGTGGGGTGGGCTTACTTTGTGCCTCACCCATGTCTCCTCGAGACAAAACACCATACTGACACCAGAAAACAAAGAACAGGTAAAAAGGGCACACACACACTTTTACAGTTTATGCCAAACCAGAATCAAAACCAAAATCAGTGTGTCAGGAAATCGAAGCCAGGTCAAAACCAAAACCAAAGTATCAAGCAATCCAAGTCAAGTCAAAAACCAAAACCAAAGTGCTGATAAAGGCACACCATGGGTGATCAGGCCACACGCTTCCACTCAAATGGAGTGGGCAAGTTCCCAAGACTGGTCCCGTCAAGCAGTTCAAACCAAGTCAAAACCAAAACCAAAACCAAAGTGCCGATAAAGGCACGCCATGGGTGATCAGGCCACGCGTCCACTCAAATGGAGTGGGCAAGTTCCAAAGACCAGTCTTACCAAGTTTTAGATGTCGGGACTCCAAGTGCCCATTCCTTCCCGGTGTTCAGCCACTGTGTTGATCCTCCACGGGGGCCTGCCACGCACTGCTCTGACGAGGCGTCCCACCGGGGCAAACGCCTACCCAGGAACGCTCTCAGGATCCGCGTCACTCGAGCTGGTCGGAGTCCCCCGCAGGGATTTTCCACAGGGCAGGCTTAAGCCGTCTAAGGAGCTGCCTTGACCATCCGCCAATCGCCTCGCTTCCCGGTCAGGGAAACAAGAAATGTAGCAGGACAAACTGCAGACAAAACTCCTCAGACACCGAGTTAAAGAAGGAAGGGCTTTATTCAGCTGGGAGCTTCGGCAAGACTTACATCTCCAACAACTGAGCTCCCCGAGTGAGCAATTCCTGTCCCTTTTAAGGGCTCACAACTCTGAGGGGGTCCATGTGAGAGGGTCGTGATCGATTGAGCAAGCAGGGGGTACGTAACTGGGGGCTGCATGCACCGGTAATCAGATCAGAACAGGACAGGGATTTTCACAGTGCTTTTCTATACAGTGTCTGTAATCTATAGATAACATAACCAATTAGGTCAGGGGTCGATCTTTACCGGGCCCAGGGTGCCACGCCGGGCAGTCTGCCTGTGGATTTCATTTCTGCCTTTCAGTTTTTACTTCTTTCTTTGGAGGCAGAAATTGGGCATAAGACAATATGAGGGGTGGTCTCTTCCCTTAGTAGGACCCTTTTAGTAAGTTTAGGTGTGAGGGGAGGTGCAGTAGGGCTGAAGGTGTTTTTTATGGGCTGTGGAGCACCTGAGCAGGGGCAGCCTGGTGGAGCACTTGCTGGACCCAGGGCCTCTCCTCCAGCCTCTCCAGCTTCCCTCTGCTTCAGCCCCAGGTTGCCTCCCCATACACCCTCACCTCCTCAAAAGGGCTGTCCTACAGCGAGGGTGATTAGGTGTGACTTTTGACCAAAGTTGCTCTCTTGGGGAAAATGCACTTTCCTGGTGCTTGTTTTTCCAGCTGGAAACAGGATTCATAATGCTAATGGTTGAACTTAATGAATGAACGTGATGGGATGAGAATAATGCAGAATACAATATAAATGCTAATCATGGCTTGTATTGTTATTCAGCTCAAGGCTCAGGTTTTCTCTGGCCACCTCCTCAGTTATGTAACCTTATTACACTTCACACTTTATGTATCAAATCAGAGCTGTTTTCCTTAAGCACATTAGTGCATGTGGGCATGGCTAGACTTGGGTGGCTTTACCTACTTGGCCCTGAGCTGACATTTTCTTCCCAATATTTATCACTGGAAGTTTGTTTCTAAATTGGAATTGCCTGAATATATAGGAATAACTGAAATAGCTCATACCCGTCTCAGCTAACACACGACAAAGTCTTGTAACTATTAATGAAAGGTAAATAATTTGCACACACAATAATGTCCTTATGTGATTTTATTTTATTCTTTTTTTGAGACAGGGTCTCACTCTGTCACCCAGGTTGGAGTGCAGCGGTGCGATCATAGCTCACTGCAGCCTCAAACTCCCAGGCTCAAGCAATCCTCACACCTCAGCCTCCCAAGTAGCTGGGATTACAGGTGTGCACACTCGACTAATATTTTCACAGTCAGGTCTTAAAGAGGATATAATCAGTTGTGAAGATTTTTAGGTAAATCACCACCAAGGTAGGGCTGAAAGCAGAAAGAACTCTGCAGCAGGGAACTGTCCAGGGAAGCGGGTATGAGCCGGAGTGAGGATGAATAAAGGGTTGGGAGGGGGAAGGTCAGGGTCGGTGATGAGGCATCCATGGCGGAAACAGAAACTGCAGGGTGAGGTGAGGCTGGCGCAGGGCAGACAAAGCGAGTGTTCCCGTGCAGGCCAGCATGCCTCTTCTTCTCGCCTGGAAGAGCCTTTCCTTTTTGGAAGAGAAAATGCAATTTTCCCCCTAAAGGGGCATTTTTAGCACTCAAACGTAAGTGGGCTCCTGGAAGGCTTACTGTTTATCTCTCACCCCACAAGTGGACTCATGGGTGAAGTTAGTTAGCTCCTACCTGTACTCCTGTTAGCTGCAGCCCTGCTGTTTCCAGTGAAGTCATTTTAGGCAGGGCACAGGGGGACTCCTCTCTGAGGCTGAGCTGTAAGCATTTCAGTCCCAGACCGGCTCCAGGGAGTGGCGCTCAGCTCCACTGTGGAGTCGCCGGGCTGCTGTCATCTTGTCCAGAGGAAAAGTTTACCATCTCACATTCGACGGCAGAGCGTGCTTTCTGTCTGAACAGTCTGTACATACTTCTTCATGGGTGCTTCTAAAGGACATTTCCACAAACAACAGAAACGATTCCCAAAAGCCTCGTTGATGTCTATGTGCCATAAATAGAAGCTCTGCCCCCAGAGAGGAGGGTTCTTTAGCAGCAAAACTCTGGTTTATTAAGACAGGTATGACAAGTAAAATAAAATTCACTTTGTTTTGCCTCTGCTAGGCCAGTATATTTATGTACAAACAACATAATGCAAGATATGACAGTTAAGGCTTTGAAGCACAGCGTACAAAATGAAACAGTTTAAAACTCTTCATAAAAATGGGAAAAATTCCCAGGCCAAAGGAAAAAAAAAAGCCTTAACAGAAAGAGGCTGACAGTGGACTCCCTGCTGCTGAGGTGTGGCCAAGCGAGTCTGGGTTTGAGCTGCCACCTCACGGCCAGCCCTGAGGTATCAAAGGAGCTCCGAGTGCAAGTTTGAAGACTTCAGCAGGCCAGCCCCTGGCCCCCACACCCGCTCACAGGCAGTCGGAATGCAGATCTCGGTGGCAGGTGGCTCTGCACAGTCCAGAATGATAAAACAATCACGGATGACTAAATGCCAGGGACTGTGTAAGTCAGTTCCTGCCTGCAGTCTGGGTCACTCTGCCCTTCATCAGACCCTGTGGCGGCACCATCACAGTGAGGAGAACGGAGCACAGCTCCTTCCGTGCCTCCTGCCAGCGCTGCGCAAGGTGTGCATGGCTGAGTCCTGAACAAGCATTTTCTATTTTTGTAGCTCTCACTCCTTGGGCCCAATTTCAAGTTAAGTCGTTAACTCGTTTAGAATGAATATTAAGGATACTGCCTCTAACTTATCAACAGCTGTGCTGAGCTGTCTAGGAAGAGAAATTAGTCCAGAGAGGTCCTAAGTATCAAAGCAGATTTTGGAAAGAAAAAAGGCAGCACTTCAGTGAGAAAAGCAGCACGAGATCCGGACCCGGGGACTCTTCCCTCTTTCGGAAACGTAACTGATTTTGATGTGCTGAGTCTCAGTTTTTATGCCGTGGCCGAGAACCACACAAAGGACTACATACTCACACAAGCGAGAGCACGCTGAGACTGCATGTTTATTTGGCATAATGCCACAAAAACTCCCCAAAGAACTGCCAGAACCAGGCCTGTGACCGAGTTTACAGTCATCTAGTTTTCTCTTACAATTTCAAAATATTAGATCAGAAGAATCTTTGGTGATTAGTCCACTCTCCATTTTAAGCATGAGGAAACCAAGGCCCTGATGGTGTCCCTGGTCCAAGTCCAGTGCTTTTCACAGTGAGGCTTTTGGCTCTGACCCTCTAAAATCGGTCTGTGACTCATTGGGAGGGCGTGGGTCAGATCTGGTTAGTTTGATCTTAAGGCACTCATAAAATGCCCTGATTTTTCTTGTCTTTGTGAGAAGACGAAAAACAGTCTGGCAGTTTTTCACATCATCTTGGAAACCCAGAAATCTATGTACAATACTCAGAATTTAAGGGAATGGAAGAAAGAAGAAAATGAGATTTTCTTCTGTGAGTACAGAGTTAGAAAAAAAGGGGTGGGCAGTGCCAGAGGCGAGCGGGCACAGATCATTGCTGCGAGTGTGGCTGAGCTACTTGTCTCTTGGAATGTAAACAATATTGGTTTATTTCCAATTTCATCTAATCTTCATTGTCATTCCCAATGAACAGTACTCATGAGAAAGTTTCAGAACATGTACACACATGGTCCAGAAACAGCTCGGCCTTCAAAAAGCTGTCAGCTCATGTAGCACGCCTTGGTCTTGAATTCGGTACTATGCTGACAGCTTTCCTTCTGAATGCAAAAGCACCAGTCCGTGATGAAGTCCACACCGCAGGAGAGGAGAGAGGAGCCTTCTCTCCCACGCCATCCGAAGACAGCTGAGGAAATAATTCTATCTCATTTGTCGATCCCGTTTCAGCACAGCAGCTGTTTTCCACACTGAGACACAGCTGGCGAGCAGTATCTTTTCTGGGAACTGAGATTCCATTTCAGGAAGAATTTCATTTTCTTTAGTTTCCATGTAACTTACCAGAGTGTCTCTCAGGCTGAAAAACGAAAGAATAAGAGAGCATTTAAAACAGTCTCCTCAGCACAGTGGCTCATGTATTGTAAGCCCAGCACTGTGGGAGGCTGAGGTGGGTGGATCACTGGAGCTCAGGAGTTCAAGACCAGCCTGGGCAACATGGCGAAACCCTGTCTCTAGCAAAAGTACAAAAATTAGCTGGGCATGTGGTTGTGTATGCCTATAGTCCTAGCTACTTAGGAGGCTGAGGTGGGAGGATCACTTGAGCCCAGGAGGTAGAGGCTGCAGCGAGCCGAGATTGCACGACTGCACTCCAGCCTGGGCCACAGTGAGATCCTATCTCAAAAAAAAAAAAAAAAAAAAAAAAAGTCTCCCATATAACATAAGGGGACCAGTCAGTCCCCTCATGTCAGTTTTTCCTGTTGTCATCAGCAGAACCAAAATGCTCATTAAGACTTAAATCTTAGCCGCGGTGCTCAGCCTGTATCCAGCACTTGAGGCGAGGGGCGATCACAATCAGATCGAACACAGTGAACCCGTCTCTACTAAAATACAAAAATTAGCGGGCCGCGGGCGCCTGTGTCCCAGCTACTCAGGAGGCTGAGCAGGAAATGGCGTAACCAGGAGGCGGAGCTGCAGTGGCCGGATCGCGCCACTCACTCCACCTGGCAACAGCGTAGACTCCGTCTCAAAAAAAAAAAAAAAAAAAAAAAAAAAAAGACTAAAAATCTTAGGCTGGGCGCAGTGGCTCACACCTGTAATCCTAGCACTTCGGGAGGCTGAGGTGGGTGGATCACTTGAAGTCAGGAGTTCCAGACCAGCCTAGCCAACATGGAGAAACTAAAAATACAAAAATTAGCCAGGCATGGCGGCGGGTGCCTGTAATCCCAGCTACTTGGGAGGCCGAGGCAGGAGAATCACTTGAACCCGGGAGGTGGTGGTTGCAGTGAGCTGAGATCACACCACTGCACTCCAGCCTGGGCGACAGAGCGAGACTCCATCTCAAAAACAAAAAAACAAAACAACAACCAAAAAAAACAAATCCTGAGGAGCAGTTTAAGGTCAGTCACCTGAGTTCCTGAACTGAGACTAGCATCCTGGGTTGAAGGCTCTGGTTCCTGACTGCTGCTTCCCACATGCAGTACACAAACACGATAGAAGCCCACGGAACACCCTGTGCCGGCCCCTTCATGTGACTTTAGGCCCTCTAGCAAGGTGATGTTTATTTATAGGGTTGCTAAACAAGGCCTCACCATTCAAAAAACCTTGTATTCTATCACATGTTTTTCATTAACAAAAGATGGGAAATTCTCTAGGAAAGGGATCTTTTTTATGTACATGAAAAGTACAGGCTAGTAAAGACTTACTGAATAGGTTCAAATAACATACATGTATATAGGTATATGCCACATAGCATAATGGAGGAAAATAACAAATAGGAAACATATTGGTGAGGAAGACTGGAGTTTGATGATCTAGTCAGGAAAACATCAAGTTAAATCCTTACTTCACACCTAAACTGGTGAACAAGTGTGTGAAAGCACAAAAAGAGAGAGGACAGGCCGGGTGCGGTGGCTCACACCTGTAATCCCAGCACTTTGGGAGGCCGAGGCGGGCAGATCACTTGAGGTCAGGAGTTCGAGACCAGCCTAGTCAACATGGTGAAACCCGTCTCTACTAAAAATACAACGAAATTAGCTGGGCAGGCACATGCCTGTAGTCCCAGCTACTCAGGAGGCTGAGGCAGGAGAATCGCTTGAACCCAAGAGGCAGAGGTTGCAGTGAGCTGAGATCATACCATTGCACTCCAGCCTGGGTGAGGGTGAGACACTGTCTCAAAAAATGAAAAATAAATAAAGGCAATTCAGAGGATGATATACAAATGGCTGATGAATATAAAAAACGTGTTCAGCCTCACGGTAAATGGGAAAATACAAGTGAAAATGAGATAGCATTTTGGCCATTAGATTGGCAACATTGTAAAACATGGATAATATCCAATGTTGAGTATTCTCATACACTTTTTTTTTTTTTTTGGAGACGAAGTCTCCCTCTGTTGCCCAGGCTGGATTGTGGAGTGCAGTGGTGCGGTCTCGGCTCACTGCAATCTCCACCTCCCAGGTTAAAGCAATTCTCCTGCCTCAGCCTCCTGAGGAGGTGGGACTACAGGGGAGTGCCACCACGCCCGGCTAATTTTTGTGTTTTCACCATGTTGGCCAGGCTGGTCTTGAACTCCTGACCTCAGGTGATCCACCCACCTCAGCCTCCCAAAGTGCTAGGATTGCAGGGTAAGCCTCCACTCCCGGCCTAGTATCAGATTTAAAATGTACCTCTCTTTGACATAGTCTACTTGTAAAAATTAGAATATATGACTTGTAGGCTGGGTGTGGTGGCTCACGCCTTTTCATTCTAGCACTTCGAGAGGCCGAGGCGGGCAGATCACTTGAGGCCAGGAGTTCAAGACCAGCCTGGCTAACATAGTGAAACTCTGTCTCTACTAAAAATATAAAAATTAGCCAGGCATGTTAGTACACACATGTAGTCCCAGCTACTTAGGAGGCTGAGGCACGAGAATCACTTGAACCCAGGAGGCGGAGGTTGCAGTGAGCCAAGGTTGCAGTGAGTTGAGATTGCTCCACCACACTCCAGCCTGGGTAACAGAGCAAGACTCTTGTCTGAAAAACTTGTGTACTTGCTTAAAGAAAACCCAGCAGAGATTAAAACCAAAAAGCTAGTTCTAAGGTGCCCCGGTAATGGCAAAAAGCAGGAAATGGGATCTTGTGGTAAGAAAATAACTACTTCTGTGTCTATGGAAGATCACAGGAGAGACAGCAGAACATTGTGTCTGCCCCGCCCCACAGGTGTGCAAATCCATACCTCCACTCAGGGTTGAAGCTCCCCTCAGTTTGGGGGTTCTTTAGTTTCAAGATGATCATTTCGTGCAGCTCCAGCAGGAAGGCGTCTAGGCCAATCTGATTTAGGAATGTGCTGAGGAGCTTAGCATCGTCTAGGCTCAGATCTGCTTTGTATCTTGAACTGATTTCCCCAAATGGCTCCTAAAACGACGGAAGAGCAAATGAAGCATTAAAGACTGCAGGGAGAAGGGAGCGCAGTCCCTCTGTCCGGCGGAGAGGAAGAGACCAGACTTACTTTCTGCAGCCGCAGCAGCTGTTCAGACTTATAAGCAGACAGGAACTGCCAGAGGGCAATGGTGTGTTTTAACTGGCATCTGTCTAAGGCCTGCAGAAGGAACAGAATTCCTGAATGGGGGCTGAGGTCTCACACCCCCACTCATGCCATGTGCCAGGGAGCCCGAGTGCTCTCCATACAGGTATTCTTCTCTTCGTTCTGCCCTGTACTAATGTGATCTCCCTCCTTGTGAAGGCCATCTCTGTCCTATCTACCTTCCCTCCTGTGGCACCTCAGAGTCCACTCACATCACACAGTTTGCAGGGGCCTCATGTACTCAGTCACATTTGGGCTCTATCTAGACTGCTGGCATTTCTAGCATGTGTCTGTCTCTGCTGTCCGTGGTGTGTCCTGTTTACGCTGGACTGACTGGGTGAGCGGTTGTTCTTGTCTCCCCGTCCTTTTCAGGAGCACCTAGAGTGGCACTCCCTGAATGCTCCTATCCCTCGCAGGAAGCAGGAGACGAGGGTGAGGGGCTGTGCTGATTTCTTTTTCGGCGTGAGACCCACCTTTGACACGTGAGTCGTCTGATCACCCATTCTCAGGACGTCTTGAATATACATATTCAGGTGCATGTTTGGATCCCCACCAGCTGTGCTCAGAAACCCCAGAGTGACTTCTACGACGGACAGCGCTTCACAGGCATCGCTGTAGGACTGCAGCTGTCCACTGATGGCACTAATGACCGAGCTGGGGAGGGAGTCCTGGGAAATGAAAAGCAGGGAGGGATGTCTGTGGGCTGGGTTTCTGGTGTCTCACCCCCTGGTAAGAGAGCTGAGCCCCTTCACTGCCCAAGCCACGTGTGGGGTCAGCTAACAGGTGACACTTGGGCACACTGTGTACAGGCAGTTTTCCAGACTTTCCATAGAAATAGATACAAGGGCAGTGAATCTTCAAACAACCCTGGAGGCCACGGAGACACACAGGTCTACCTATCAATACTGGCATGCAGAGAGCAGGAACAAACTGGTTCCATGGACTTTCCGCTTCAGCAGGCATGGCCATGACATCATTTCTGAGAATCAAACCCACAAGATGTCAATCTGCTTTTACTCTACAAGAAAACCTGCTGATTTGCTGTCTTGCTTGCCCTCCGCAAAGAGCACTGGGCTCTTAAGGAGCACCCTGGGGTCCTCAGGGAGGCCGCAGAAACTGCGGCTCACAGCAAACACCCGGGGCAAGGCTGGAGTAGGCCTAACATGGAGGAAAACACACTGAGAAGGCAGAAAGCCCCATGCAAAGGATAAGGTTTATCGGGATCACCTGCGCCATTTTGTTCTTGATGTCCATAAAGAGATGTTCGTAGTTCCAGTCGTGTCTGTATACCAGAGTGGGTATTCCCTAAATTGAGAAAGAAAAAAGGTTTTTAAAATTAAATCCATTGTGGACATTTCCATCAGATGACAAACAGAATCTGCAGCCGGAACTCCAGCGTAGTGCCGCACTGCCCAGTGTATCCCTCGGCAAAGAGCGCCCCCTGTCATTAACCCACCATCTATGGAAATAGGAACACAACCGGGAATCCAGCGAGCCCCCACGGCCAATTACATGACAAGATATTGGCACGTCATCGTGGCCGGCTTCGCCACAGGACGTGCTAGGGCAACAGGTATCTGTGCATATCCCATTCATTTATTCATTCAGTCACTAAAGGCACAGACCATGCACAGGCAATCACTCTGCCAGAGGACACGGCTGTGAGAATGAATGAAAAACAGCCATGGGCTCTCACAGTTCCTGGCCTAGTTGCAGGTGGTACCGTACATAAGTACAGTAGATTTGACTGTAGCTGGAAGGAACAAGTGCTGTCCAGGTGAAAGAGCAGAGATGGGAAAGTGCCTGCCGTGTGGCTCCAGTGCGTGAGGTCACGGGATGCAGTGCAGGGAAATGGGCTACGTGGCTGGAGGCAGGGCTGGAAGGTTGGGCTAGGCTGAGCTACAGGGCCTCCCATACCAGACAACAGTGTCTGCTTTATCCCGTATGCCGTGAGAGGCCAGGCAGGGCCATCTGGCACAGAAAGAAGAAAGGCAGATGTGGGTTTTGGGCCATGGACTGAAGAACCTGGAGGTGGGGACCAGTTAGGAGTGGCTAGCAGTCCAACTTACAGGATGCTTTTAACTGCAGAGTGGGCTTTGGCAGTCAGGTGAGGACACACAGAAGGCACAGCTAATCGCACCTGCTGGCAGGTTACCCATGGAGGCTGAAGGAGGAGGGTCTGTGGGAGTGGTAGTGCCATTAACTGATGGAAAAACCTAGATGATGAGGCCATCAAGACCTCAACAGTCAGCCAGGTGCGGTGCCTCACACCTGTAATCCCAGCACTTTGGGAGGCCAAGGTGGTGGGTGGATACCTCGAGCCCAAGAGTTGAGACCAGCTGGGCAACGTGGTGAAGCCCCATCTCTACCAAAAAATACACAAATTAACTGGGCGTGGTGGTGCACACCTGTGGTCTCAGCTACTTGGGAAGCCGAGGTGGGAGGATCGCTTGAGCCCAGAGATGGAGGGGGGTTGCAGTGAGCCAAGACGGCACCACTGCCCTGCAGCCTGGGCGACAGAGTGAGACCCTGTTTCAAAAAAAAAAAAAAAAAGACTTCAACAGTCCCTTGGGGGACTGAGGTGCAGATGGCCCTGGAGGAGAGCCCTGCAGACCAGACTGCGGGGTGAGGTGCTGCTTCCCTCTTGTGAGAAACACACCAAGGGCTGCTTGTTCACAACAGACACACCGACCAAATGAGCAGCAGTGGCGGGAGTCAGCCCTACCTTGAGGCTCAGCCGGGGCTTGCCCTGGAGGAAGCGGCTGAGGATCTGCCGCTGAATCTTCTCCAGGTCGAACTCCTGCAGGGTCTCTCTGCCCTGCTCCACCTGGTACTGGCAGTTGGAGAGAATCAGTGGAGTCAGGTCCCGCTCTACTTCGTAACTGATGACATGCAGGTCAGTGACATCGGCGGCATCCACGGAATAGCTGAGGGGCAGAAAGACAGCGTTCAGCGTCCAGGCTGGGCTTGCGGGCCGAGGGCTCCACATTGCAGGGAGCTGGCTCCTACTTGATTTCTCACAGTTGGAGCAGAGGAAAACCATACCCAAGTATGGGGTGGGTCGCTGGTGAGGGCGGCTGAAGGAGTGAGTGTCTGTTAGGGAAGGGGCTGAAGCTTGCTTATGTCTGCCCACTGGGCTCAGGGACCCCAGGCTGAGCAGGCACCATTTCCTGTTGGCTCGCGCACACACCTATTGTTTCCCTCGGAGAGTTTTTCCACCGCGTAGACAATTTCATTGTGTAGGCGAATCAAGTAGCTGACAAGAGCGGTAGCACAGAGGCCCAGGCCCCGTCGGCGTGGCAAGAGGATCTCAAAATCAGCGTCCAGATCCAAGTCAGTGCTGCAGTAGTCTTTGGGTAGGTTGATCTCGCCTTTAAACGACAGGATTATTCTTAAGCAGAGAGGAGTTCCTACCCTCACAGAATCCAGGCGTGGGGAGGAGGGTGCAGAAGCCATCAGCTCCACAGAGAGCTGGGTCTCGGTTCTGCCCCCGTATACTGATAGAGTTTCAAATGCTTTCAGCTCCCTTTTGATGCCATATTTAGGGACTGAAGAGGACTGAGGGTTTATTTTCCTGACACGTTATTTTACTTATCCAGACACCACCATCAAAAGAGACACACGTTAAGCATTAACACAGTGCTGGCTGGGCGTGGTGGCTCACGCTTGTAATCCTAGCACTTTGGGAGGCCGAGGCAGGTGGACTGCCTGAGCTCAGGAGTTTGAGACCAGCCTGCGCAACATGGTGAAACCCCGTCTCTACTAAAATACAAAAAAAAAAAAAATTAGCTGGGCGTGGTGGCATGTGCCTGTAATCCCAGCTACTCTGGAGGCTGAGGCAGGAGAATTGCTTGAATCCGGGAGGCGGAGATTGCAGTGAGCCGAGATGGAGCCACTGCACTCCAGCCTGGCAACATAGTGAGACTCCATCTCAAAAACAAAAAAACAAACACAATTCTGTGTGTTGACAGGGATGGGCCGAGTCAGGCTGGTAAGAGCCTTCAGACCAGGCTCTCCTGGAATGCTTAGTGGTACAGAGGGACAGGACACTAACCGTTCGTCTCAAGCGATCTCCTCAGTTTGTTCCATGTTGAGAGGAAGATTGTGATTCTCTTCTGAAGTAGCTGCCTCAGCCCCTCTGTTGAACAGAATACTTTTTAAGAACCGTGACAGCAGCCCCCCTGCAAGGGCCAGACCACCCTAGTTACATGCTCTGCCGAGAGCCCGTCTTTGCTGCTCTGTACAGTCATGGGCATGTCTGAGGTGCTGTTTGAAGCAGTGAGCCGAGTTTGAGGAGCTAAAGAGGGAGGCGCTTTTCAGCTCTGGTGAGGGTTTCTAATATGTTTTTGGGGTTCAAGCACCCTTTACCGCATGCTGAGAGCTTAGGCTGTAGAGCCTCCATCTGTACCTCCCCACCCCCAGCTTAGGCTGTAGAGCCCCCATCAGCGCCTCCTCCCTCCTCCCCACCCTGTCCCCCTATGCAGTGATCCTTTCGAACCACCAGACGCGGGACAGTCCTGGTCTACCTGAGCTGTGGCTGCTGAGGAAGCCTCTGATGGAGCTGTATTCAACTTGCGGGACGTTCTGGAACCGCTTCACTAGACCTTTTTGCAGGGCCAAAATCTCAGGCAGGAACTTCACCAGCCTCAGCTCTGCTTCCTGGAGAAGGGAAGACCACCCGGTAACAATTTTTATTTACCTAAAAAATGTTACTGGGGATACAGACTTTGAGACTGGCTGGGAGACTTGTATTTGTAGCTTCATCTGGTCAGTGTCATTTCCCGTGATACAGCATGGAGCTTGAAAATGGGAAAAGGGTCCTCCCGTTCTTCCCACAAGTCTATGGACAGTGCAGTGTGTCAGAAATGGAGGACGGAGAAGAGGGAGCCCAGGCTCTATGGAGCTGACGCATCAGCGGCGTCCACCAAAGGCTGATGAAGGAAGCCTGTCCCTCGGGCCCGTGGCGCGGAGAGACGCTGCTGGAAGAAGAGACCCCGGGCTTCGGCAGCGAGGGCTGGCCCATTCCTGGGTGTCCTTCCGAAGACCTAGGGTCCGAGCATCTTTGATGTGATGAAACTGCGTCTCAGAGAGAGACCACAGCATCGATGGGAAGTCCTTCCTGTCATTGTGAACTAATACTCCTCAACTGACCAACAGAAGTTTCCAGATCATCATCCTTGCGAGACAGCAAATACTAGTCCATGGAGAGAAATGATTAGACAGTCTATTGTAGAAAATGAAACTGCAAATGGATGAAAGTTAGAAAAGTACATTTCTAATTCCAGCAAATGCGACCAGTACACTTGACTGCTCCCCAGTACCCCACCACCGCCAGCGCACACCCGCTCACTCCCATCTTCCATCTACGCCTTGATGCTTGGGCGCAGGGAGGAGTTTTGTTTGATCTGCCCATGCTCCGGCACTGCGGACAGAGAGGAACCCAGCGGCTGGGAGAGAGCTGCATCCTTTTCTGTCTGGCTGAGTGATGGGGGGAGGTCCTCTCCTAGCCTCCAGCTTCCCCACAGGTCACTGCTAATCCCAACCTGGGTATGTATTTCGTCTGTGACTTTATGCTTCTGGCAATCGTATGGTTTGATATGTATGAAAATCTCTAGCCCTGAGTCTTCTACATTCTATTCAAAATCAAATAATTGAAATAGACTGTTAAGATGTTCTGTCTTTAGGAATGATTATACTATGTAAAAGCCCAGGGCCTTCAGGTCTCCTGGGGAACTCTGCACCGAAAAAGGGAAGGAGCCACAGTGAGCCAGACATACCTTCTGCAGGAAATGCCAGAGGATGGGCACTCTTTCTTTGCCATTTTTCTGTTCCACAATGTGCTGGAGGTACTCAACTGTAATTCTTTTTCTGCTGCTCCAAATCTTAGAGCAATGGACCACACTTTTCCGGGGCAGGTGGGGCAGGAAGGTCACTGGGTCACCATATATTATTTTGGCCACAGGGTTAGAGCTGATACGCTTATCTTGGCTGATGAGAATATTCATGGTGGGAAGGGTTTTATCTAGATGCTGGATGGAGAAAATGAAACAGAATTCTGGAAGTGAGGTATTGCTACAAACAGATTGGAACACCCAGTAACTCCACCGGTGGGTGTCTGCATATTAGGGCATTTATCCCCTGCTCTGAGCATGTAATCAGGTATTCCCTTTGATCTAATTTCAGTGTTCTTTGTTTATAGATGTATGTCTCCCCAAACAGAATGAGATTCAGAAATCTATATTACTCTTAGTAACATTCTGGCTGCTAGACGAGTAATTAATCTATGATTGTCAGTTCATTTTTAGTGGGTATATATATGTGATAGTTTATTTCTCTACCTTGTACATTACATTCTGCTGTAAAAAGTAATGGAGAGAAAAGTACTGCCTGCACTTGCTGGATTCCCAGGAATTCCTCGGACTGGCTTCATGATCAGCTGCAGGAGGGAAAAGCACTTGGGGACAGGAGGAGGACGGAGTGACTTGAGGTGGGGAGCATCAGAATCTGGGGCTCAGCCAAAGGTTCTTGCTGGCACCGCTATGAGGGGCAACAGGCTTGGAGCATTCAGCAGACGCCGGGACCCTTCCTTTCTGGACAGAGCAGCAACACAGCTATCCCCACTTACTGCTCACCTCCAGTTCAGGAGAAATCACAGCTGCGATTTCCTTTTCCCAGTTGTTCCTCATTTCTTTGGTTGACAATCTTGTGTCAAAATTTAAAAACCCTACAAAAAAACTCCAAATGTGTAGGTTACCCAAGGCACAAAGAACACAGCAGTCTGCGTATAATAAACACTAAATAAGTGTTTAATAGAAATAACATACTCATTTTGAGGTAAGAGATTTCTAAATTAAGTATTTTGAAATAGTTCCTGCTGTTACCACCAACTTAATGACCTTTTGAAGATAACGTCAATCTCTAAAAATTCCTCTACCCTACATAATTGTAATCTTAGAACCATTTTGAAAAAAATTACTGAAAGAACAGAACTGAAGCTCCAAAACCCAGGGCGTGGTAACGGTGGCCGGGCCACCGCCAGCCATCCCAGCTGCTGCCGCCCAAGCCCTGAGGCCGACCACACAGATGCGGAGTGCTGCGGAACCCTCCGCCTGCTTCCGGGATTCTGTCATTTCATCGGTGTGACTGGGTGCGCTCACCTCGCTGAAATCCCACCAGAATAAGAGGCTTAAAATAAAATCAGATTGTTCAAAATGGAAAATAAATAGGAAGGCCAGTTTCGGGCAAAGAAGTAGCTGAGGTGGGAGCAGATTTTCTTGTCGTGCGGCAGGACTTACTGCTATTATTGTTGTTATTTTAAATTAATATTGTCCTCACAGTGGTAATTGTGATTTTTGCAGATTAGCAAAAGAAAATCACTTTTAATTCCACCACTCACAGATAACCATTTTACTAAGTTGTCTTATAGACCTTCTCTTTCTGTATGAATTTAAATTTTTCAAATAGAAAGTTAGCTCGGTGAATACAATATTTTATAGCTTTCTTTTTTTTACATAACTGTGGACATATAAACATTTAATCAGCACACAACTGTGATGGTGATTGATCCTTTGACACACATGCTCTGTGTGGACAACACGTGCTTCCAGCGTGGCAGGGGAATGGCCTACGGGGCTGAGTTCAGCACTGAAGACTCCCCATATATGCACACTGAACACTTGTGTGCAGACGCCCCCGAATACTGCAGGTCTTAGCCAGGCAGGGGTGAATGGAGAGAACAGAGCAGCTCCTTCCAGCCTCTGGGCAAGCAAAGTGCTTCCTTTTTCCAGCTCCAGGCATCGCCTTCCCTAGACACGGTTTTCTCTGTGTGTTCTCTCATTCTCTCCAGCAACAGCACAGACAGAGCTCAGACTGGCTGCGTGTGGGGTGGCCCGCAAGAGAGCGAGCCTGCTTCTGCTGTCGTCGTGCTGTGTGATCCCCGCCCAGCCCCTGCCTCTGCCCCTGCCCCTTTCCTCACTTTTGCCAGAGAGCTGGTGCTGCTCTTGGAGAAGCCTGCGCAAGACGAGGTGGACCACACTGATGGTCTCGTCGGCACTGTGTCCCAGCATCTTGGTCAACTGCTCCAGGTCCTTCAGGATGTGCTGCTGCAGAAAGCCTTTTGGATCCCTCACTGGAGGCTTAATGATGTTTATCAGAGCCTGTGGGGGCAACGGAACAGAGCGTTTAGCGGGATCTGGTTTGTAGAGAAGATGGTGAGCCTGTAGAGGCCATGGGGAGTGGAGCACCAGCACAGAGGCGGAAGGCGGTTTCTAAGATGAAAACTGTGGAGTGATCCACACGTGATTCGAACAGGTGAAAGGAAGGCTAGAAAGCGGAGCAGCTGCTGGCTTTTCTGTTATTACAGTGAGATAAAGAATCTTCAGATTGTACTGTTGGCCATCTTGGTTATGCAGTGTGTTCTTTCTTCCCTAGAGCTACAATGAAGACACAGGTAAAATAATGAAGATGTCAGCCTCTCTACTCCCAGATGTGGACCAAAGACACAGAGCGTTAATTTGACATGGATTGTATATAATCTGGGGAGTAGTTCCCCCATATACCATCATGTGCCACAGGGGGAAACATGGAGATGTGTAACCTGGATATTTCTTTGTAGACTAATGAGCTTCAAAATGCATAGATGGCAGCTAGGACTTGAGACAAAAGGACTCCCCGGGAAGAAGCGAAAGCTGGTTCTTCCTAGAGTAACTCAGCACATCATTTGGCAGCACCGGGTTATACCTGGGAACTCTGGGAAGCTCCCAGAAGCAGAGCCAAGTGAGTGAGTAGCCGGATAAGGATGAAGACCACTGGGGGCAGCCCTCGGTCACACGTCACCATGTCTCTCTGCTGCGGGTCACCTAGCACGTGGCCGGTCTGCGTTCTGTCTGTGCTGTTGCTGGAAAGAATGAGAGAACACAGGCTGAGAGGCTGGCCACTTGGGCAGGCTGCACATTCTCAGCACTCGGAGTGAGGCTCACAGCTGAGAAGAGAGTTATGTCAGAAGCACTTGCTGTTCCACTAAGCCTGGACCATGATCCTAACAGTCTCACGACAGACTCGCCTGTCCGGCGGACCAGACCCCACCGCGTTCTCAGCACCAAGTGGCTGCGCTTGTGTGGTATTGATGCTGATCCCCAGGCAGGGTGTTAGGATGCAGGCCTGGACCAGTCTTTTCCACTGAAGTCTTTGTCGGGAGAGGAGTGGTTGGGCTAAGAACAGCTAGAGTGTGGGAGGACAGTCGGCATCCTATGGGTGTCCATATTGTTCTCATTTCCCCAAAGGAAAAACTAGGATCCAAAGTCCAGCAGACAGGAGATGCAGTGTGGCAGATACTTTCAATGGCAAAACTATTAGAGGTTGGAGGACACTGTGATAGTTTCTTAAGCTGTGACTGCAGGGAACAGTCAGAATGTGAAGCCCCCATGCAGGTCCCACTCACTCTCTGAAAGGAGCAGTTAGAACCACACTCATCCCAGCATGGGATTGTGGGGTCGGATTTGTATCTGGATTCTGAAGTCTGGTATTTCATAAGACTATGTCTCCTTCATTTTTCTCAAAAAGTAAAAAATGGAGGAAGCTAAGATTGCTAGCAAGTGAGATGGCATCTGCTGAGACAGACGGATGCCCAGGTTTTGGTCCTGCAGACATAGATGTCCCCATGAGTTAGATCATCTGTTTATGTCATGCATATTTCTACAGAGACCACACCCAAGGCCCAAAAGGAAGACATCTGTATTCATATTAACAGGTATGAAAGTGTAGCCTGCTTTGCGTTTCAGGGCCCAGGGAGCCAACAACAGATCAGAGGCCTCCCTGCTGTGTGACTGCTGGGACTTTGGCATTGCTATTCAGTATGACACAGGTCCATGCGTACTGGAGTAATTAGTACTATCTTGAGTATCACTTTATCAGCTGGAATAAAAACAGCCCAACACCCCAAGGTTTGAGTACTTAGGAAATACAATCCTGACCCACATACCTGACCAGGTTAAAGCCGTCCTGAGGTCTGTGATTAATGCCTCCAATCGGCGCATGGCAGTCAATGCAGGTGCTCTGTTCCATCGGCTTGCCACACTACGGTGAAGACAGAGGGCACTCGGAACCACTTCTGGAACAGTACCATTTTATACACAAGTGCCATCATGCAAATGAACACCTCCTTATCACTGGCGAACGTGAGCACCCTTGGATTGTCTGTTCCGGTGTGTGCTTGTTTCGGGTGGGTGGAGAGCCCATGGGGACAGGGTAGGTCCTCACTAATGTTGCACATGGGCAAATTGGAACTGTTTTTTTTTTTTTTAAATAAGTGGGACAATTTAAGCTTTATTCCCAGAGTGATACTTTATAGACAAATATATAAAATTCAACCTTCCTTTCTCATATTCAGCACTTTTTCTATTCCTCCATCTATCACACTAGCCTGTAGCACTTCATGATCTAATACCAAGAATACTAGAATAGCTTCCAAACTGACTTCCTTATATCCATTTGGACTTTTTCATATATTTATTTTTATGAGACAGAGCCTTGCTCTGTCCTCCAGGCTGGAGTGCAGTGGCACCATCACGGCTCACTACAGCCTTGACCTCCTCAGGCTCAAGCAATCCCCCTACCTTAGCCTCCCAAGTAGCAAGGACCACATGCATGCATGCATGCACCACCATGCCCTGCTGATGCTTTGTGTTTTTTGTAGAGACAGGGTTTCAACGTGTTGCCCAGGCCGGTCTCAAACTCCTGGGCTCTAGCAATCCACCTGCCTCAGCCTCCCGAAGTGCTGGGATTACAGGTGTGACCTACCACACCTGGCTTGGACTTTTTTATTTAAAAAAGTCCAATCATATAATCTACTTCCAAAGGCTCATTTTTCAAAATCAGATATTGTGCTACTGTATACTGAGAGTCACAGCTGATAACACACCAAACCAGTCACAGAATTTCAGAGCTGGGATCATTCTTGGATAGAATCTATTTCAGTCTCATTTCTTGGACAAGGAAGTGATTGAAGCTCAGAAAAGTGTATGTATCAGTTTTTCTCCCTCTGTGTCTCTTATATATGTTATTTAAATGACATGTATCAGGCTGGGCACAGTGGCTCATAATCCCAAGACTTTGGGGGGCCGAGACAGGAGGATCACTTGAGCCCAGGAGTTCAATGTTGATTGTGAGCAATGATCATGTCACTGCACTCCCGCCTGGGCAAGAGGGCCAGACACTGTCTCAACCAACTAACTAAACACCACAAATAACTACCACGTATCAGCTCAACCCACCAGCCTCTTGCTCTGCAAGTACAGATACCATGTATGGAGGGCTCTGGGCTAGATGCTTGGGAATCCAGAGAGGAAACATCAACAGTTCTTCCCCATGGCGCACAGTCTACACGAGGCTTTTTCCTTTGGCATCTGGACCACACCTCCTCTGAGGGCTAATAATGCAGCCTGTGGTCCAGGCAACACCTTGCCATTCTATCAAGAAAAGGCTCACTGAGCCCATGCTGCAGTGGCTAGAAAGAATGGCTAGCAGCAGTTCCCAACCAGTAGCAATTTTCTTTCTCAGGGGACCTTTGTCAATATCTGGTTTTAGCTGTCACACTGGGAGGAGGGGGTGCTCCTGGCATCCAGGGACTCAAGGTGAGGCATACTGCCAGACAGCCTGCAGTGCACAGGACAGCTGGCACCACAGAGCCATGTCCACAGTGCTGAGGCTGAGAAGCCCAGGACTAGAAACCCTTAGCGCCATTGATGTTGCCCTGCTCAGAGCACCCTGGGCAGTCCTCGGTGAGCCCGTGCTCTCCTGGAAGGCCAAGAGCCTCACTCTCCTCCCCCATGATCCCCTTCCTCCAACCCAGGAGTGCACGCCACCCCTCCAACCCTATCTTAAATACCAAGACTCACCTCTCCCACGGAGCAAGGATGGCCGTTGGGACAAGCTGTGAAGAGAACAGGACACACATTGGCTGATGAGGTTTCACCGAATGACCCACATTGAAAAGGGAAAGCTAACTCTACTCTCTGGCCCTGACCAAAATATGAGAATGAGTGTCCAGAGCACCCCACACTAATTTGTTAAATTATATGACACCTGCCTGAAGCTTAATAAATGTATGTTGTCAGTGAAAAATGTCTGAGTCTAATTTTATGAAGTAAAAAGCAATTAGAATATAGGCCACACCAGCAGTACTTTTGGAGGCGAGGTGGACAGGATTCTAGACCTTTCTATTCTCTGTGGTTTTTTTTTGTCATGAGCATATTTTATAACAACTTTAAAAACTAGTTTTAAAATATTTACTGAGGCAACAGCAAAATTTACATGTCATGGGTTATATGAGTCAGTCTCCCAGTTCTGTATTTCATATATTTCAGAAGAGCTATCTTTGTGTCAAAAACTTTGTTTTGTGATGGGCCTTTGAATGTGTCTCTGATGTGGTTCCCAGTCCTCCCTACTCCCAAAATGGCCTATTCCAGAAAACAAAAGTGCATCACAGAGCGCCTTTTGCACACAACAAAGAAATGAAATGGTTTGGATCATCTAGCCAGCAGAGTGCCAGCTCCTTCAAGCCATTCATCTTCTGCAGATGCCACGGGTAGAATGCAGGTGGTTTTGAACCCTGAGTCACAAACCACATGGACCCCAAGTCGAACCCACTGCTTCATAGCATCTGGACACCCTTTGAAGCTGAGAGGAGTGCGGGGTCATCCAGACCCCAACACTTACTGTACCAGTGGACTCCCTCCAGACCCTTCCACCTCCGAGCTTGAGCCAGCAAGTCTTCAGGCATGGTTGGAAGAAAAGCATGCTGAAAAACAAGACAACAGAGATAGTGCTAGATAAGTGAGCTTGTCGCCTGGGTGCTGCTGCTCAGCAGGAGGCCTGGAGGAAGAAAGGGAACTCTGCTTTCCTTCTACTGGACTTCTGAAGCGATCTGTGAAGAAAACAGAACAGCTCCCTGTGAAATAACAAAGGGCAAGGCAAGTCTGTCACTATCTTGTGTGCTCAAGAATCAAGTGACACAAAGGCAGAGAACTGAGGAGATAAAGATGCTCAAGGGTTCCCACGGCTGCAGCTCAGTCTCTACAGTGACAAGCTCTGGGGGTGTTCCGGTGAAGGCTGATGGAATTGTGGCCTACTCTTACCGCCATGTTGGCTGGGGAGAAGGCCAGATTCTTTAGGGGTTCCAAGACTTTATTCTGTCCACACAGAAGGATGGCTGCAGCATGAATGGCCATTTCTGTCACTGTTCCCTGAAGGTGGTTGTCACTGGGGCCCGCCCTCAACAATGGCAGAGAATTGTCCACGAGCGATGTTGCAAAATGGCTGATCTCAGGAGGTGAAAGGATCTTGCATTCGCCAATGAATTTGCTCACAGCTTCACATTGCTGACAGGAAAAAAAACTTAACATTAAGATATATCAAAGAATATTGTGTGAACTGCTCTTAGGCATACACTGACACCAGATATACATCAAATATCGAGGTAAATATGGAGAAATCACCACCATTTGAGGGGGAGATTGCAGAGAAGAGAATTGTGCATATACAAACACAGCATCCACATATGTAAGCATTAATTTTGACATTCTATTTTGTTTTACATTATCTTTTGTTCTTGGCTTTAGTTTTCATAATAATTCTACAAGCTTTGGGTTAAACAGAAAATAGTTCCTCCACATAACAAGGTTGAAAGTCTCTATCCTAGATAAAAAAAAATTATGGCATGATTTGTGTTGATAAGTTTCATTCTATTGAATAAAGTCCCTCCAAACACTGAGACTTTGAACACAGCCCTGCAGGCGGTTACTCACCTCTGGCGTGGGGTGGAGGCTTGCATTGTGGGATCTATACAAAATAGCCACCTCTCTAAACAGTGTTAACAGGAAGTAGGCTGACTGCTGGCTTTGGGGGGTCTTGCAGGCCTGCAAAATCAAGGGTATCAAGTGAGAATTTAAAAGCTCAACAGATTTCTTTTTTTTTTGAGATGGAGTCTTGCTCTGTCACCCAGGCTGGAGTGCAGTGGCACGATCCCAGCTCACTGCAACCTCTGCCTCTCGGGTTCAAGCGATTCTCCTAACTCAGTCTCCCGAGTAGCTGGGACTACAGGCGCCCACCACCATGCCCAGCGAATTTTTTTTTCTTTTCTTTTAGTAGAGATGGGGTTTCACCATGTTTGCCAGGCTGGTCTGAAACTCCTGATCTTGTGATCTGCTCGCCTTGGCTTCCCAAAGTGCTGGGATTATAGGATTGAGACCCGCCCCCACCGCCCCAGCCCGCCAGATCTACCTAAGGGCCAGAGGCCCGCGAAGTTTGCCTGTGAAAAGAAAAGTGTCTCAGCCCTCAACCCACTCCTTGGGGAAGGCGCCTTTTCAACCCACCCACCAGGTAAGGAGCCTGTTCAACCCACCCCTTGGGGAAGGAGCCTTTTCCAGGCCTGGACACCTGGGGTCATGCCCCACATAGGCCATCTTCTGGCGAGCAACTTTTGGGCTACAAAGTTCCTGAAATACTCTCAGATTAAACTCAATGCATATTTAGCAGCCAGCTTAATGACAGAAGCAACGGAATCACCATCTGTTCTTCTGACTCCTTCACTGGTCTTAGAAACTTCTCCTGAGCAGAAAGAGGATTTTCTATTTCCTCTTTTCCTGGCACAGGGACTCAAAAAGGAAGCAAGACCAGACCAATTTAAAGGTTAGATTCTAAAAACATCTTTATATTTTTTAACGTCCCACACTACACCAACATATGTATTTTTATTAAACACACAAGCATATCTGAACTATGAATACATATAGATGTGAATTTGCTATTAATAGTTGTGTCAGCATCTTTGTTTTCCAGCAGGGTCTCAAAGGAAGTAATGGACATAAATCAAAAGATGCTGCTGATGGCCTTGGCAGATCAGCAAGACACAGCAAATCTGTCAACCCAGCTCAGCTGCCGTAGCTGTCCTGTTCCAGCCACTGGTTCACACACATCGGACAGGTGCACCCTGGAGGCCGTGGGCACGTGACTTCCAATACAGTGTCACATGATGGGCCACGTCAGTGGTCCACCACCCTGCATCATTTGACATAAACCAGGGAACACGCAGGCCCCAAGGGATGCCACCTGGTATCAGAGAGAAGCCACGGGCCCACCCTACCTTCAGAGCAGTCTCAATGCCCAGCGGCTTGCACTCGAGGACAGCTTTGGCCACAGCATCACGGAGAGCCTTGTATTCATCGCCGTACACCAGGTACCTATCCATCTGGCCTGGGTGGTCCTTCTGCAGCCCCAGGAATATAGGGGTTAGTTGGGGGTGAACGATGGGAGGAATGTTTTGCAAAGAACCGTATTAATGGGTGCAGGAACCTGGTGATCGATCATTCGAGGTTTAAAGGCAGCCGAGCTGGGATTCCCCGACCTGGCCTGAGGCAGGAGTCTGGTGCCGTCTTCACAGGGAGCTTCCTCTGCAGTAGAGGAAGAGGCGCGAGTGCAGGGAACGCCTGCCGATGGCAGTGCTACCTGGGGAGGTGCTTGCTTCTTCCATTCATGGCATCGCACCACACACCTGAGGCCGGGTGGCTCAAGTCATGTCAACTCTAAACCCCAGGTGGTCAAACAATGCCAGGGTTCTTAGTACCATTTTTGTATCCCCAGGACAATAAGAATTTGTTAATTTCTGGGCATCTGGAAAGGACCACTGAGAGGCTTTGAAGCCTTTTTTTGTTTTTGTTTTTTTGGGACAGAGCCTCACTCTGTCGCCCAGGCTGGAGTACAGTGGTGCAGTCTCAGCTCACTGCAACCTCTGCCTCCCAGATTCGAGCAATTATCCTGCCTCAGCCTCCCAAGTAGCTGGGATTACAAGCACCCACCACCACATCCAGCTAATTTTTTTTTTTTTAAGTAGAGACGAAGTTTCACCATGTTGGCCAGGCTGGTCTTGACGAACTCCTGACCTCAAGTGATCTGCCCACCTCGGCCTCCCAAAGTGCTGGAATTTCAGGTGTGAGCCACTGCGCCCAGCCTAGCCTTGAAGCCTCTTATGTGATTATATTCCTAGTTCTTGCTCTTGCCTGTCTCTTGCCTGCCAGAGGTAAAAAGGTCACACCTTGCAAGCTGAACTACATTTAAGTTCACCTTAAATGTAGCTGAACTGTTGTGGCCTTTTGTGCCACAAAATGTTCTACTTTCCTTGAAATTCAATGAGAAGTGATGCCTAAGAAGCTCTGAGGTGAGTGCCCTTACCTTGGCCCTACAGCAGGTGGTGTAACATGATCATAAGCTGGGGCAAATCAGCGAAAGCACAGACACAAAGGACTAGACAGACAAGCGCAGGTTTCTTTCCTGGCTCTGGGGATGCCGAGGGCAGGCGGAACGCAGAAGCAGTGGCACCATCCCTGCGTGTGAGGGTGGGGTGTGGGGGTGTGTTGGTGGGTGGTGTGAGGGTGGGGTGGTGTATGGGGCTCTGGGGGTGCATGTTTGTGGGCTGCCGGGCCCCACTTCTCACCTGCTGCTCAATGACTTGCTTGGGGAACACCCACTGGCACGGATGGCCGGGCTTGGAGAGGCCCTGCACGAACTCCATCCCGCGCTGGCTGCTGAGCTTCCGCACCAGGTACACCCGGTGCCAGTCGTTTTCCACCCGGGTGCAGAAGTGCTTGACTTGCTGCAGGTAGCACTGCTTCTCCTCGGCCATCCCTGAGAGGCCAACGAGAAAGTGGGTGAGCAGCTGGTGACTTAGGGCATTTATTGTAGGACACAAGGCCAACCAGAGGGCACAGGACCTACCCACAGGCATTCACAGAAACACATCCAGAGGAGAGGGGACGTGGAAAAGCCCAGTCATAGTCTATTCTAAGAACTAGTTTCCCATACTTCCTGAATTTCTAAATGACGGAGTCTTTAAACCCAAAGTAAAGCAAGGCAGAGAAGGCTTGCCTGGGTCTCCCTCAGGCTGCGAGAGGAAATCTGAAGCTCTGTCCAGGCAGAGGCGGATCCAGGCCACCTCTTGCAGGTATTCAACTGAGGCCTCGTTGGCCGGCTCTCGGCCACGTCTTACTGGAGAATACGTGTTAAGGAAACGACCTTCCTCTCTTAGGTGGTTCAGTTCATCATTTCTGGAGCAAGCACTGGTCTTCTCACGTATTGAATCCTGAGGGACAAGCAACAAGAAAGAAAAGGATATTATTCTTTTCAACATGGATGCCCCAAGCTTCTACAGTTGCCAGTGTGACTGTGGAAAATGAAGGAAAGAAGGATAAAGAATGTTGTTGTAGGTTTCAGTGTAAATTTCTTGACTCACGGAAACCTAATATCCCTTTTTATTTTAAGGGCAAGAAGGAGGGGAAAAGTGAGGGGAAAAATTTTTTTCCTCACAGGAAAATAATTATATAATCTAATTTATGTACATTGTGAAAATTTTGGATATAAAAATATGAAGATAAAAAAAATCCACAATGTCCCCACTCAGTGATAACCACTGTTAACTTTGGTGGTATATTCTCCCAGACTTCTGTTTTGTATGTATATGCACATAAATGCCAATATATACATTGCTGAAGGCAGAAGCAGTGTCTTGGAAACCTTTCTTCTTTTCTGCAAGGAACAGAGCATTTGTTAATTATACTGACTAAAATTATATTCTGTAAATTTTAAACCATGTGGTTCAGTTTCCAAAAGAAATTCAGGGAAGAGAGTTCGCTTACCTCCAGGCAGTTGATGAAGAGCATGTACAGTTCAGTTTTATCTTCAATTATGAATGCTTTCTTTTTTAACAGGGTCAAGTAATCCTGAATATAATCTTTTACATCATCGAAGCTGCAGAAAGAGAAATATTATTCCTGGCTTTCTCAGATCTGGAGACACACCGTACTAAAAAAAGAGCATCTATCTATCACTCATCTGTTCTGTGTGTGTGTGTATAAACATACATACATATATGTAGTTTCTAAGATTTTATGGAAAACCTTTTAGCATAATACTGGAGGAGTATAAAACTCACATTTTAGACCAGCTGTCCTCAAACTTTGGTTTCAGGACCCTTTTGTAGTCTTAAAAATTGAGAACCTCAAAGAGCTTTTATGTGAGTTATATTATCAATATGTATGATAGGAATTATGAGACATTAAAAACAAAAGGTTTCAAAAATATACATTCATTTAAAATAACAGAAAAGCTGTTACATGTTAAGTAACATTTAACATATTTTCCAAAACATGAATCAGTGAGAAGAGTGGCTTGGTCTTCCATTCCTGCACTGGCCCTGAGGCCTGGCTCCTGGAAGTCAGCGGCTTGCCTGCCCTGCTTCTGCTCCCCGTCGCTGCGCCATATCGGAGAATAATATGAGGAAAATCTGTCCTCATACACTCGGAATAGTGAGGAACATTTTAATAGTTTTTGCAGATCATTGTGGATATTATTCCTTAATGCTGTGCCAACAGTGATAAATGGTCATGTCTAAAGGTTAATTGCAATGTGGAGCCTAAAACTGTATCAATGCATTTTTCAGTCAATTACGTTAAAATCAAAAAGTCTGCCCATACTTTAAATAGAATTTTTTCTTTTTTGACCCACAGATTTCGTGACATCAAGCATTGGTCATTTGGAAAATACTGGTTCACTGGGCTGTGCAAGTCTTGTAAAGGTTGACACATTTTTATTCTGCGTTTAAAAAAAAAAATCCATATTCATTAATATCACCACAAATTGCCCCAAAATATCTTTAAGTATTCGAAAGCTCGCAGGCTCATAGTGAAGAATATAAGCTTTTCAGAATTTCAATTTCAGCTTAAGAGCTTGAATGTTATCATCACCAACCAACATTGTCAGTTGTTTGGCTGAGGCCGGCTCGCTTTGCTGATTTCCAGGAGAGGCCGACCCAGCCCTGGACACCTGCATCGTGTGCATCCTTCCTCCCGGCACGAGTGGCGGTCCGTGAACACGGCAGCCGGCTGATAACTCAGGGCTTGTCATGAGTGATTTTCTGCGAGGCAACTGTCTACTGCAGTGCGTAGTGGGAGTGTTTTCTGTGCGCTTCCCATTTCCACAAAACATTAAGAAATCAAATCCTCAAGAGTCAAGATTTAGTAAAACGAATGAAACTGGCATGAAGAAGAAAGCCACGTGTGCATGGCGGTGAAGAGAACAATGTCTACAGCTGCTGCGTGTTCACGTGAGGGGCCAGCAGTTTCACCCACCACCGCTTTTGTAACATCATAAGCACCAACATGTGTTTTAAAAAGGGCAAATTTATCTTATAATCTAATTTTTAAAATAGTTTTAACCTCAGAGACCCACCTCACACCCAAGGGTCCATACCAACACTTTGAGAACTGCAATATTAGATCAATACAAGTACCACAGGTGATACTATTCTTGGATGTCAACATCCTTTCACAAGGAAATAGAGCCCATGGTCAGGGGAATAGAAACTTAGAAGACATCTAGGACATTCAGGGTGAGCAGGATTCTAAGCTACCATCCGAAAAATCAGAAAGCTGGACCACTGTGGAACCAGGCTCAGCCCACAGATTCTGCCCTCTTGAGTTGTGTCCTTCACACCACCGTGGTCCCTTCACGGCACTGTTGGCTTCTTGCTAGATGTGTGCTTGTGGGAATACTAAACTCATGTGCCTACATGTGACAATGTCAGAATACACAGCCAGTACAAGTAACCAGGTCGTGTCTCACCGAAAAAGCTCCCCAAGATCATGTACTACCTACTAGTCACGACGAGAAGACTTGGTAACAAAGAGAACGCCACAATGAAGAGAAAAAGGCAGGGCTTTCTAGAAGCAAGTCTCCATGTTGTTCTTACCTGTACTTCAAAAGCAGTTTCAGTATCACTGAGCGGATGACAGGAGTCTTATCCACAACATCATTGAATGGAGAGAGAGATTTTGTGTGTTCACGGCGTCCTTAAACCAGAAAGAGAAAGGCAGCTCACTGCATGAGACATGCAGAAGTGAGATGAAGAAGTGAGCTGCTAGGTTTACAGGAAGAAAGCAACCTACTCTGGGGAGCGTCTCTTAAGAGCTCCTTTTGGACGAAGAGGAGAGAGAGCAGGCTCTCAATCACTTCCTTCTCAGGCGGAGCGTTGTCCTTGAAGCACATGGTGGACACCAGGTCTACGAAGAAGCTGTTGCACATCTGCCGGAAGCGGGCATGCTTTTCAATGACTTCCCTTAAAACACGAGAAAGAGAAGATAGGTGGATGGTGTTTCCCAAATGCCTCCTTACAGAAGGACTTGAGATTTCACAGCATTTCACTTTTTTTTTTTTTTTTTTTTTTGAGATGGAGTTTCACTCGTTGCCCAGGCTGGAGTGCAGTGGCGTGATCTCGGCTCACTGCAACCTCCACCTCCCAGGTTCAAGTGATTCTCCTGCCTTAGCCTCTCAAGTAGCTGGGATCACAGGCACGCACCACCACACCTGATTAATTTTGTATTTTTAGTAGAGATGGGTTTCACCATGTTGGCCAGGCTGGTTTTGAACTCTTGACCTCAGGTGATCCACATGCCTCGGCCTCCCAGAGTGTTGAGATTACAGGCGTGAGCCACCACACCTGGCCAGCATTTCACTTTTAAATTGAAAGATTCAAGTCACTCCTCTCACCCGTTAGAGCTAGTCTTCAACATTTCAACAGATGATATTTAGATGCATCCCTTTCTAGAAACACTTTGATCATTTGGACCAGCCAACAGTATCCTTCAATATCGCAAAGTATGTCAACCCATCCACTGGGCTTGCCTGGTGCTCCACTTTTAGGAGGCCTGAGAAGGGAGGGAAGGGGAAGGAAAGAAAACCAACCACTCACAGAGCAGGGCTGAGGCCTGCTGAGTCCAGAGAGGTAGAGCTGCTTTTAACCACCTCCAAAAAGCTAGACAAGGAGTGGGTTGGTTCTCAGGTCAGTAACTGTGAATGATACTGATGCATTAAGACCAGTGGTGTCGGCCAGGTGTGGTGGCTCATGCCTGTAATCCCAGCACTTTGGGAGGCCAAGGCGGGTGGATCACCTGAGGTCAGGAGTTCGAGACCAGCCTGGCCAACATGGTGAAACCCCGTCTCTACTAAAAATACAAAAATTAGCTGGGCATGGTGGTGCATGCCTGTAATCCCAGCTACTTGGGAGGCTGAGGCAGGAGAATTGCCTGAACCTAGGAGGTAAAGGTAGCAGTGAGCTGAGATCATGCCACTGCACTCCAGCCTGGGCAAGAGAGTGAGACTCTTTATCTCCAAAAAAAAAAAAAGTGGCATCTAAATTCCTTGGGCCTCTGGTGGGGACCTTTGTTATGACTTTCTGGCTTAGTTCCTCTGTATTTGCTGTTTCTCAAATCTATATGTATATCTCTTGGGGAAGAATAATCTTGAGATACTAAATATTTATGAAAGTACATAACAGTGGCATCTCTTTCGATAGTTCTCTGAGGTCAGGTTTTCTACCAAATGAAGGTTAATAGAGTTCATATTTCTGAATATTGTGTTTGCCAAAAAAGGAAAATAAAAAAAAAAGGATGCTTTCTTGAAAGAAGGGGTGTTTTACCTGTGCCTTTGGGAAACAGTTGGAGAGAAATTGTCTGGCAAGTCAGTTAAACAGTAGGGGCACATCATCTGCCCTGGGGCAAACCAGGCCCTGAGGCAGCGCAGGCAGTACACGTGGTCACAGGGCAGACAGACAGGGTCCTGTGCATCTCCCAGGCAGATGGGGCACGGCTGGACCCCAAACCTAGAATCCAAGAAGGGCAGTCAGTTCTGAAGCAGAGAAACCGGCCAGAAGAAGTGAAAACCACGAAAAGTTCAGAATTCTCGCCTTCACAGATCCAAACCTAAGGTCTCACCTGCTGAGGGTCTTGCTGGCTCTCTCCTTGCATTCACAGAGGGTGCTCATCACGGCCTCAAAAGGCCTGTGCATCTTGACGTCGGAGTTCTCTCGAAGACACTGAAGAAAGGCGGTGACAGGAGTCATTAGCAGTGGGGAGGGCTGAGGGCAGCCAAGGGCCGGGTCAGGCAACAGAGGGAACACCACATTCTGAGTCAGGGCTGTGACGCATGCCACATGCGTGTGAGGTGCGAGGCCTTTGTGATTCTGTGTTTAGCACTTGAACTCTGAATGCCCTTTTTGTGATTATGCTGCTTGTCAGGGAACTACATTCTCAAGTTACGATTTTCCCTCTTCTTTTTCTTTTAAGGTCTCCTTCCCTCCCACTATTAAGAGATTTCATACTCTAAGTAATAATAATGACCATCTGTATACCCCCCACCAAGCTTTAAGAAATCTCAGCATTTTTTGAATATTTGCTTTAGATCATTTTGTAAACATTTTTAATTTTTTAAAATTTTCTTTCAGCCTCCCAAGCTGCTGGGATAATTTTTTTTTTTAGAGAAACAAAACATTATACATAATTACAATTTCACATCCCTCCCTCCCTCTCCAGAGGTATCTACATTTCTAGATTTCTACTGTTAGGATAACTGTAAGCATGTCTTAACATGGGGTTGAATGTTATTTTGAATGTTTTAAAACTTGGTGTCAGTGATACCACACTGTATTGAGGCTTCTGAAACTCATTCTCTTCATGATACCTTAGGTCCAGATCACTCCTGTACCCACGGATGAAGATACCAGTTACCCGTCTGCTGGTTAATGGGCATTTAGATTTTTTCCAATTCCTGACAGTCCTGTATTCAACATTCTTGCATATGTCTGAGAGCGAATAAATTTCTCTAGGATATAGTTGGAAGTGGAAACACTGTTTTTTAGGCAACATACATCTTCAAAGGCAATACACATCATCACTGTACAAGACAGTTTAATGGCTGTGCTTACGGAATTTGATGGGCAGGCATGATGTTGGTATAGACATCTTAATATTATGTCTACCTTGGGCATTGTGAGCTCAAGGAGAGTACCTTTCTGTTCCAAGTTTGACAACGGTCTTTCTTTCTAAATAATTTTATCAAACGCTTTCTCTCTACATTTTGAAATGATCATTTAGAGTTTATCTTTTAATTTATACAACTGATAACATTTACAGATTTTTTTCTTTATTTCGAGCCATCCTTGAATTCCTGGGATAAATCTTACTTGGAAGTGATGTGTGTATTTTCAATATCCTAATAACTTTGTCAGTCAACAACCCAATTCAAAAATGGGCAAAGGACTTGAATGGACATTTCTCCAGAGAAGACAGCAAATGCCCAACAAGCCTATGAAGGATGCTCACCATAACTAGTCATTAGGGAAATGCAAATAAAAACCACAATGAGTTATCACTGTGGCCATCATGAAAAAATCAGATAGTAACAGGTGTTGGCCATGATGTGGAGAAATTCAGACCCTGGTGCATGGCTGGTGGGGATGTAAGATGCTGCAGTCACTGTGGAAAATAATACAGTGCTTCTTCATAAAGTTAAACATAGAGTTATCAAATGATCCAGGAATTCCTCTTCAAGGTATATGTCCAAAAGAACTAAAAGCCAGGCATGCCTGCAGTCCCACCCATGCCATCCTGCAGCAGTTCCATCAACAACTTCCTGCCCAGCTGAGGGAGCCAGCCTCACGGTGAAGGGCAGGGCTTTCCCCCAAGCCTCTTGTTTCAAATGGTCCCAAGGGGCTGCCCTTCAGCTGGGGCTGGGGAGGGATACAAGTCAGGCTTCCAGCATGAAAACTAACGAGGTAAGGTCTTTGGCTGTGGTTACTTGCACAGAGATCTGACTGGAAGGAAATAAACCAGAAACCCAGTAAGTTTCTGAGGCCATTTTATCACCAAAAAAACCTCCCCATGGTCCTAACCGCCTAAATCCTGTAAGCGTGTGGGCAGGCAGGGGTCAGTTCCTTTACCTTCGGGTTTGTGGGCACCTGGCCCTTAGGACCCACGCTGGACCTGGCTGAAAGCTCTGTGCATCTCCCAGAGGTCCGGGACGTGATGAGGAGACTTGGAGAGGCTGCATGCTGTGTGGGTGTGGGGAAAGGGCGGCATGGGGGCCACCGGCTGTGTCCTATGACCCTCTCTCCACCTTTTCCTTTATCAAAGGAACTCCCAAGTTCCACCTGGCACATGACCACGCCACGAAAAACAACTCAGCTTCTTACAGCTCGGTAAGGCCGAGTGCCCAAGTTGAAGATCATGAGACATGAGCTGGCGTGGTGTGTGCGTGTCCGGGGTTGGGCTCTTAAGGACAACGGCCTGTCCACCTCCCCTGCTTTTTGTCCCACAGGCTGTGACGCCAGGCCACAGGGTGGAAGCTGAACATTAGGGACACCAAAGGGACAAGACAGAAGGAGCTTGGGCACCTGACTCTGTGCCAGTCTCCAGGAGCTGGTACCTTAGCCTTGGGCTGCTCACACCTGTCCTGGGTGGGAAATCAGCTGATACTGTGTCTCAGTCGCTGATGTTCTGATAGGTCAGAGTTGACACATCCAGCATCTGTGCTGGCCTCCTTTTAGTAAACCTTCCTGTGCTCCAAACATCGGACAGCCAGCGCTGCCTCTTCCAGACCCCCTGGCAGTGAGGGCTCTGGATGCGCTCATGTGAAGGTCAGGGGTGCGGGTGAGGCAGAGGCAGAGGCAGAGGCCGTGTTTGGCTGAATGGCTGTTGGTGCTGGACACCACTGCATGGCCACAGAGGTGCATCACTGGAGGGTCACAGGCTTTTTTCTGCAGGAGACCACCCCACATTAGTAGCTTTATGAAGGGCATGGTGGTTTCCCGTTCCTTGGTTCTGTTGACAGCACTGTTTTGAAGACCCCAACCCCAGTGGCATTCTCTGACATCCTTGTCTCCATGACTGTGACAATGGTAACAGCTCCCACAGGCGGCCGGGTAGTGGTCTGTTCTGGGATCACTCCGAAGGCCAGGTTATCCCTCCCAAAGGTTTCACAAGCATGTTCCCTGTGTCAGCCCCTTTCTGCACACAGTTCCTGGAATCGCTTCTAAATGACACACTCTGACTTAGCAATCAGCAGAGGGTAAATAATTAAACAATTAAACATGGAAAATGTAATGGCTTAGTGATGAAATCACCTTCCTTTGCACATCTAGACAAAATGGTCAGAGCCAAAAGAGCGTCTCCCGGCTGCGGGTCAGTGTCAGCGCTGTTCTTTCTTCTGGAAAAGGGTGGATCCGTGCGTGTGCTGAGGCCAGCCCAGGTACTCACCTTGTCTAGTAAGAAGACGTGCTCGGTCACCAGCCTGCATAACTCGGGGACCCGGCTCTCGGTTCCTAGGAGCACATGCTCCACAAAGAGTGCGGTGGAGAAAATCCGACTCCATTGGGCTCTGTCAAAAGAGTGCGTCACTCACTCAGCTCCCACCAAGGAACCCAAAAGTAAAACGAGGAGTGAGACGGGAGAGGAGATGAGGACCCAGGGTCCAGGCCCGGTGGCTAGGATTACAAGCAAGCCCTGTGTGACACACTTCCTGGCCCGCCCCCAGCTCACGCCCTCAGACGCTCAGCTGGGACTCGGTGTCCCACTCGATGCCTCTGCACGGGGTACTGCCACAACCTGCTCACTGCACGGTCCTGCGCCTGCCAAGTCCCACCTCGCCTTGACAGCCCCTCACAGGAACTGTCTCCTTAGGGAAGTGGACTCTGGCCCTGAGGGCCTGTCCTGCTCCGTGCGCCTCCCTGCGCTGGGTGTCCTTTCTATCACAGCATTCCTCACACGGTGTCACAGTATCCCACTTGTCTTTCTACGGCCTCAGTACACAGTGAGCTCCCTGAATGCGCAGCTGCCTCTCGTGTCTCCAGCACCCTAATGGGATGCCTGGCACTCGCTAAGGGTTCGGCAAACGTGAAGTGAGGACAGAGCCCCTCCCACGGCTGGAGCACCTGTCAGTCTTTCTCATGGACATGCCTGGCACTTGGCAGGCTCCTGGTGAGCACGTGCCAGATGAAGCAGTGTGTGAGGGCTCCTGGGTCTCACCTGACTTCCCTGATGACAGCCTGGGCCAGGCTCCCACTGCCTTGCATGTGCCCATCGGAACAGATGAGCTCCAGTGGCACAGAAAGATTCTTCACCAACTGTAGCCACGCCTGGGGACTGGGCTTCAGGGTGTCTCTCGTCAGCATCTCCGTGCAGGCCATCGCGGCAAACGCGTCCAGGGTCTGGGGAGACAGACGGCAGGGCGTGGCTGAGCGTTGCCCTTCCCACCAGCCCACCAGAGGTCCTGGCTGTTAGCTGCGTGTATACTTGTGTCCCAGGCTTGCATACGAATCTTTCGTTGTCTAGGATGTGGGAAGCATCAGCGAGATGTGTTCTTAACATCTCTGAATTAAGCTGAGGTACGTGCCTTGTGAAGAAATCTCCCACTAGGAACACAGCCCCCAAAGCTCTCCATTCCGAGGGGAGTTGGAAGCACCCCGCGGCTTGCTCAGGGCAGGCGGAGGAGGGCCATACCATCTCACATCCAGCCAGCTCATGGTTCCGAGGGGCTTCCGTCAGGCTGTGGAGAACCTGAGGGTAGATGGTCAGGATCCTGGAGAAGTTCTGCAGCCGGCTTCTGAAACGCTGGTAGGCAAGGTGCACCCACGGTAAGGAAACCTCTTCCTCCGGCGCTTCTGACGCCGCTTTCAGTTCCCTAATGCAGGACCACAGAGCCATCTGCAGAAACTGGGATTCAAAAAACTTTTAGAATATATTTTTAAATTACAAAAATGGTACGTTTTCCCCGTGGAAAATCAGAACTATTGGAAAACTATAAAAGAGGATATTAGAAACCATGCATGCTATTCTGTCTCGTTTGCTTCTGTCCAATTTTCTATCTGCCTCTCCTCCCACATTAAGGTCACTGTGTCTTCTGAGCTTTTTGCCACTGAACATGACATCATGACTTCCTCTATGACTGAGTATACTTGTATACTTGAAAAACATGGTTTTAACAGCAGCTCAATAACCCATCCTATGGCCATACTTTAATTTGCCCATCCTGTATTTCTGGACAATTAAATTATTTTTAGAAGCAAAGCTGAAAAGGACATCCCTGTAACCAAATACTTGTCCACGTCTCCAGGAGTTTCCTCAGGACAGAGTCAGCAGTTCAGATCAGATGAGGTTCTCAACTGCTCTGTCAGGCAGCCCTGCAGGGCGCCCGCTGTGCACACCACTGTCAGCCGTGTGGCCTGGCCCTTTCTTTGCAGCACTGGCCAGCAGCTGTCCTTTTTTAAAAACAGCTTTGCAAAATGAATACATAAACATGATATCTAAAAACTGTTGTGTTGATTTGCTATTATTAGTAAGGCTAAGCAATTTTTCAAATGTTTCCTGGATGTTGATATGCTTAATGATATGATTATAAAATTGCTGTTTTATAACATTTACCCATTTTTTAAAACTTAGGGTATTTTCTTATTGATTCCTAAGAATATTAACCTGTAGTCATATTGGCTGTAAGGATGTTCTTCAATTGTCACTTTCCTTTTTTATGTACTGAAGTTTAAAATTTTTAGGTAGTCAAAAGTATGACTTTCTATTGAATTTCACTTATTTGTTCTTACCCTGTAGAGTTAATTACATATTTACCTTAATTTTTTCAAGAGAAATTTAACACTTAAAAAGAAGACATGTCAGGGAAATTGGAGGTCTTCTCGTGTTCCCGGAGAGCTCTATCTTTTAGGAGCCCCTGGGTGGTGGGCTGAGGGTGCAGCACTGAACATTGAGAGGAGACTGGACGGCCCCTTCACCCACCAGCGCCCTTTGCAGACCATGTTCTGTTCCCAGACTTCACAGCACCAGCTCCAGGCAGCTAAAGAAACGTCCTGTGTCTGCATCCAGTCCCCATCGTGCAAGCTCTACACCTGACCCTTAGCCAGTATCTAAACATCTACCTCTAACTCCTCCTCCGTTGCCACACGCATGGTCAAGAGAATGAAGTCCTTCGAGTAACACTGAAGAAGCTCCTGCTGCGGCTCTCCATGGAGCTGGGCGAGAAACCTGCCCAGAGGAGTCTGCTGAAAGATGTCCACGAACTTCTTTGGCAGTCCTGCAGAGAGGAAACCAAGGAGTGGCCTGGAGTGCGTCTAAGTCATGACACTCCTCTGCCTCCAGGTTGCTCTGGAGTGAAGGGGAATAGGGGACGCCTTGTCGAATGGGAGCTCGTAGACAAAGGGGCACCAACTGCCTGATTTTGTAGGGAACTGAAGGAATAGTCACTGTCTAGACATTTAGGATATTTTTCTTTTTCTTTTTTTTTTGGAGATGGAGTCTCACTCTGTTGCCCAGGCTGGAGTGCAGTAGGTAGCATGATCTCGGCTCACTGCAACCTCCGCCTTCTAGGTTCAAGTGATTCTCCTGCTTCAGCCTACCAAGTAGCTGGGATTACAGGCGCGCACCACCACACCCAGCTAAATGTTTGTATTTTTAGTAGAGGCAGTGTTTCGCCATATTGGTCAGGCTGGTCTCGAACTCCTGACCTTGGGTGATCCGCCAGCCTTGGCCTCCCAAAGTATTGTGAACCACTGCGTCTGGCCTAGGATATTTTTCCATTGGAATAAAATAAAAGAAGGTGGAAGCCATGTCAAATTTAAGTCAGAAACAGCCAAAGAGAAAAACCTGAGAAAGAATGAGTTGTATGTTGCATGGCTATAGATCACAGCATGTTTCAGGAACCCCCAGGTCCAAGTAAATCAGGAATGAGTGGGCTGCTCTTCAGGGGCTGGGGTCACAGACCATGCAAGATGGAAAGATCTGGCTTCTAGTGGGCGGGGTGCGGCCCCTAATTCGCATGCTGTCACAGAAAAGCAGGGTCAGTGGGGTATTGTCCTGAGAAAAGAATATGCTCATGAGGAGAGACTGCTTTGAGTTTGTTCAGAAAAAGTGGCAGAATGGTAACCTAGAAAAAAGGCCACCTTGAGTCTTCCAAGTGGTCAATAAGTAAACATGGAAGAGATTACTGCATGTATGAAAGACGGCTTTTGCAAAAGTGTTGCGTTGTCCTTGGTTTTTCTGGACTATGGCAAACCCTCTGGCATCTGGCAGCAGAGTCCAGCACTGTGTCTGGGCTGTGACTCCTGATGGGGCAACTGGGAGTAGGGGATACTCCAGGCGCTCGTGCCTTCTGAGAACGCCTGCCCTGGGGGCATCTCCTGAGTCCAGTGCCCCAGTCTGAGAAGGCCCAGAATGGGAGTGACCAGCTGGTAGAGGTGACAGTCCTCCTGTTGCCAGAACATACCCCATTTCACCAAATACCTGGCCATCATGGCACTAAAAACCATTTCACAGGCTCCCGCTGCCATAGGACCGAAAGGTTCTGGTCCTGCCAGGGCCTCTCACTCCTTCAACAGAAACTTTAAAATGACACAGTGACATAAATTGGATGCTACTGTACAAACATGTGAAAACTAAAATCTCCAAAATTCACCTTGCGATGGTAGCCACGCATCTGCTTTTCACTGTCAGGCAGTCCCTTTGTGATTCACCTGTGCTGAATCTGACCTGTCTTGAGGTAGCCTCACCTTCTGCGTCTGTGATGTACTGAGCCTGGACCCACAGCTCCTCCAGATAGTCCTTGATTCTCCAGCTGAAAGGTACGTTGTTGGAAGCGTTCTCGGAAAGGTTCATGTAGTTCTGCACCATGATGTAGGCCATCTCACCTTTATGTCTGCAGTAAGGCGAGTGACGTTACAAAGAGGGTTTGTGAGACGTCACTCAAAACACAAGACAAGACCCGCCACTGATGCCAGCTCCTCTCAGGCCTCAAAAACAAGGGGGCCAACAGGCCAGGCCGACAGCGCTGATTTCACAGCCCGGGGTGTCTATTAGGACAGATCTAGGGAACTAGCTTATGCAATCTTTGTTTTACAGGCAAAACAAAAACAAACCAAGGCTGGCAGGGGTCAAGTGTGTTGCCCAAAATCTCCAGCAGAACCAAGTCTGGTTCCTGAGCCTGTCTGTCTTTGATAACTTGTAACACAGAGCACAACTTGTTAGACAGTCTTTGTTTCATGAACACAGCAGCGCCTTGTCTTTTAAATAAGTGTTTCCACTGGAATTCAAATTCCATTCTTTTTCTCTTTCTCTCTTTTCTTTCTCTCTCCCTCCTTCTCCCTTTTTTTTTTTTTTGAGATAGGGTCTCACTCTGTCACCCAGGCTGGAGTGCAGTGAGCGGTGTGATCATATCTCACCTCAAACTCCTGGGCTCAAGCAATCCTCCCGCCTCAGCTTCTACAGTAGCTAGGACTACAGGTGCGCACCACATTATGCCTAATTTTTTAATTTTTTGTAGTGACGGGGTCTCACTATGTTGCCCAAGCTGGTCTTGAACCCCTGGGCTCAAGCAACTTTCCTGCCTCAGCCTACTAAATTGCTGGGGTTATAGGCATGAGTCACTGAGCCTGGGCACGTTTATTTCTATATTCTTTATTAATCTATATCCAGAATTGAAGCCCCTGAAAGCTGAAGTGGAAGCTGTTGGGAGCTGAGCCTCGGCCCCACAGCATCAGACCTGGGGAGGGGGGTGGGGGCTGTGCAGGTCCACCAGGGAATGAGGGACGGGGGAGGGAGCACAGATCACAGGGGGAAGCAGCACAGATCGTGGGGCTGTTCTAAGCGCAGCTTCTCCATGCCATACCACACTGGGTCTGGCTAGAACCAGTGCTCTGAAAGCAGGGAAATGAGGAGGGTGGAGATAAAAATGTCTTGGAGCTTCATAAAGTTCCTATTCTTTTTTTTGAGACAGAGTCTTGCTCTGTCACCAGGCTGGAGTGCAGTGGTGCAATCTCAGCTCACTGCAACCTCCGCCTCCCAGGTTCAAGTGATTCTCCTGCCTCAGCCTCTCAAATAGCTGGGACTACAGGCACGCACCACCACACCCAGCTAATTTTTGTATTTTTAGTAGAGACCGGGTTTCACCATGTTGGCCAGGATGGTCTCGATCTCTTGACCTTGTGATCCACCTGCCTCGGCCTCCCAAAGTGCTGGGATTACAGGCGTGGGCCACCGCGCCCGGCCAAACTTCCTATTGTTACTGCAGAAAGCGCCCACATCAACGTTGCTCTGAAGTTGAGGGCTGCGTTTCACCCAGCACTTGGGAGAGCATATTAGGGTCCTGCTGTGTTCTGATAGTTTCTCTCCCCAGGGAAAGAAAGCCTTCCACTCACCTTGCATTATTCATCACAAGAGGAATGTTCAGAAGCTTCATGTCACTGAAAATAAACATCCAAAGGTCTCTTGCCCAGGGCGGAGTATCTGGCCTAGTCAGTAGCTCAAGGTTGCCGTCTCTGTCGATGAATGATATCATGCTCGCCAGCAGAGGGGTGACAGCACCTTGGACCCGCTTCCAGAGGGTGTGCCTGCAGCACAGGAGACAGACTGGCCACCACGGCTCAGAGGAACCACAATGGCGGTCGGCCACCTTTTGACATTGTGTTCCTTCTTGAGCATGAACAAAACAACTAGTCTACTAATTACCACACTACAGCGATGGCAGGAACTTGACATTTTCATCATTTTTAAGTCCTAGAAAACAGACTCATAAAAATATCTAAGATGAGAGGCAGAACTGGAATGGAACTTAATTCTACATCTAATCAACTGTCATTAGGTGACTGGAAGGGTGAAGTAGTGTTTGATTTTTATTTTTAAAACATACATGTGAGACAGGGTCTCACTCTGTCACCCAGACTGCAGTGCAGTGGCACAATCATAGATCGTTGTAACCTTGAATACCGGGGCTTAAACGATCCTCCCACCTCAGCCGTGCAGGTAGACAGGGCCACCACGTCCAGGGACACCACCTCCAGCTAATTTTTAATTTTATTTTTTTGTTGGGATGGGGTCTCACTATGTTGCCCTGGCTGGCTGGTCTGAAACTCCTGGCCCAAGTAATCCTCCCATCTCAGCCTTCCAAAGTATTGGGATTATAGGTGTGAGCCACCGCACCTATCTGCTTTATTTTTTGCAAAGCTGCATAATTTTTGTATGTAACTATTTTTCAGAACAAGTCATCGAGGTTCTCTAAATAAATAAAATTATGACAATCCATTTGGAAAAAATAAGTATTTTACAAATCTGATGTGGATAGACTATAATACAGATGAAGAGACCAAAATAAATTTGTCCCAGATCAAACTAAACAAGAAGGCACATGTTTATCTGGAATTAAGTATTTGTTCCTGTTGATATTTTTGTACACTAGATCTGGGTGTCTGATAGACAGACAGGTGGATGGATAGATGGGCTGATGGACTGATGGGTGGATGGACAGGCAGGCGGATGGATGGATGAATGCACAGACAGGCAGACAGATAATTGGTTAACTACAAGACATTTTGTTGTTATATATATTTTGTTGTATATATTTACATGTAACAATAAAAACTCTATTTCAAAATTCTTGTGTAAAGGATAAGAATTAAAAGGTGACCGGGCGTGGTGGCTCACATCTAATCCCACCACGCTGGGAGACTAAGGTGGGCGGATCACCTGAGGTCAGGAGTTCGAGACCAGCCTGGCCAACATGGTGAAATCCCACCTCTACTAAAAACACAAAAACTACAGGCATGGTGGCAGGTGCCTGTAATCCCAGCTACTCAGGAGGCTGAGGCAGCAGAATCACTTGAACCCGGGAGGCAGAAGTTGCAGTGAGCCAAGATCATGACACTGCACTCCAGCCTGAGGGACAAGAGTGAGACTCCATCTCAAAAAAACAAAAGACAAAAACCACAAGGTAATTAATGTTGGGGGAAAATCAAAGCCTCTCTTTTGAAGAGAATAAAAAGAAATACTTATATTTTTAAAATATATAGTACACAGGATCCTGGCAAGAATTTTAAAATGTCTACTGGGAAAACAAAGCATCCCAGTGACCAGAAGGAGAAAAGAGCCAACTGGGAAAAGTCGCAGAACACAAAAGGCAGAAGGAAAACCCAAGCGCTGAGAGAGGCGGGAGCAGCTGAGCCTGGTTCCTGTATCTGGAGTTGCTGAGCCTGATTCTGCTGTATCTGGACAGGCAGGCAGAGTTCGGGACACAAAGGACTCTCAGGATTTGTGCTGTTTAATCCCAAGAGGACAAATGACTCCAGTCCCCCAGAACACAGGGGAGGTGAACTGAGGTAGTCAGGGCGCTGCTGGCCCTGGGGCAGGTGAGCTGAGGGTGCGGGTCTGGCCACCACTCAGCGGCTACGCAGGCCTCACGGTGACCACGGAATGTGACGAAGCCAGACCTAGTGCTGCATGAACAGCGAGCAGGGAAGAGCAGACTGAGGAGGTTCAGTGATTCAGGGCTGGTCCCGGGAAGTGGAGTCAGGGATTAAAAGCATCAACAGGCTGGGCGCTGTGGCTCACGCCTGTCATCCCAGCACTTTGGGAGGCTGAGGCAAGCGGATCACCTGGGGTCAGGAGTTTGAGACTAGCCTGGCCAACATGGTGAAATCGCACCTCTACTAAATATACCAAAATTAGCTGGGTGTGGTGGTGGGTGCCGGTAGTCTCAGCTACTCAGGAGGCTGAGGCAGGAGAATCGCCTGAAACCCAGGAGATGGAAGTTGCAATGAGTTGAGATCACATCACTGCACTCCAGCCTGGGTGACAGAGTGAGACTCTGTCTCAAAAAAAAAAAAAAAAGAAAAAGAAAAAAGCATCAATCGAGTACACAAGGAGGAACCGAGGGAAATGAAAATATTTCTGTCTCCTAAAATCCCTTCAGAAGGCGTGACAAGGAAAGAAACGAAGGATAACTAGAGAAAAAGTAGAATCAGAAAATCTCTGGTCATAAGGAAGGTGTACATAAGCCCCCATTCCCATTCACCCCACTTCTTCCTCCCTAAGCCCGCATTCCCGTTCACCCTGCTGCTTCCTCACGTTCCCTCCTGCAGATCACACCTGGCCGTAGGCCCAAAGTGAACCCATCACTGGCGCAGAAGCTTGAATCTGGAAGGGACTCATGGAGGAGGTCCGCTGTCCTTTAGAGATGAGAAAGCTGGGCCCAGATAACAAAGTCACTGGTTTCTTAGGCTGTCAGGCAGGAGGTCTGAGAGTCTGTCTTAGAGGCCCTCCGTCTGGGGCCCAGAGCACCCCTCCTTCCTCCACAACACACGGCCACATCCAGGATAATCAAGGTTCATCCCATGGGTGACAGAAAAATAACCATGGCAGTGAATGGTGCTGCTGGGTCCTGGTTTTGCTGTTACCATTCTTCAAACAGCAGGACTGGGGAAATACCGCCTGTCCCCTGCCTGCTCTGCACATCATTTCAACTTCATAACTGAAAACAGTAGCCTTTCTATGGTTAACAACATAAACGTTAGTAAATGTTCTACTCTAAGAACAGATATGCTTCTTAAAAGTTTTTAGTATGCAAAACTGTAAACACAGAAAAGTAGAGGAAGAGTCCAGCACCGGCCATTTGGCCACTGTCCAGACCTACTGTGTGCTTCTTGGGGAAAAAAATTACAGCTTTGAATGGCTGAGAAGTTTAGAAAGAAACAGCTCAGTCCCCATGGCTCGGATGGAGAGACGATGCCCGCAGGCAGGTCCCCATGCTGCCACCAGATTGGAGTCACTCCCTCCTTCCTTTAGTCACAGTACCTGAATGTGCCCGCCTCCTGGAGGGCGTCCTGGTTGCAGGCTTCTCTCGCCACCCACTCCAGAGTGTGCAACTGGCTCTCTTCTTGCGTCTTTAAAAGGACATTGAGGCGCATCTTGGATACCCGCAAGAAACAGGCTGTACAAGGGCAGAGACAGACGTTCAGCATGGCCGTGGCTGGGCTGTTGGCTCTGGAGTGCTTCTGACCCACCCGCCCCAGGAAGGGAAGTCCTTTGGCCAGGCCAATTCTAGAGCAAAATCTGAGAGATGCTCTTAGATTCCCACTGTGTCACTGCTTCTGCTGAGCCATGGAAACCTGAGAGGGTCCCCAACACGCAGTGAAATGATGCCCACTCCTCAGGAAGAGCCCACGTGGGGGCAGGGGCAAGAGGGGTGGGGAGGCTCATACCGTGGCACGTGCTGTCCTCGTTTAAGAGGTCCAGGAGGAGCACCACCCTCCGCATATTGCGCGTGCAGCTCTCGTTCTGGTCTCTGAGCATGCCCACGGCGCTCTGCACACAGCTCCTCAGCAGCCTGGTGGTGTCCAGGATCGACACCTATTGGTGGAGACGGTTAGGTTGCCCGTTTCTACCACTTACACGGTGGGTAAAAGCCAAACCACCCATATGCGATGAGGTTCTCGATGCAGCAAACAGCACAGGGCGGCGGTCCTCATGGACAAAGAAGGACGCCAACCCCCACCCCCCACCAAACTGCCGGTGCAGATGCCCTTGACCCCCAGTAACCCCCAGTAACCAGCAACAAGACCGTCGCTGTGTGAGGAAAGTGGGGCGCCATCCTCACGCCCGCACAGCAGTGGCGGCTCCTCTAGCTCCCAGTGCAAAAGCATAAAGAGGCAGCTCGGAAGCGTCACCAGCAGCACAAGGGGAGGTCCCAAGAACCAGAACTTACGTCACTGCCTCCGAGTTCAGAGGTTTCCTTTCCCACCTTCTCAGAACCTTCTGTTTCCATGGCCTCCTCTGCCACCTCCCCTGACGTGCTGGCCTCCGTTTCCATCGCCTCCTCACGGCCGTCTTCTGCCCGGTGTTCCAAGCCCACTGCAGTCAAAGCAAACGTGATTGCGTTACTGCTCAGAAAGTGGCATGGGGACTGGCAGTGGCGCCATCTGGGAGTCTGTGTGCTTAGGCTCCAGGTGCAGGCTTCCCTGGCCCCCGCTCTGGTGATGGGTCCGCAGATGAGAAATCACGGTCATGAAGATCAGCCCCCAAGGCAGCCCCTTCCAGCCTGGGCTCTGGCGTGTTCTAGGCGTTCACTTCCATGACTGGCCTGATCACAGAGCTCTACCTCAGCCTGTGGTAAGCGCACCTGCTCGGCCCTATGGTGCGATGATGAGCTACCAGTCAGTTCTGCACATGTCCCCGAGCTCCTGCTGAGGGACGACACATGGTGGCCCTGCTCCTAGTGCCATGTGCATGTCATGCTCCACACCTACCATCTGCCCTTCCACCACCCACTCCCCAGAGGCTCCGCCTCATGACTCACACTCAGGCAAGTCTCCGGGCGCGAACAGCTGGCTGATGGTGACACTCTGCAGCCTGGTCATATCTGAAACCATGAGGGTGGATCTCCGGAGGTCATCGATGTGGACAGACTGCCACAGCCCTGTGAAGAGTGAAGCCACCCACAACCGTCTCGTGTCTTTCCCGGCTGCTGCTCAGCCCTAAGCAGGAACACTGCACACCCTGGCTTGTCGTTACCTTGCTGCAAAATGAATGACTGGCACCCTGAAGCCAAAACCCTGGAATGGGCCTGCACAGAAACCCCCGACCCTATACTACACAAGAGCCGATGCTATGCACATCAACAACTTCAACATAAACAGCAACGGTAAGACCTGCAATGGCAGGTGTGGGAAGCACGCGTGGATAAGGCCTGTGGTTCTTTCACCCGTGCATTGTTGTATTTGCTGTATCACAGTTAGTGAGGGGTGGGGGACACTGGCAAGGTCTGCCTTCCATTCTCCAGGAAATGATTCGAGTAAACTTACTTTCGTGTTTCTGGAATACCAACTTTTCTATGTCATAAATAGCGGATGACCATTCCTTGGAAAAAGATCTGAAGACAGCCCGACGCCCGCCACTCTCCCTCCCCGCCAAACGGGCATATCGGTGTGTTCCTGACAGTGTACATCGGGAGTCAGGGGTCTCCGCTCTGTGTGACCCGCATGCTGAGAGGCGAGGAGCTTGCCTACAGTCAGTCCAGGACAGGCTGCACACAGCCTCCCGTCCCAGGATTCACGTTTTCACAGTAATCAGTGGTAAGAAATCTAATTGCATCTGGAAAGAATCCTCTTGAAGTTAACAATAATATTCTAATTTCAGACTTTTACAACGCAGAACCAAATGAGAAACAGTTCCAACATTACTTAAATAAATACGCTGACTGGGCTGGGTGTGGTGCCTCACGCCGGTAATCCCGGCACTTTGGGAGGCTGAGGTGAGCGGATTTTGGGTCAACAGATCGAGACCATCTAGGCCAACATGGTGAAACTCCATCACTACTAAAAATACAAAAATTAGCCGGGCGTGGTGGTGCATGCCTGTAATCCCAGCTACTTGGGAGGCTGAGGCAGGAGAATCGCTTGAACCCGGGAGGTGGAGGTTGTAGTGGCTGGAGCCACTGCACTCCAGCCTGGCAACAGAGCAAGACTCTGTCTCAAAAAATAAATAAAAATAAATAAATAAATACATTGACTGATGTTCTGATCTCACCTCCATGGAAGCCCACATAAGCTGTTCCTCTTCCCATCCGGGACAGTTTTGTGATGAAATAGACGAAGATACGGTCCTCGTTTTCTTGTATTTTGTTGATTTCATTTATAGCAGAATACCTATTTAAAGAGAGAAAAAAGAATACCTATTTTAAAAACAAACACACACAAAAAAACAAGCACCTAAATAAAGCAAAGTTGTGCGGCTGCGGAAGGGTGTTCTCTGAGCTGTTGGTCTGGTCTCACAGCCACCCGTTCCGAGGAGTTTTACATAAACTTCAGACTCCTGTGATTGTGGTTTCTTCTCTCACAGGGAGATGAGAAATCTTCTCTTAGCAGGTTCGTTTTCTTCCCCGTTCCTGTGTCCTCTGCTTTGAAGTGGCATTCTTTTATTTTTATTTATTTATTTATTTATTTTGAGATGGAGTTTCACTCTTGTTGCCCAGGCTGGAGTGCAATGGCACGATCTCAGCTCACAGCAACCCCCGCTTCCTCAGCTCAAGCGATTCTCCTGCCTCAGCCTCCCAAGTAGCTGGGATTACAGGCATGCACCACCATGCCTGGCTAATTTTGTATTTTTTTAGTAGAGACAGGGTTTCTCCATGTTGGTCAGGCTGGTCTCAAACTCCTGACCTCAGGTGATCTGCCCGCCTCAGCCTCCCAAAGTGCTGGGATTACAGGCATGAGCCACCACGCCCGGCGTGGCATTCCTTTATTGACCAGAAACCCTATCTTTTGCTCCTCAATGGGCCTGCCCCGGTGCAACTAAGGGTGAGGCCAGCTGAACTGTCCATTCCTTCTTTTCTCTTAAGCCACGGGGGTCTTGCTGTGTTGCCCAGGCTGGTCTCAAACCCCTGGCCTCAAACGATCCTCCTGCCTCTGCTTCCCAAGTAGCTGGGATTACAGGAAACAGCCCCTGTACCCAGTGGACCTTTCCATTTCAACAAAGAGTTCTGTGCGCAATGCCATTCCCTTCAGATGACCAATGGCCAAAGCCAGTTTCTTGTTGAGATCTGAGCCGCAAAATGAAATATGGCATCCAATGCTTCAAAAAGGTCCAGAAATCACTTTTACTTTAAGTGTTAAAGGCACAAAGTTAATTCTAAGAGCGTCAGACTTCCCCTACAAATACTATAAAAACATCCAATAAATAGGAATAAAAGCATTTACCTACTGTTATTTCCTTCGAACTTGAAATAAATTCAAATTGTATAATTCAAAATTAATGATGACTAAAACATGTCTACAAACACAGGCTTCAAAGGTGTCCTTTTATAGCTTGTTAATGCTCCATTATTTACACTTCTCACATTTCACTTTTTTTGTGGGGAGGACAGGCTCTCGCTCTGGCCCCCAGGCTGGACTGCAGTGGTGGGATCCCAGTTCACTGCAGCCCTGACTTCCCAGGCTCAAGTGATTCTCCCACCTCAGCCTTCTGAGCAGCTGGGACTAGAGGTGCACTGTGGAAGGCTAATTATTTTATTTTTTTAGTAATGAGGTCTTGCTCTGTTGCCCGGGCCCATTCCGCTATTTTTGTAATGTTATTAGCCTTTTCGCTTTGTCTCTCTTCAGTTTCCCTAATCCCCACTTGGGAGAATAAGGCGGGGGAAGAATTGTTCTTATTTTTATTTCTATATTGATTACGATACTATACTGTTTTCAAGGAAGAAATTCTCTAGGACCTCCTACGTTTTGGGTTTTTTACATAGTTTCTGAAAAAAATACTAAAAACGTACTTAGCTGAGGCAATGAGTTGGGCACTATGGATTCCATCTTCAAAATCTGTCTGAATAATGAGGATTTTACATTTGGCTGTATTCATTAAACAGTTTCTGAAAGAAAAGGGAGGTTATTCAAGCGAGTTCTCTGTCTTAAAAAATGGGTAACAAAATTCCCCCAAGTGATGAGAAACATAAAGGCTACAAAGAAACAGCGACTCAGGTGGGATTTTCTTCTGTAAGAACAGATAGTCCAGGGGAGAAAACCCAATGAATGTCTCCTAACGAGGTCCGAGGACGATGCTTTTGGAGGAAGCATGTCAGGCCAGACACCGCGTTGCAGAAGATGACGCAGATGAGAGGGACACTGGGAGAAATTTAACAAGGATCCATTTCACAGTCACGTGACTGCGGCACTCATTAACCAGCGCTGGCACCACTGCCAGGCAGAAGCCACACGGCCACGGCTGGGGAGGGAGAGGGCAGGGAAGGCAGGGAACCTCACCGGACTTCTTTGAGGAATGAGATCTCCGTGTCAAACCGCTGCAGCCACAGGAGTGTGAGTTTCGAAGCCCTGCCTGTGACTTCTGATTCTAAAATTTCACAGTCGTGACTTGTTAGCAGCCTGGAGAAAGTGGTGATCTACAAAGTTAGGAAATGCAAATTACTTGCCAGAATTCAAGGAAAGGTTGCAAGTCTGCTGGTGGGTTTAGACAGATCCCAGAAACTTGCTGATGTTCAGCGCAGTGCAGTTGCCACGCGACGGCACAGAATCCAAACCCAAAGGAGTTTCCCAAAACAAGGCAGCACTGGGGCCAGGAGGCCCTACAGGGCCAAAGGCTTTGGAGAGACGACCCCACCCTGCCCTGAGGGTGCCTTCTTCTCCTCCCCAGAGGCCCATGCCTCTGCCTGCTTGGTTCCTACTTGAGATTCCCATGATCCCTTAGGGCTCAGCACAAATGCCATTTCCTGTTATAATCCGACTTCATGCTTTCAGATGGAGTTCGTGGTTGGTACCGCCCCTTCCCCCAGATGTCATTCTCCTGCCCCACAGGCCACTCCCCCATCACAGTGCAAGCGGAAAAGTTCCTCAAGACCTGCCTCCCAGCCTAGCCTCACCACTGAGCTCAGATTCCTACGTCCAACTGCACGATGCATCAAAACCTGTCCCCAGTGGACATCATCACTGGCCCCCCAAAACCTGCTGTCCATTCCTGGGTTATCTGTCATGATGCAGCAATGTCCACTCATCTAAGAATGAGTCCAGGGAGCCACCGTGGACCCCTCCGCCCCCCACACCCTTGCTCGGTGGTAGTGTTGGCCCTGCCAAATGGCCTCCTAAGTACCTCTCGGTTCCATCTGCTCCTCTCCTTTGTACCGTTCCAGCAGCCTCCCCACTGGCCTGTCTTTTCCACGACAGCCTTTCATCAGACTCCCTTCACCCAGCTAGGGAGACACACGTGCCTCCAGCGCCCGCTCCGTAGGGCTGAGATGTGGCTCCGCAGGGCCACTGAGGCCCTCCAGCAGTTCTCTCTGACTGCACCGCATCGCCCCATCTCAGCACTCACAGCCTGGAACCCTAAGCGCTGTCAGCGGCTCTGCCCACAGAAGGCCCTCAGCCTACAGTCCCTTCCCCGCCATTCTTCCCCATCAGCGAGGGGCCTCTCCTAGGGAACATCTCATCTGAGCTGGCATCCTGGTCTGCAGTGCTCCCTGCTGCCTCTAAGCACAGCATTTATCATATGATATTGATGGCATCTGATCATGTACTGGTCTCTCCACACTCCCTAATGCTAACAAAGGACAAGAGCTGCAAAGTCATCTCTGCATCCCCAGTGCCCTCGGCCCGGTCCTGGAACATGGTACTTCATTTGTTGGTGTGAACATCGTGTGTGGTGCTGTTACCGGCATGGCGCACTGCACAGACCCAGGCACTCAGCACCTGGTTAACTGGACCTACATAGATACTTGGCTCTCCCCACACTTACCACGGAGGAGAGCCCAGCGTCTCAGCATCTGCCTGCAGGATCCCTAGCCACTGCCAGGGGAGGAATCTTGAATCCTGACGCTAGGGATTTAGGACTCTCGGGTGACAGAGGATAGGGTACGAGTGCAGAAAGACAATCACCTCTGTGAAGATGGCATGGCGCTCCAGGTCTGTCGTGTGCAGGTGCATCTGAAGGAAATCTGCAAAGGAGTTGTGCCTCTGTCTGTAGAAGTACTCCTGTGACAGCGACTTCCCTGGGAACGAGCCCAGCGAGGAGGCGCTCAGCCGGACCACGGCATCGGGCGTAGCGCAGTTCAGCAGGATCAGTCTGGCCTCCTCAGCCACCTTCTGGTAAAGTTCCTCCGTCAAGGCCTCTCTATGACCCTGCCTCTCTATGACCTGCAGCACCACAGAGGCGCAGGCATCCGAGTGGTAGCCGATGAAGACGTCAGAGGGGCTGTATTTGTGCCTGTTCAGGAAATGCTCTGCTTTGACATCGATGAACTTCTCCACCCACGCACGGAGCTCCTCCACGACGCTCTTCTGCCATTTCTCCAGCACCGTGTTGATGTCCAGATAGTGCTTCTCCAGCCGGTTAATGAGGGGGATGGGAAAGTGTTTGTACACGATGTCTTTCTCTTCAATGACGATCAGGCGGAAGTTGGGGTGAACCCGACATTTGACGCGGTGGGTCCCCAGACCGAGGTCCACGTACTTCTGGCCGCCGAGGTGGACGTAGTACTGGTTGAGCGCGTCGTAGAGGCTCTCGTAGAGGTTCTGCAGGTTGAGGAGCACCACCATCTTGCCTGTTTCCATGCAGATCTTCACACGATTGATGTTTCTGCAGATCTGGGTGTACTCCTGGTCCTTGGGGAAACCAGAACCAAAAATGATCTCCGGCTGCTGGTCCTCCTTGAAGAACGTCTGCTGCAGGATCTGCAGTGCCACGTAGTTTTTGGTCAGCAAGAGTAAGTAGCGGGACTCAGCATCTTCCAGCTGTCCACCCGGGACCTTCTGAGAAGGCCCAAAGATGTTCTGTTTGATCAGCTGCAGGGGACTCACTTCCTCTGAGCACTTGGCCTCGGGCAAATTGGCCAGGAAGATGTCTAAAGCATGGATGTCATCCTTGCCACTGAAGTTCCTAAGGACAGCCTGTGCAATGTCTTGCGGGGAAGGCTTTCTATTTGAAGCCTTCGCTGCAGCAAAGACCATTTTGATGAGGCTGTAGTAGTCACGAAGCCCAAAGAATTCCTTGTCCTGGTTCTCACACACCGTTTCGTAGGCTTTGGCAAAGGACGCAAAGTACCCTTGGATTCGGTCCTGGATGAGGCTGTCTGAGGAGCAGATGCCCTTGGCACTGTCTATGAGCTCTCGCTTGTTGGGGCTGCCGCGTGACACGAAAATGCCCCGGTTCATCTTGGCAGGGTCAAGGGCCCAGTTGGAGATGCCCACAAAGCCAACCTTTTTGTGGGGGGCGGGATCGTCTTCAATGCATCCATCTTCCAGCAGCGGGTGCAGAGTCTTCAGGGGCATTTTGGGCGAGTCTTCCGCCAGCCCCACCTCATCTAACACCACCACGGAGACATACTGCTGCAGGTCCTTCCCCTGCTGAAAGCGGGCACACTGCCGGAAGGTGCCAATGATGCCCTGTGGGGTGGAGTGCGGGCTGCACTGGAACGACACCAGGTGGACCTGCTTCAGGCTGCGGAAGAGATCTGAGTAGGCGGCCGGGCCCTGCATGGCGTCGGCCACGATGGTCTTGGCGAGGGACTTGGAGCTGCCGGGCTTCCCCACCAGGAAGAGGGGAATCTTCAGCTCGATGCAGATGACCATCATGAAGACGTTCTCCTTCAAGGCCAAGTTCTTGGCGATGGTTTTCCTCAGAGGTATGCCGTCCAGAAAAAGATCCTGTGCCCGCGTTATTTCATCCAGAAGCAGCCTGCTGTCGTCATACGGTTTTGGAAAGAACCTGGCGATGGCCTTCCGATATGAGTCTTTCTTTTCTAAAGAGGCGTGGTAACACACCCCGACGGCCAGCATCAACGACCAGAGGACGGGATCTCTCTCAAGGTGATTTTTGCTGACGCTGGACTTGGAGAGAAAGGAATTCAGCTGCGCTAAGAGCATCGCACTGTGCTCGTGGAACCATCTGAAAACTTTCACACAACGCTCCACGTCCCTGAGGCTGACAAAACCACACTCATCTTCTCTTTTCCTCATGAAACCCTGAGAGGCGCAGAGGACTTCTGTGATCACGCGAGTCTCGTTTTCATCTAGGCTGATGGAGTCAACCAGTCTCTGGACAATCTGCTGGATGTAGAGCTTTTCAGCAGCGTCACTCAGTTGTCCAAAGTCCCACACCAGAGGAATCAGGCTCGGGGGCAGAGCGTGGACTCGGTACACCAGCTGCCTCAGAGGAATGGAGCCCAGCTTGTCGGCCGTCTCCTCTGCACTCACCCTGTAGCCCAAACCAGCTGACTCCAAACGGCAGATCATCTCCTCAGAGTGCTTCCGGTATGGGTTGCAGGCGGCTATAATATGCAGGCCAGAGTCCCTAGCCAGGGGCTGGCCGTCCACCGTACGATCACACAGGACTTCTTTGATACAGCTTACAGCTTCCGTGGTGTTGGCTTCATCAAAAAACAAGATGGTGTCCAACTGATGTTGATCCTTATTGGCGAAGGCCACATTTTCAGCCTCCCTGACTCTGGAGTAGATCATGTCTGCGGTTGTTCCTCCATGCACCTTGACCAGCTTTATGGTGTCAGCATCGGCACCAGCACGCCGCAGGTCGCTAAGGAATTTAATAAGCCTGGTTTTGCCACAGCCAGTTTCTCCCATGATGATAACCGGGATCCCACACCGGAACCGCATCTCAATGGCAAGGATCTTAAGCATATTGTCTGTCGTGAGCTCATACGTTTCGTCCGGGTCAATGGCCCAGCGGATCCCTAAGGTCAGGCAGAGCCTCTCAAGTTTCTCGTGTCTGGGCAGTTTATCAAAGTCGACATTGAAGGGCACCCTCTGGAGCAGCAGCCCCTGATACAGGTCCATGGTCATGACATCTCTCTTGATGACCTTCCCAGTCAAGTGATTGATGGCGTCGACACTGCCCTTGCTGTTGGGCTGCAGATAGAAGCCGATGAACGTCATGGTGGTGCGGTCGTCATTGAAGAAAACGTATGGGTGAGGCTCCGACTCCCACCTCTTCCGGAGAGAGAAGGGTGCTAGATCTTCTTCCTTAACCCCATCCATGGTGACCATGTGCTTCCCCGGGCTTTGGTCAGAGGTATGGAGTGTTGGTGTGGCAAAATCTCTTGCCATAAAGATCATGAAGGTCACCACAAAGTTCTTGAAGCCTCTCAGTGTGTCGCCAATAAAACTCGGATTACAGAAGAGAGACGCCTCGCAATCTCGGAGCTGATAATTCAGGAACCGAGCAAAGTTCCGAAGCTCTGACCAGGATGGGTTTATTACCCCGCAGTAAATCAGGAAATGCTGGAGGCATTCCTCCGGGGTGCCTTCGACAGAGCCTTCCTGATACTCAAACATGTCTAGGTCTTGGTTTTGATGGAATCGTCTTAAATATTGGTAAGGTCTTTGGAAAGTTTCGCTGCAGAACTCCCACTGATCCATCCCAGGCTCTGTGTCACCCCTCTGAGGACTCAGCTCCATGTCTATCACCTCTTTGGGAGGCCTGCAGGTGACTTTTGGGAAGATGTCAAGAAAACTGAACTGGGGGACACGTGTACGCTGGAAAGGAGTGACATGAATGAAATGGTTACAAGAAAACTTTCTAAGAAATGCTTTTGTGTCTTAACCCTCCACGTTATCTATATTGGATGGACCTTTATGAAAAATGCACTGAAAATATGTAGTTTTCTGTATACTCTTTTTTTACACAGAATATCTTTCGCACATTAAGTAAGGCATTGTTGTGGGAGCTGCATTCTGAGCCAGGAAATCACTTTCTAGCCCAACTTCCTAAAACTAAGTTTCTCCACTAAGCATACATGTGTATGTATGGGAGTGAACATAAAACTCTCTTTTGCTAAGAAATTTTTACGACAAACATCTCCTTCCCATCTTAGCTGGCATTAGGAAAGATGACTTCTTTCAGCAGATGAATTTACTACATTCAGAGTGCAGCTGGGATTCAGACTGGGCATACAGCATGAAGCCTGAATTGAACAGACAAATTGAAGACACTGCTAATTAACAGAAGAGTACTTTTATCCCAGACATGATTAAAACATGAGTTTAAAGATGGGCTTTTCTTTACTAACACCACACTCAGCTGCTGCAGTATGTAAGGCAAAGCTATGGAGTCACCTAAACACATCGCTACATTTCAGTAAGACCAGAAGGACCCCAGGACCCCCAACACCAGGTGAAAATGCCCCACAGTACAGACCAGCTTGGAAGACCTCCTCGACGGCACTGACGTCCTCCTTTCCAGGATTTCAATGATATACAAATGGCAGGGGTTCCGAAGCCACATTTTCCCGTTTATATCCATTAAGTATTGTAAAATGAGGAGCTTGAAAAGAAACACCCAAATTCCAGTCTGCACCTAAGGACAGAATAGCACGAGGTGTAAACACACAACACGATGGTGAGTTCTCCCAACTCCAAGGACCCCCCTTATTTTGCTCTTTGTCACGATGATCTTGATGGTCGACATCAACAGTTCAGCCAGCAACGGCCCACGTCTCCGAGGGCAGCCCCGTAAGATCCTAATACTGTATTTCCCTGTACCCTTTCTATGTTTAGACACACAAACACGCCGTTTTACAACTGCCTTCAGGATTCAGAACAGCCATATGCAGCCTAGGAGCCGCCGTGTGTCCCACGAAGCCTGTGTGTGTGGTGGGCTTTACGTCTAGGTTTGTGTAAGCGCACACCGTGACACTCACACAGGAGGAAATTGCCTGACAACACACGTCTCAGAGCGTGTTCCCGCTGTTGAGCTTCATAGGACTGTGCGTGTGGAAACGAGGAATTCTTATACATGGGAAGGAGTCACGCAGGGACTTGGGGACCACGTCTTTACTGATGTGGCCATCAGCTGATGCTGGAGGGCACTTACTGAGGAGGTCACGTCCAAATGAAAGAGCATGGGGACCTTCTGATACTGCGCGTCCAGGAAGGGCAGCAGGGCACCCAGGACTTGGCTCTCATCCACCTGAGGGTCGATCAGTCGAATCGTTTTCAGAGGCACCTTTTTCCTGTTTAACTGTATCTTTAGCTTGTCGTGCAACCTCTTCACGTAGAGAGACTTTCCTGTAACATTAAAATATAGAAATTAGGGCTGGGCGCGGCAGCTCACACCTGTAACCTGGCACTTTGGGAGGCCGAGGCAGGGGACTCACTTGAGGTCAGGAGTTCGAAACCAGCCTGGCCAACATAGTGAAATCCCGTCCCTACTGAAAAAACAAAAAAATTAGCCAGGCTGGCCAAACTGTAATCCAACTAGCCGAACGGCGATCCGAGGTCAGGAGAGACATCCTGGCTAGGTGAAGTCCAAAAATACAAAAAACAGGGCGAGGGGGGCCTGTGAACTCCGGAGCTGAGGCTGGAGATGGGTGACGGGGCGGAGGCAGTGAGGATCGGCACTGCACTCCAGCTGTGAAGAGACTCCGCCAAAAAAAAAAAAAAAAAAAAAAACAGCAAAACCAGCTACTCAGGAGGCTGAGGCAGGAGAATAGCTTGAACCCAGGAGGCAGAGGTTGTAGTGAGCAGAGATCACGCCACTGTACTCCAGCCTGGGCGACAGAGCGAGACTCTGTCTAAAAAAAAAAATAAATAAATAATATATATATATATATATATATAATATATATATACTTGTATATATAATTTATATAAATATATATTATATATATAAATATATAATATATTTTATATATAATATATATAAATATAAATTATATTTATAATATATGTAATATATATATTATATAAATATATATATATAAAATATATTATGTAATATATAATTTATATAAATATAAATATATATATTAATATATAAATATATATATATAAATATATATATAAAATATATTATATATAAAAAATATATATTTATATGTATTATATTTAAATATATTTATACAAATATATATATAAATTTATATATATTATATATAAATTAGGTCCCAGGGCTAGGACAAAAAGAGAATCTAGAAAGATCCACTAGAAGTTAACTTCTCTTTGTATAAAATTCAAAACTGCTGCAACATCACATCAGATTGAAGAATACGCTCTCGAATCTTCACATTTCCCAGGCGTTACCTACTCATTCTCCTGACCACCTCCTGCCTCCACATGACAGCAGGCAAAGCACAGTCCTGCGCCACTTAACACTAGGAACACATTCTGGAAAACGCACTGTGAAATGACTCTGTCGCTGTGAACACCACACAGTGTGCGTGCAGAAACCCAGACACTACAGCCGACCACACACCTGAGCTAGGTGGAATAGCCCATTGTCCCCGGGCTGCAAACCATGACAGCATAGAGGCATCCTACGTACAGTGGGGAGCTGTGACACAGGGGCAAATATCTGAATATCTGAACGTATTCAGGCCAAGCAGGGTGGCTCGGGCCTGTAATGCCAGCACTGTGGGAGGCCGAGGCAGTTGATCACTCAAGGTCAGGAGTTTGAGACCAGCCTGGTCAACATGGCAAAACCCCATCTCTACTGAAAACTAGTCAGGCGTGGTGGCAGGTGCCTGTAATCCCAGCTACTCGGGAGGCTGAGGCAGGAGAATCACTTGAACCTAGGAGGCAAAGGCCACAGTGAGCCAAGATCATGCCACCGCACTCCAGCCTGAGTGACAGAGTAAGACTCCATCTCAAAAATAAAAATAAAAACATCTAAATGTAGAAAAGGTACAGTAAAAATATGGTATTATAATCTTTTGTTCTTTCTTTCTTTCTCTTTTTTTAAAAGACCAAGGTCTTGCCCTGTTGCCTAGGCTGGAGTGCAGCAGCACAACTGCAGCTCACCACAGCCTCGACCTCTTGGGCTCAAGTGATCCTCCCGCCTCGGCCTTCCTAGCTGGGATCCCTAGCTGGGATCACAAGCACACACCACCATGCCTGGCTAATTTTTAAAGTACAGTTTTATAATTTTATGGGATTGTGGTCATATATGTGGTCTGCTGTTGACTGAAATTCCATTATGCGTCACATGACTAGCTAATGAAAGTCACAGCAAAAGCAGAGGTTTCATCAGGGAGGGGAAGAGTAATGTTCATCCCAACAGGATGGGGTACTGCTGATAGGATAAAGTCAACAGAACAGAAGCTACTATTTCTTTTTAAGGGAAACAAGATGGCAAACGAAGGGTGGGTCAAGAGACACGGCTTTCTTTTCAAGTAGAGCAGTTCTACCCTCCTCGCTCACATGACCAACATCAACCCCAAAGAGGCCAGTGGCATTTAAGGGGAGAAGAAGTAAACTTCAGGCCGGGCGCGGTGGCTCACACCTGTAATCCCAGCACTTTGGGAGGCTGAGGCGGGTGGATCACCTGAGGTCAGGAGTTTGAGACCAGACAAGCCAACATGGTAAAATCCTGTCTCTACTAAAAATACAAAAACTAGGCCGGGCACGGTGGCTCATGCCTGTAATCCCAGCACTTTGGGAGGCTGAGGAGGGCGGATCATGAGGTCAAAAGATCGAGACCATCCTGGCCAGCACGGTGAAGCCCCATATTTACTAAAAATAAAAAAATTAGCTGGGTGAACTGGCGTGTGCCTGTAGTCCCAGCTACTCGGGAGGCTGAGGCAAGAAAATCACTTGAATCTGAGAGGTGCAGATCACGCCACTGTACTCCAGCCTGGGTGACAGAGTGAGACTCTGTCTCAAAAAAAAAAAAAAAGCAAAAATTAGCCAGGCATGGTGGTGGGCACCTGTAATCCTAGATACTCAGGAGGCTGAAGCAGGGTAATCACTTGAACCCAGAAAACGGAGGTTGCAGTGAGCTGAGATCACGCCACTGCACTCCAGCCTGCTGACAGAGCAAGACGCCATCTCATAAGAAAAAAAGTACACTGCAGAGATGTTTGCTGAGAGGAGGAAGGGAATGGGGCGCCCAGGGAATGCCCACTGTGGGAGACCAGGTGACCAGGGTGCCTGGTTCTGACACAGACCCTGACTGACACCCACAGATGAAACACACCCTCCCTGAGCCTCGGTTTCTCCACCCTCAGACAGGCTTCATGTGCTGGAGGGGGAAGGGCCCCAGGCAGTCCCTGGGAGACGGGGCCCGCCCACCCTGCCGCTCTCCTTACCAACACCTGCTCGCTCGGAGGCCACGATCCCAACACACAGGCGGTCCTTGAACACGGCCGCCGCCGACAGGGTCTGCTTCGGGACCCGGTAGTGATCTGCCAGGTAGGCTTGGATGGCCTCGAGGGGTGCCTGGGGGGTGACGAAGACCTTGTGCTGGCTGAAGGCAGAGGGGAGGTAGCAATGCTCCCAGTCCCCATCGCAGACCATGACGAGCTGGTAGTCTTCGCGGTGCTGCTGCATGCACAGTTTCTGGAAGAGCTCCTCGGCTTGACGCGCCACCTCGTAGCTCAGCTGATCTGCGAACAGCAGGCTGTAGACCTTGTGCCCCGGGGAGCCCGGGGTCAGGCAGCGGCGCAGCAGCAGTGCCACCTCCTCAAAGGTGGTTGCCGGGGTGCAGAGCAGCACCTCATCGTAGGTGGGCAGGGGCTGGCTCGGGGTTTGCATGTAGACAGCCAGGGCGGCTGGCAACACCTCCGAGTGGCCACACACAACCAAGTTGGGCTGGCCGACTTGCAGACCTCTCGGGAGATGCCGCTCCACGGGAGACCCACCCATCCCCGCCAGGTGAGCCAGACAGCGGCCAAGGGTCTCTAGGTCGAGGCAGTCGGGCAGGAAGGCAGGAAGGCACTCCATGGACTGCTCCATGATGACCCTTAGCTTGTCCGCCAGGCTGAACTCCGAGAAGAGCATCAGTGGGAGCTCTTCCGTGACTGTCCTCACACGGTACCTGGCGGCCTCACTCTCGCACCCCACAGAGGCCCTTAAGACATCCATCAGGGTGCAGTTGCTTTTGATGAAGGACAGCATCGTTAGAGCGGCGTCACTGGGAGGCTGCTTCCTGAGCTCAGTGCTCAGGGAAACCAGCTGCTCTGCCGTGTAGAAGTTCAGGTAGAAGTGCTCCGTCCGCTTCTGGGTCACGAATTTCTTCCAGCTGTCAAGGAAGTGTTCCATCTGCCTGCAGAGGGCTGCCAGCAGCTCAGTGACATCTCCACCCTCCACCAGCTCCGTCACCAGCTCCAAGCCAAAGTTCATTCGGATGGACACACCCTGCTTGGGGGAGCAGTAGGCCTTGGCGGTCCAGGTCCTGAACAGCATATTCCCAGCAGAGCGCAGGTCGATGAAGGCCTGGCTGAGCCTCTGCACGCTGCAGAAGACCTGGAGACGAAGAACCACGAGGTTGGCTCACAGAGCCACGTGAGAGGGCAACACGCTGCTCTGCAACAGCACACAGGCCTCCCTGTCCACGGGCCCACTGCATGATCTGCGCTCACAAGGCCGCCCTCCTCATCTACACAACCCACCCGAGAAGATGGCTCTCTATGAGGAAAAGAGTCATTGTAGAGATAAACGGTATCATTTGTTTTAATTTGTTTTAATTTTTGTTTTTTTGAGATGGAGTCTCGCACTGTCGCCCAGTGGAGTGCAGTGACGCGATCTCGGCTCCCTGCCCGCTCCGCCTCCTGGGTTCATGCCATTCTCCTGCCTCAGCCTCCCAAGTAGCTGGGACCACAGGCACCCGCCACCACGCCCAGCTAAATTTTTTGTATTTTTAGTAGAGATGGGGTTTCACCGTGTTAGCCAAGATGGTCTCGATCTCCTGAACTCGTGATCCGCCCACCCCAGCCTCCCAAAGTGCTGTGATTACAGGCGTGAGCCACCGCACCCAGCCTAATTATTATTTTTATTAAGATGGAGTCTCACTCTGTCGCCCAGGCTGGAGTGCGATGGCGTGATCTCGGCTCACTGCAAGCTGCTCTGCCTCCCGGGTTCACGCCATTCTCCTGCCTCAGTCTCCTGAGCAGCTGGGATTACTGGCACCTGTCACCATGCATTTTTGTATTTTTGGTAGAGACGGGGTTTCACCATATGGGCCAGGCTGGTCTCAAACTCCTGACCTCAAGTGATAGGCCCGCCTCGGGCTCCCAAAGTGCTGGGATTACAGGTGTGAGCCAAAAGTGCTGGGATTACAGGTGTGAGCCATGGTGCCCAGGCTGTTTTAATTTTTTTTAATTATCTTTTCTTAATTGGGAAAAAAAAAACTTCATACTTTTTGAGACAGGGTCTCGCTATGTTGCCCAGGCTGGTCATGAACTTCTGGGCTAAAATGATCCTCTCACCTTGGCCTCCCAAAGTGCTGGGATTACAGGTGTGAGCCAAAAGTGCTGGGATTACAGGTGTGAGCCAAAAGTGCTGGGATTACAGGTGTGAGCCACCGCGCCCGGCAGAGATAAAGGATACCATTTGTAAAGTACAAATCAACTTTAAAGAAAGCACCCATAATAAAATTGAGAGACTGTTATGTAAACCAGTACACCATTCTCCATATGATTACTTCTGTTCTGTCCATCTAAATCTTAGTTATTTGGATTCTTGCCGATTTACAGGGTGAGGCAATTCAAGTGTCTTTCTAAGGGCTATCTGCTGGGTGACCGACCTCCTTCTCAGCGCAGTGGACAGGCTGCCAGCTTGCAGTGTTCCTCCTGCAGGTCGTAAGGAGGGACTAACCCAGGGGCCCGCCCGCCTTAAGACCTCTCTCTGGGGCCACAGACTGGAGTTCCATGCACCCTGCAAATGTGCCAGCTCTCCTCTCCATGGGCCTAAGAGCAGAGCCCTTCTTATCAGGCAAATCCCAAGTCAAACCCTTTCCGTGTTCTTGGGGGTACCCAGCCCCCACGGATGAGATGACGCCACCAGCTTAGCGCCGCTGCAAAGATGCGCCCTCACCTCTGAAAACCTCTCCACTTCCGTGTTGTTATGATCCTTCTTGCCAGACATCAGCATCAACTTGTTCAAAAGCTCCTTCAGCTCCTCTAAACAGTACTCCCGTGGCTCCTCGTGGCTGCCAGGGATCCCAGGAAGGACCAAGTGCAGAACCGTGTCTGGGGAAATCTGCGAAGAGCACAGGCGAGAAGTCGCTTTCCTGGGGGCAGAGGCCCTGGACTGGCAGCAGCCCGCAGACAGGCGGCAGCTGCACCGAGGGGTGGGGACCGCTCACCTTTTGGCCACCTTTGGGTGCATGGATCACATACATGCCTCTCTGGTTGATGGCCGTGGCCAGGGTCAGGGATGAGAGTTCCACAGACCCATGACTCTCCTTCACAGTCTTCAGCCACTCCAGGTTCCTGGCAGAGTCACACTGTGGGGACAAAAGGAGAGAACACGGGCCACAGTTGGAGAGAGCATCTTGCCCTTCTCCCTCCTACGGTCGGCCTCCCGCCTCTGCCTCGCTGCACAGCCTTCTCCCCACGCTTCCGCAGGGCTCAGGACGCAGTCGCCCACCCAGCGCCCCGGCTGGACCAGGTGCGGTGCCACCCTGACAACGTGATGTGTCACTCAGTGCTGCTTTGTACTCGCTGTTCACCCACATTTCCTCTAGTGCCTGGTGTCCCGGCTGGCACGTGGGGGCACTTGGCTTATATTTGTGGAGGAGTAGAAGGGAATGAGCAGCTGCCCGTCTGCCTCTCCACCAGACGCCATCATTCTGCCAGGTCCCCAGTGCAGAGAACCCTCAGGGAGTGACGCTGGAAGCAATGGCTGTGGGAGTCCCAAGTCCCCAGTGTCCTTCTGTGGCCCCCAAGTACAGTAAGAGGAGTTCAGGAAAAATGACAACAGAGGGTTTTGTTTGGAAACTCTCCTGAGTTTCTAGCAGAAACATGAACATAGCTTTACCTGCCCTTCCATATGTCACTTCTTCCTCCACCCACGTGCAGAGCATACCTAGATATGGTATCTAGTTAAGCTGCATAAGTCAATTCAGACCCTGCTACAGGAAGTTTACTTAAATTTAAATGTTTACTTTTTTCTTTCCTTTTCTTGTTTTTTGAGACAGAGTCTCACTTTGTCGCTCACGCTGGAGTGCAGTGATGCGATCTCAGCTCACTGCTATCTCCGCCTCCCGAGTTCAAGCAACTCTCCTGTCTCAGCCTCCAGAGTAGCTGGGATTACAGGCACACACCACCACGCCGGGCTAATTGTAAATGCTTACTTTTTTCTGATAAAATATTATATCAATTATAGAAAATAACAAAAAGTAACAGAATAAAATGACAATTACAACAATTCAGAGAAAACTCCTGGCGACATTTCAGCCTATTTCCTTTCTGTCTTTTTTCCATGTGTGTTTTGCACCTTAGAGATTACTATGTGTCATGTCATTTTGTATCCTGCTTTCTAAGTAACAAGATGGTGAATTTCCATTTAGGAAGAACAGCTTTTCAAATATCATTGAAAATGGCTGTGTACAAACCTACCACACAGGTGTACCACCGTTTGCAGTCACTCCCCTAATGTTGCTAAGCCACGCTGTATTCAATGTAATCTGCATTAGAGCCAGAATAAGACTCACCAGTTTCCTGGGCAGGTACTGGTCATTGTCCAGAGCCTTCCACAGCTCTTTCAGATGCTTCATGAATGCATCGAAGCCCACCCTGGGGTCCAGCTTAAACAGCAGGGATGCGTAGCCCTGCACGGCGTCATGGAAACAGGCCACCCGGTCCACGTCAATGTCATTCTCCCCCGCTGAGATGGAGGCCAGGTCCACAAACACCTTCAGCTCGTTGATGCCTGGGGGAGAGAAGAGGGGAGGTCAGCGTGGGACTATTCCGTGATGGCACAAGACTCGGTCTTGGGCAGTAATCCTTACTGAAGCTGAAATGGGTATTTCATACATTTGTAAGGTTCTGTCCACTTTCTGCTTTCAGTAAGAGTCCAGAACGCCTCACCTTTTGTAGTGTTTTTTTTTTTTTTGAGACAGAGTCTCGCTCTGTCACCCAGGCTGAGTGTAGTGACACGATCTCAGCTCACTGCAACCTCCGCCTTCCAGGTTCAAGTGATTTTCCTGCCTCAGCCTCCCGTGTAGCTGGGATTACAGGCGTCCACCACCACGCCTGGCTAATTTTTTGTATTTTTAGTAGAGACAGGGTTTCGCCGTGTTGGTCAGGCTGGTCTCCAACTCCTGACCTCAGGCGATCCACCCGCCTTGGCCTCCCAAAGTGCTGGGATTACAGGTGTGAGCCACCACGCCCAGCCTATAGTGTTTGTTAATACCACTAAACAATCTCTCGCCGCTCCTCAGTAACTTCGGTGTCCCAGGCACTGTACTGCGCTTTTGTGTACCCTGTTTCCTTCAATCCACACAACAGTACCATTTAAACAAAAAGAAACCAAGGCTCAGCTGTAAATAACATGTTCACAATTAACTACGAAACACTCAGATCATTCCCCTCGGATAAATCACTCATCAAAGGATGTGTATCAGCGTGGACCAAAGAGTCCACCGTTGAAAGCGGGAGCTCTCCCAAGAGAGCCAGAGCCTGCGATCCAGCAGGTGGTGGCCCCCAGACCCCCCAGCACACCTGCACTGCTGCCTGTGCCCCTCCTGCCTCCTCTGCCTCTTCCTCTCTCCTCCGCCAACATCTAAGCCACAGAACTGAAGAGGCTGCCAAGAAATGCACAGCCTCGATGGAGAGGTTGTGAGAAAAATCTGTGGGGCTGGGAGTGGTGGCTCACACCTGTACTTGCTCACACCTGCACTTTGGGAGGCCAAGATGGGTGGATCACCTGAGGTCAGGAGTTTGAGATCAGCCTCGCCAACATGGTGAGACCCCATCTCTACTAAAAATACAAAAAATTAGCTGGGTGTCGTGGCGGGCGCCTGTAACCCCAGCTACTCAGGAGGCTGAGACAGGAAAATCGCTTGAATCCAGGAGGTGGAGGTTGCAGTGAGCCGAGATCACACCACTGAACTCCAGTGTGGGCAACAAGAGCGAAACTCCGTCTCAAAAAAAAAAAAAAAAAAAAAAAAGGGCCGGGCGCAGTGCCTCATATCCATAATCCCAGCACTTTGGGAGGCCGAGGCAGGCGGATCACAAGGTCAGGAGATCAAGACCATCCTGGCTAACACAGTGAAACCCTGTCTGTACTAAAAATACAAAAAATTAGCTGGGCGTGATGGCGAGTGCCTGTAGTCCCAGCTACTCAGGAGGCTGAGTCAGGAGAATGGTGTGAACCTGGGAGGCAGAGGTTGCAGTGAGCCGAGATCATGCCACTGCACTCCAGCCTGGAGGACACAGCGAGACTCCGTCTCAAAAAAAAACAAAACAAAACAACTCTCTGTGGGCAAGAGCTCCTCTTGTCCTCCAGTAAAAAATCTACTGGAAGAAAAAGCTGAAGGGGGGCAAGATTTTAAGGAAAAGGAACCTGAGTCATTTACAGCATCCGAAGTGGCGGGGTGTGGCAAAGTGAGTGGCTTTTACACCAGCACAAGGAGATACTGTACCAATGTGAACTCTGTGAGCAATGCCAATCTCCCTAAAACATGCAGGCAATGTCTTTCTGGCCTTCACATAGCCCTTGGCCAAAGGGAGATATTGCCGAAGAGTTTAGGAACGCCACACAGTGCGCCATCTGAAAACTTTCTCCAGACTTCCAGGCAACCCCAAAGGCTGATTTTACCTCCAAGAGCCTCCCGGACCCAGCGGATGAACTCCTTCCTCAGGGACAGAGCCTTCAGCCCCTCGCACCGGGCCTCGCTGATGTCCTGGAGCAGCTTTTTGGCCTGGATGAGCTCCTGGTTGATTTGGTCCAGGGTTTCATGGCCAAAATTGTCAAAGTCATCAGTCTGCAAGAAAAAGCTCTACTGTGGACTGGAACTCATGAACCAGAACCCCAGAATCTGTGAGCTGCAAGCACCGACCATCGCAGCAGCCCCACCCTCCCTCAATGCCTAGACTTGCCACTGCTGTGACAACAGGCACAACGAGCTCTTACCCTTGAATTGGATGATCTAACCCCCACGGCTGTTTCTCCCTGATCAAGAGTAACTGTGATTCCTGGGAACCTGACATTCCACTTAGCATTTTATGTGGACTGTAAAATCAGTTCCTCACATAACCCCGCCAGGTAACTACTGTTGCTTTTTCTGCTTTATCAGTAAAGGCCCAGAGAAGCTGCTTCCTCAAGGACATGCACTAGGGTTCAAGTGTAAATGGGTGTGAATCCAGATTTTTTTTTTTTTTTTTTTTTTTTTTGAGATGGAGTCTCACTCTGTCGTCCAGGCTGGAGTGCAATGGCACTATCTCGGCTCACTGCAACCTCTGCCTCCCCGGTTCAAGTGATTTTCCTGCCTCAGCCTCCCGTGTAGCTGAGATTACAGGCGCCTGACACCACGCCCGGCTAATTTTTGTATTTTTAGTAGAGACGGGGTTTCACCATGTTGGTCAGGCTGGTCTCAAACTCCTGACCTCAGGTGATCTGCCCACCTCAGCCTCCCAAAGTGCTGGATTACAGGCGTGAGCCACTGTGCCTGGCTGTGATTTCCAGCTTTTGTGCTAAATTCTAATCGTTATCTCATTCTACCTAAAAACACAAACAGCAAAAGACTCAGCCGGGCGCAGTGGCTCACGCCTGTAATCCCAGCACTTTGGGAGGCCGAGGCGGGCGGATCACGAGGTCAGGAGATCGAGACCATCCTGGCTAACACGGTGAAACCCCGTCTCTACTAAAAAAAAAATACCAAAAAAATTAGCCTGGCGAGATGGCGGGCGCCTGTGGTCCCAGCTACTCAGGAGGCAGAGGCAGGAGAATGGCGTGAACCCAGGAGGCAGAGCTTGCAGTGAGCTGAGATCGCGCCACTGCACTCCAGCCTGGGGGACAAAGCAAGACTCTGTCTCAAAAAATAAAAAAAAAAAAAAAAAAAAGCAAAAGACTCACCTCTTATAAGACTCTAACAGAAACAACTGATTTACGGCTTTTGGGTGGAACTGGGAGATGCAGCTGGGCCGTTGACAAAGTGGTTTTCTTTTTGGCTTCTGTAACCTGAAGAGAGCCTATGACCCTTTACAAATGCCTGGTTATGAAAAGAGGAATGTTGCCCTTTCCTGAGTTCTCGATCTTCATACTGACCCAAGAAAACTCACTCTGGCTAAGGTAGGGAATTTATTTATAAACAAAGGTAAAAACAAAGCCCTTGGGATATTCAGGCCTCAAGTACCACACACACAGGAACCCCTGACGGAAGCTCTAAGTCATCCACCCCGCTTTTCAAAGCCACAAAGCCCAAGCTTCCTGAAGAGCCTGAGGCAGGATGCTCCTCCCAACCCCCACAGTCCCTAGCAAATAACTTACAAAATTTAGTAAAGTGTTGAGAACACTGAAGTCACCGGTCAGTCCCAAGCTCTCTTTGACCTGCAAGATGACCTTGGCTGCGTGGACGGCCTGGTGCAGGTGATGGTATTCCTTGATCTGTTCGACTCGCTCCTTGATCCAATCACGTTGGCCCTGGTGGTCCACAGTGCACATGATCTTAAGTTCTGAAGCCAGGTCCGTGTATTTATTCACAAAGTCCTTGAAGATGACATCAATCTCTGCAAGGGTGACCTCTCCTGACTTTAGATCCTGGTACAGTTTAATGAACTTTCTGTAAGAAGGCTGATACAAATAGTCGTACACCTCTTCAAGCTTAAGGATGTGCTTTTCTGATTCTTCTTCGGGCTCGCTCAGCAACTCTGCGGCTTCCTGTTCTTCCCGAGGCTCACTCAGTGGCTCTGCGGCTTTCCGCCAAAAGATCTGGAAGATGTGGCTGTCTCTGAGCAAGTCGATCTTTCCAGCCATTTCTCGGACCTGGGAGCTCAGGTGGTAATGCGTTTCCCTCTGTGAGTTTGAGGAGGTGGGCGGTCTCACCGTCACGGCTTCGTTTAATCTTTTACTGCTGAGGTCTTGTGAGTGTCTTGTTGCAAGTTCTCCAAAGTCCACTTTAGAAACCAAAAGAAAATGTCAGAAGTCAAAGCTCTAATCATGATTCCATTTGATTTCGCCTTCCTAAGACTTACTCTCCTCACTTCTCTGCGTGAACTCAAGAGCACACAGCTGCTAGGATTTCTTTCTTGGGAAGAGTTCACAGGTCTTCCCCTCCCGGCTTGGCCTTGTTAACCAATATTCATGATAAAGAAAGCATCATAACTTCTGGGTAAAGATGGCCATGTGAAAACACGCATCTATTTACTCTCTTTGCCAAACCCCACTCCGATGACAGAATATAAATTGTATTTAAAAAGTCATAAACTAGTTGGGCGCAGTGGCTGACACCTGTAATCCCAGCATGTTGGGACGCTGAGGCAGGAGGATCAGCTGAGGTCAGGAGTTCATGACCAGCCTAGCCAACATGGCGAAACCCAGTCTCTACTAAAAATACAAAAATTAGCCAGGTGTGGTGGAGTACACCTGTAATCCCAGCTACTCAGGAGGCCGAGGCAGGAGAATCACTTGAACCTGGGAGGCGGAGGTTGTAGTGAGCCGAGATTGCGCCACAGCACTCCAGCCTGGGTGACAGAGTGAGACTCCGTCTCAGAAAAAAATAAAAAGTCATAAACTGACAAGGACAGGAGGAGGAATAGTGAACAGGATAACAGGAACAGAATTTTAGAAGCTGAGAACGAGCTGCACCCGTGGTAAATGACATATGAGGCCTGACAGCATGGAGTCCTGGGGCCACAGTGGGCATTGCTGAGAGCTGAGCGTTTTATGTCACAGGATTCCCAAAAAGCAGACACACGTTGTACAGGTCACTGCAAACTGGGAGGTGGTGATGAAATAAGGAAGACTGGGTTCAAAGTCTGTTTAAGACACGGTCCAGGCCGGGCACAGTGGCTCACGCCTGTAATCCCAGCACTTTGGGAGGCTGAGGCGGGTGGATCACTTGAGGTCAGGAGTTCGAGACCAGCCTGGCCAACATGGCAAAATCCTATCTCCACTAAAAATACAAAAAATTAGCCGGACGTGGTGGTGGATGCCTGTAATCCCAGCTACTAGGGAGGCTGAGACACAAGAATCACTTGAACCCAGGAAGCGGAGGTTGCAGTGAGCCGAGACTGCACCACTGTACTCCAGCCTGGACAACAGGGCAAGACTGTGTCTCAAAAAAGAAAAAAAAAGACGTGGTCCATCCAGCACACTGTCACCCCAATGCCCTGACACAGCAGGTGGACCCCCTCCTTCACCCCAGCAGCCAACAGATGCTTTATTTTCTAGAAAAGATAATGCAGAGGGGCGTGTGGACTGGAGGCCACAGATATATGTCAGAAAAAAGGGCATTTCTAGACACATCCCCTTTCTCAGGAAACTAACAGAAGACATGAATTATCCAAACTCAGGGGGAAGGAGGAGGGGGCGTGAAGCACAGGGGACAGAGGGAGGTGGCAGAGAACCACACTGAGAACACAGGCCATAGGAGGACTGCACGTAGGATGCCGAGGCCCGCCAGCCCGCTTCTCTCTCGACTCCCGGAAACCTGGCAGCCAGGCCCACATCCTCCAGACAGGAGACAGAAGACCTCAGGAGACAGGCCAACTTCCAGGCTGAACCACGGCACCCCACGGCAGCACCCCGCAGAGGGCCACCCCACTTTTGAGGGCTTTCTCTTAAACACAGACAAACAAGAATGTCCAGACCTAGGAGGAAAATCAAAATAAATCAACTAGTGAAAGGAACCTGGAGGAAGCAGCACATGATGCAAGGAAAAGCAAAACCTCCAAAACAAAACTGTGAATAACCCAGCAGGGAAGATACTGCACCGTGAACAAGAACATAATAGAATTTAAAAAGGATCATTCTGAGAAAAAGAATTCCTTTACATTAAATATATATACAGGAAAGCTGACACGAAAATGTTAGCAGAAAGTTTGGTTCTGAATAAATCTCTCAAGACCAGAGCGAAAAACCGGTGGAAAACTGGAGAGAAAAATGATGACAGTTAGATGACCATCCAGGAGGTCCTGTATCCAATCAACAGGAATTCCAGCAAGAGAAGAAAAAATTAAATCATTCAAGGGAATTTCCCAGAACTCAAGGACTTTGACGTCTAGATTTGAAAGACCTACCTATTAATACCCAATAGAGGGGACTGAAAATATTTTATTTTTGGGGGATACAGTCCCACTCTGTCACTCAAGCTGGAGTGTAGTGGCATGATTTCGGCTCACTGCAGCCTTGACCTCCCAGGTTCAAATGATCCTCCTGCCTCAGCCTCCCAAGTAGTTGGGACTACAGGCATGCACCACTGTGTCTGGCTAAATTTTTTTTTTTTTTTTTTTTTTTTTAGAGATGGGATCTTGCTGTGTTGCCCAGACTGGTCTTAAACTCCTGGGCTCAAGCAATCCTCCTGCCTTGGCCTGCCGAAGTGCTGAGATTACAGGTGGGAGCCAACAGGCCCCGCCTCCATGGAACATAGATCCAGGCCAAGACATGTTATTATTTCAGAATATGAGTAACAGAAAGAGTTCAAGAGCTTCAAGAAAGAGAAAACAGGTCACATACGAAGGATGTGTAATGGGCACCGCATTGGGCTTCTCCATACATAGCCATGCTGTGGAGGCAGTGACGGCACAGCACATTGAAACTTCAGAAGGAAAATGACTTCCAGTCTGTAATTCTAGACCTAACCAAGTGACTGACCTAGGAAGAGGACATCTTTAGGCACGCAAGGATTCGAGGGTTTAACCTCTTACACCCCCTTTGCTCAGGAAGCCAGTGAGGGTGTGCTCTGCCAACAGAGGAAGCAAGAGAGAGAGGGGGGCGGGGTCGCGGGAACCCCGTCTAACCCAGGCCAGAGGCAAAGGCTCCCTAGGAGGTAGAGGGAGACTCCACCCTACGTCTGCAACCCAGGGTTTGCAGGTTCCTTCTCAAAGGTCAAACCAGTGATCTTCAAGGAAATTCAGACACTTGGCAGAGATTGGGATGAATTAGAAATGAATACAATGAAAACAGCATATCATTAACACGATGAAAACGGCATTTGACAGGAAATGTAATTCTGTGGAAAACAGAGAGTTTGTGCAAAACGTGGAAAATGATCACGGTTTCTTTTGTGGTTCACTTCTGATCCGTATAGGTCCTGATGATTTAACCCTAAACAATGATGCGACTCCACTGTGAGAAAACAGGGAGCAACAGGAGGTGGAAAGGTGATGTGTGCAGGGCACAGGCCAGAAATGCATGGCTCTAAGCCCTTATCTTCCGCAGCGGGTGTCAGCAGCTCATGCTGATGCCGGAAAAATCAAGGAGACATTTAAGCATGTTATTTGGAAATGTGGACATAAATACCAAAAAGAAGAATCTAAAAGAGGTGAAAGCGATCCCCCAGCAAATGCAAATTAAAAAAAAAATTTTAAAGCATTCTCTCCAAAATAAAGGTCTGCTACTGCGATCCATTCTTACTGTGTTCTCCTCTAACCCTTTGAGAGCCCTCAACTTTGTTCACTTCTTAGGAATACCACCTTGTATTAGGTGTTTCACATTCCCACACATCTTCAGGAGACTATCAACACATCTTTTCTCTTTCTCTAGAAATAACAGTTCCTCCGTTCTCCAATTCAGTGCTTCCTCCATAGTACGTTTGTCATCCTGGGGTGAAACACTTTTTTCCTCTGGAAAACAAGAACAACAATAAAGTAACCCAGTACAGCAAACAGATGCCATTTTCCATGGCAACGCTTTGCATGTGCCCCACCTTCCCCGCCACCAGGACAAGGACTAGGACAGTTTTGCGCATAGCCACTTTTTCCAGATGGCCATTATTTTATCATTTTCCTGTGATGTTCTTGAGAATTATAAACCACTCCTATCAACTTACGAGCAAGAAGAGATACTCATTATCAAGGCTAAGATGATCATCTCCTTTACAAAAATGCACACGCAAACACAAACGTATCTTCAAGCTACTTAATGCCTCAGGAGCCTGAAGTGCGTATCTCGACTTGATGCTTACTCAGTTGCCAGATGTCAAGAAACTGATTCTTGTGCTTTATAATCAGCTCCAGTTGTCCAACTAAAATCGTTCCATTTCGGAGGTCACCAGCAATTTTCGTGAACACAGAGTCAGCAGCACCCATCAACTTCTTGCCATCCTCTGTAATATTTGCTAGTATTTCCTCATTGGTTCCTGAACGGATGAACAACATAGTTAAAACAGTGTGCTGTGCTCCCCACCTCCCACCTCATTGCCAATAGCATGGGAATTCCAAATAACCTCTTGTTCTGCCCCCACTTCCTCAAACACAGGCAACAGCTAGCCAGCGTCTCCAGATACGCCAGTCCCTCCACTCCCCTCTGCTTTCCCCCACGACGGTTAGGTCTTGCCCAGATTCATCCCCTGAACAACTTCTTTGTCCATGAAGCAGACTCCCTCAATGGCCAAAATCAGCTGGGAGACACATTTCTCAGGTTAAAACCCATGTCCCCTTCAGCATATGGATGGACTGACTTCCTTTTTTTTTTTTTTTTTTTTTGACAGGGTCTCACTCTATCACCCAGGCTTGAGTGCAGTGGCACAACCATAGCCCACTGTAACCTCAATCTCTGACTTTCCTGCCTCAGCCTCCCGAGTAGATAGGAATACAGGTGCATACCACAAAGGCTGGTAAACTTTCAAACATTTTTGTAGAGACAATGTGAGATAATTTTTTGTCTCACTTTGTCACCCAGACTGGTCTCAAACTCCTGGGCTCAAGACATCCTCCCGCCTTGGCCTCCCAAAGCATTAGGATTATACGCATGAATCCCCTCACCTGGCCTGAATATATTTTTTAAATAGAATACGCAGAATCTTCTTTAAAAAGCCCCCACCCTAGGAATATCTACAGCAGAAGAAACTGCATCGGGGATGTAGACATACCTAGCAAAGCATATCAAGATGGTCTTAGGGAGACATTTTCATAGCATATGCAAAGAGAGAAACAGCCACGTGATAACTTTATACTCTGTAATCTTCATTATCTTGTAAAATCTTGGAATTGATTTTATGACAAATTTAGAGGGCAGAATTTTTATGTATGTTTAGTTTAACCACAGAGGATTTCTCTCCCAGTAATATTAGAGCCATACAGTAGTAGGAGAAGAGGAAGCTTATCTGCACCATAACATACAAATATAGTAGCTTTATTAATCATTGCAGAAACTTGGAAGCAACCAAGATGCCTTTCATTAGGTGAACGGGTAAGCAAATTGTAGCACATCCATACAATGGAATATTATTCAGTAGTAAAAGGAAGTTAGCTCTCAAGCCATGAAAAGACATGGAGGAAACGTAAATACATATTACTAAGTGAAGGAAGCCAGTCTAAAGGCGACATCCTGTAAGATTCCGACTATAGGACGTTCTGGAAAAGACTAAAGGAAATGGAGGGGGTGTGGATGCGGGAGCACAGGGGATTTCGTAGGGCAGCGCAACTATTCTGTACGATACTGGAATGGTGGACACAGGCCATGGTTTATCCAAACCCCAGAGAATGGACAACATCAGGAATGAACACTACTGTAAACTATGGACTTTAGTTAATAACAATGTATCAATATTGGCTTGTCAGCTGTAACAAAAGCACCACGCTAATGCTGCATGTTAATACCAGGGTACTGCCTGTGTGATGGTGGGGGAGACAGATGAGAACTCTGTGGTTTCTGCTCAATTTTTCTTTACACATAAAAGTGCTCTAAAAATTTCTATCCAACTTATAAACAGGCTGAGCATGGTGGTGCATGCCTGGAGTAGCAGCCACTTGGGAGGCTGAGGCAGGAAGATCACTTGAGCCTGGGAGGTCGGGGCTTACAGTGAGCGGTGATGGCATCACTGCACTACATGTAACTTGGGCAACAGAGAAGACCTTGTTTTAAAAATAAATAAATTGCCGGGCACAGTGGCTCACCTCTGTAATCCCAGCTACTCGGGAGGCTGAGGCAGGAGAATCGCTTGAACCCGGGAGGCAGAGGTTGCAGTGAGCTGAGATCCACCACTGCGCTCCAGCCCAGGTGAGAGAGCGAGACTCCATTTCAAAAATAAATAAATAAACAAACAAACATACGCAAATACACAAAAATGATCTTTTTAAGAGAGTAGCTTTCACTTATGCGCTCCCATATCAATTCAGTTATTTGCTCCCCACAACTTCCCAGATCCGTAGGAAGCTCAGCATTGATTTTGGATGATCCACATCTGGTGCCCTCTCACTAAAAGAGAGGAATCTAAGGTCTCACACATCAACTGGACTCTAATGTTTTTAGGATGGAATGTCTCTCTCCCTCCTTGATCACAAAACACCTGGGGCAGAGGGGGCTGGGTGGGAAATCAGACAGCCCAGTACTTCACTTTCTGTTGAGGTCATCAGTGTTGGCTTGGACATTCTACATTGATCTCCAAATAAGCAAGACATACCTGGGTCTGGATTTTAGTTTTTACTACTTATAATCTTTGAGACCTTAGGTAAGTCACAATGCATTCTCCAGTTGTTTCCTGATCTGAAAATTGGGGGCCTTAAAGGGGACTTTCAGAAGGGCTGTTTCAAGGGCACTGGGCCAGTACAGTCACTAGGGTGCATCAAGCATTCAATGAATAGTGGCTGTTAGCATTAGTCATTATTTACAACGCAAGACACTCTGAGCCTTCCAAAGTCTCTCTGTCCAAACTGCAGCCTTTGTCTAACGTCAGCCCATCCCAATTCAGTATCATCATGTAAAATCTTCTGCCTCCCACCTTTCCCAGAGTCAGACAGGCACCACCTTCACTGAGCTCATGTTCCCAGCACTCCCGCAAACATACCACACAATTTGAAGAGATGCTTGACATCTGCCCACGTGAGCAGATGTTTTAAAATGTCATCCAAGTTGTCCACGGCTTCCCCATTGTTCCTAGGCCAGGACTTGGTGATCACAGCAGACAAGAGGGTACCAAATTTCTGCAGATTATAGCAAGAGAGCCCCCGAAGGATACTGGTCTGAGACTACAAGAAAATTCATAAAAAAGGAACATTTAGAAGTTTTTCATTAGTTTGTTTTGAAATAACAAAAGCAAATTACCTACTCAATAGCATTTCAGAAACCTACTGTAACTTGTTTTATAAGGCCACAAAAAGAGCAAGATAGTGAAACACTTCACATTTCTTAGAAGAATTTCATTTCCTTGTATACTGCCTCCTTAAGTGTCCAGCACCAGAGATTTGAAGACACACACACAAACACACACCAACACCAGTCACCCTCCTTCCTTCTGGCTAACTGCCAGTTTCTATATGTTCTTTGCACTCTCATATCATGAAAAACACCAAAAGTGAATAAACCCTTAATATAGCATATATTTTATGTTTCTAAATGTAATTCTTTTAAAAAGCTGCCTACAAACAACATATACATTTTCATTCTCTTTTTAATTCTCCTCCGAGAAACAATATTTTTCTTCCTTAGGTTCAAAGTCTCTGCAAAACGTTTCAGTAATTAGTAAAAACCACAAGGTTAATTTATAATAGATACTTTCTGACATTTAAAAGGATAAAAGCTTATCCAGCCACATGTTACAGAAACTATACACCATGATCAAGTACAATTTATCTCAGAGATGAAAGGTTGATTTAACATCAAATATCAGTTAATAACAATAGGAAAATATCACGTGATCATTTCAGTAGATACGGAAAAAGCATTTGACAAAATCCAACTCTCTTCTATGATTAAAGGAAAAAAAAAAAAACCATTCAACAAATGAGGAGCAGAAAGGAACTTCCACAAAGGGCATCTATGAAAAGCTCACGTTGACATCACACCTGGTGGCAAAAGACTCAAAGCTTCTCCTAAGATCAGGAACAAGACAAGGATGTCCACTTTCACCACTTTCATTCAAAGTTGTACTGGAGGTTCTAGCCAGGGCAGTTATGCAAGAGAAAGAAATAAAAGGCATCCAGATTGGAAGACGTGGAACTCTATTCACAGATAATTATGATCTTATGTATAGAAAATTTAATTCTCTTTCTCTCACGCACACACACACACGCACGCAATTTGAGCTACCAAATGAGCTCAGCAATGTTGTAGGATACAAGACACACGGAGCACTGTGTGTCTAGACACCAGCAAGGAACAATCTGGAAATGGAATTCAGAAAACAATTCCAATTACAATAGCACCCCCCCCAAAAAAAAGTACTTAGAAATTTAACAAGTGCAAAATTTAAGCTATGAAAAATACAAAACATTGTTAAAAGAAATTGGCCAGGCATGTAATCCCAGAACTCTGGGAGGCCAAGGCGGGTGGATCACCTGAGGTCAGGAGTTTGAGACCAGCCTGACCAATATGGTGAAACCCTGTCTCTACTAAAAATCCAAAAATTAGCCGGGTGTGGTGGTGGGCACCTGTAGTCCCAGATACTTGCGCACTCCAGCCTGGGCGACAGAGCAAGACTCCGTCTAAACAGGAAAAAAAAAAAAAAGATCTAATTGAATGAAATAAATCTGACCTAACCTTGTTAAAATGGCAATGCTGGCTGGGTACAGTGGCTCACGCCTGTAATCCCAGCACTTTGGGAGGCAGAGGCTGGTGGATCATGAGGTCATGAGATCAAGACCATCTTGGCTAACACAGTGAAACCCCATCTCTACTAAAAATACAAAAAAAAAGTTAGCTGGGCGTGGCAGCAGGCACCTGTAGTCCCAGCTACTCAGGAGGCTGAGGCAGGAGAATGGCATGAACCCGGGAGGCAGAGCTTGCAGTGAGCCAATATCATGTCACTGCACTCCAGCCTGGGTGAGAGTAAGACTCTGTCTCAAAAAAAAAAAAAAAAAAGACAGGCAATGCTCTCCAAAGTGATCTATACTTTGAATACCAGCCCTATCAGAATCCCAGCTGACTTCCTTGTCAATGGAAACTGACATACTGATTCTAAAATTCTTATGAAATTGCAAGGGACCCAAAATAGCCAAAACAATCTTGAAAAATAAGAACAAAAAAAAAATACGAACTCACATGTCCCAATTTCAAAACTTACTAGAAAGCAATGGTAGTCCAAACGGTGTGGTACTAACACAAGGATACGAAAGCAGATCAATACATAGAATTGAAAATCTAGAAATAAATCCATACATGTATGGTCAACAGATTTTTGACAAGAGTGCCAACATCACTCAACAGGGAATGTAGAGTCCTTTCAACAAACGCTGGAACAACTGGATGTCCACATGCAAAAGAATGAAACAGAACCCTTACCTCACACCGTATACACCGTATACAAAAAGGAACTCAAAATGGATCAAAGGCCTAAATGTAAGAGCTAAAACTATCAAACATTTAGAGATAAATAAACACAGGAGTAAATCTTCACAACCTAGGATTTGGCAAAGGACTCTTTGATACCAACGGTACAAGCAACAAAAGAAAAAACAGATATGCCCAAATTCTTCAAAATTAAAGACTCTGTGCTTCAAAAGAAACCATCAAGAACATGAAAAAACAACACATAGAATGGGAGAAAATACTTGCAATCAGATATCTGACAAGGGACTTGTATATAGAATACAGACTCCCAACTCTATAATAAAAAGACAACCCAATTAAAAAATGAGCAAAAGAGGTGAGGTGCAGTGGCTCATGCCTTCAATCCCAACACTTTGGGAGGCCAAGGAGGGAGGATCATGTGAGCCCAGGAGTTCAAGACCAGCCTGGGCAACATCTCAAGACCCTGTCTCTACAAAAAAAAGAGAGTCTCGCTGTGTCGCCCAGGCTGGAGTGCAGTGGCACAATCTCAGCTCACTGCAACCTCTGCCTCATAGGTTCAAGCGATTCTCTGGCCTCAGCCTCCCAAGCAGCTGGGACTACAGGCACATGCCACCACGCCCGGCTAATTTTTTGTATTTTTAGTAGAGACGGGGTTTCCCTGTGTTAGCCAGGATGGTCTCGATCTCCTGACCTCATGATCCACCTGCCTCAGTCTCCCAAAGTGCTGGGATTACAGGTGTGAGACACCGCGCCTGGCCCACAAATTTTTTTTTTAATTAGCTGAATATGGTGGCACATGCCTGTAGTCCCAGCTACTTGGGAGGCTGAAGTAGGAGGACCACTTCAGCCCAGGAGGTTGAGGCTGCAATGAACCACGATTGTGCCATTGCATTCCAGCCTGGGTGACACAGCAAGACCTTTCCTCCAAAAAAAAAAAAAAAAAAAAATTGGGGATGGGGGCAAAAGATCTCAATAAACATTTCTCCAAAGAAGATACAAACAAATCCAATAAGCATATGAAAAGATGCTTGATATCATTAGTTATCAGAGAAATGCAGTTAAAAAACCACAATGAGGCTGGGCATAGTGGCTCACACCTGTAATTCCAGCACTTTGGGAGGCCAAGGCAGGCAGATCACGAGGTCAAGAGATCGAGAGCATCCTGGCCCACATGGTGAAACCCCGTCTCTACCAAAAATACAAAAATTATCTGGGCATGGTGGTGCACGTCTGTAATCCCAGCTACTCGGGAAGCTGAGGCAGGAGAATTGCTTGAACCCAGGAGGTGGAGGGGTTGCAGGGAGCCAAGATCACGGCACTGCATTCCAGCCTGGGTAACAGAGCAAGACTCCATCTCAAAAAATAAACAAAAACCACAAGGAGATACCACTTTGTACCCACTAGGATGGCTAGAATCAAAAAGTTAGATAATACATGTTGGTGAGGATATGGAGAACCCGGAAGCCTCCTATGCTGCTGGAGGGATTGAAAATGGTCCAGCTGCTGTGGGACTCGGCCCGACAGTTCTTTAAACAATTAAACATGGAGTTACCATATGATTTAGCAATTCCACATCGAGGTATACACCCAGGAGAAATGAAGACATATACCCACACATAAACATGTACACTAACATTTGTATCAACAGATTTATAATAGCCAAAGAAGCAACCTAGATGGCCATCAATGGACAAGTGGATAAACAGGGAATAGTATTTGGCCATGGAAAGAAACGAAATACAGGTTGAGCATTCCTAATCCCAAAATCCAAAATACTCTAAAATCCAAACTTTTTGAGTATAATGATGCCACAAATGAAAAATTCAACATACAAATACTTAACACAAACTTTGTTTCATGCACAAAATTGTTTAAAATACTGTATAAAATTACCTTCAGACTATGTGCATAAGATGTACATGAAACAAGTGAATTTTGTGGTTAGACTCTGGGTCCCATCTGGAAGACATCTCATTATGTAAATACAAATATTCCAAAATTTGAAAACATCTGAAATCTAAAACAGTTCTGGTCTCAAGCATTTTGGGCAAGGAATACTTAACGTATACTGACACATGCTACAATATGGATGGACTTTTGTTGTTGTTGCTTTTTGAGACAGGGTCTTGCTCTGTCCCCCAGGTTGAAGTGCAAGTGTGATCATGGCTCACTGCTGCCTTAATCTTCTGGGCCTAAGGGAGCCTCCCACCTCAGCCTCCGAAGTAGCTGGGACCATAGGTGAGCCCTGCCATGCCTGGCTAATTTTTTTTGTTTTTTAGTTTTTATAGAGACAGGGTCTTACTCTGTCACCCAGGCTTGTCTTGAACTCCTGGGCTCCCAAAGTGCTGTGATTACAGGTGTGAGCAACCATGTCCAGCCTGTATGGACTTTTAAAACATTATGCTCAGCCAGGTGCGGTGGCTCACACCTGTAATCCCAGCACTTTGGGAGGCCACGGCGGGTAGATCACCTGAGGTCGGGAGTTCGAGACCAGCCTGACCAACGTGGAGAAACCCTGTCTCTTCTAAAAATACAAAATTAGCCAAGTGTGGTGGCACATTGTTCTTTAAACAATTAAAAGACTCTTTAAACAAAAAGAAGCTGTAATTCCAGCTACTTGGGAGGCTGAGGCAGGAGAATCACTTGAACCCGGGAGGCAGAGGTTGCAGTGAGCCAAGATCGCACCATTGCATTCCAGCCTGAGCAAAAAGAGTGAAACTCTGTCTCAAAAAAGAACCAGGCCGGGCGCGGTGGCTCAAGCCTGTATTCCCAGCACTTTGGGAGGCCGAGACGGGTGGATCACGAGGTCAGGAGATTGAGACCATCCTGGCGAACACGGTGAAACCCCGTCTCTACTAAAAAGTACAAAGAAACTAGCTGGGCGAGGTGGTGGGCGCCTGTAGTCCCAGCTACTCGGGAGGCTGAGGCAGGAGAATGGCGTAAACCCGGGAGGCGGAGCTTGCAGTGAGCTGAGATCAGGCCACTGCACTCCAGCCTACGCGACAGAGCAAGACTCTGTCTCAAAAAAAAAAAAAACAAAAAAAACCAGCAACAAAAACCATTATGCTCAGTGAAATAAGCCATACCCAAAAGGCCACATACATGATTCCATTCATATTACAGTCCAGAACAGAGAAAGCCACAGACGCCACTGTTTATGCTCAGCATTTGTTTATGGCTGCAGAAGGGAGTGGGTGGCTGGAGGGGAGGAGGAGGATGATGGCTAAAGGGGACAGGGTTTCTTTTTGAAGTGATGAAAATGCTCTGTCGTTGACTGTGGTGATGACTGTACATATCCGTGACTACCCCAAAACCTGCTGAACTGGAACTTTTCACGGATGAACCGTATGGCATATGAACGATTTCTCAACCGTGTTAACAAAAAAGGGAAAGGAAAACCTTATCAAAGGTATCACTCACTTAAAAAATTAGAACCCCTTGGTCCCCGGAATTCGATGACCTCAATGTTTCCGGACTGTCCCTGCGGAAGCAAGGCTGTGCTTGCGCGGGGGGTTAAGTGTCCAGTTAGGAAATGTGAGCGGGGAGAGCCGTGGCCAGCAGGGAGCTTCTTCGTGTGGCATTGCCTGGGAGACTTCCTGGGAGACAGGGGGGCACAATCTCTTCCCCTTTGCAGAAAACAGCTAAATAAATTGATACCATTTTCCATTTCACATATTTTGCTTCCACAAATGTTCTGTCAACCTTTGGAGTCTTTTCCCACATACCTACTGAGCAAGTGTTAACAATCAAGCAAACCAGCAGGCACAACGGTAATGGGGCCATCTGAGGAGCGGCCTGCAAGCCCGTTTGACTTGTGCCACACGCGCACGGCCGTGATTCCGTACAGAACACCTGCAGGATGGCGTGAGCAGCAGGGACCGTGCAGCACACCGAGGAACCCGGAGAGAACCGGACTTCAGCGCCATTGCCCTGGGCGAGGGAGGAGGGTGCCCACTTCCCAATCTCTGAGTTGGCAAAGGAGCTGAGACCCAGCAGGTGCTTCATAGCCCTTAGCTGGGTCATGGCAGAACACAGCTGTGAGCCCGAATCCGTTTCCCTGAGAGGAGAGGTTATTCACCTGGCAGGCTGAGCTCACGGCTTCAATGATGCATTTCTCAAAGGTCTTGGCCACACTGTCCTCTAAGCCTTCGCTGTCCCAGTGACTACTGCAGTAGGCAGTGATCTGGGAGAGGGGCTTCTCCTGCAAAAATCGAAGGGGGGTTTCAGAGCTTTTGGATGCAGCGCTCCAGTATTCTATGGGATCAAAGTGCTTTCATCATCTGTACTTTCCCACTGTTATACCGTTTCCCCCAATTTTAAGCTTCTCCCCACCCATGCAAAGCATGTCCTTCCTGCCCCCCACCAGTGGACCAAAGGCTAAAATTTAAAAAAGAATCTCTTTTCCCAGTCTGCAGAAAAAGCACCTGGCTTGCAAAAACAGGTAAGTTATGAGAAATAGGTCATTTTTCCTGGTTTCTGTTTTCCCTCCAAAGATCCATTTAATAGCTTCATATAGGCTGGGCACGGTGGCTCACGCCTGTAATCCCAGCACTTTGGGAGGCCGAGGTGGGTGGATCACGAGGTCAGGAGATCGAGACCATCCTGGCTAACACGGTGAAACCCCATCTCTACAAAAAATACAAAAAATTAGCCGGGCGTAGTGGCGGGCGCCTGTAGTCCCAGCTACTCGGGAGACTGAGGCAGGAGAATGGTGTGAACCTGGGAGGCGGAGCTTGCAGTGAGCCGAGATCCCGCCATTGCACTCCAGCCTGGGCGACAGAGCGTGACTCCGTCTCAAATAAATAAATACCAAAAAAAAAGTTACATATAAAACTCTTGTATCACATAAAAGCTAATTTTCCTTGAGCCTCAGGCCTTAATTCAGCACGAGGGGCATGTCTGCGTGTTCTCCACTTGTGTTTCATGAGGCTCCTGTCACCAACAGGCCACTCAGACTTGCTGCCTGTGGGCAGGCTTGGCCCCTCCTATGCTCGGGGCCCCATTGAGGGAGGCAGGAGGCAGATAAATCCTATGCAGACAGGGGGCGGGTCCCTGGCAAAACCCCACCTTTGAATCGAAAAGCCTGAAACCCATGGCCCAAAGTGAGAACCTCTCTGCCTGTGTGCGTGCTCTCTCCCCATTGGTTCTTGCAGAGAAATGTCTTTTTACCAATAGAATGTTGCTTTTTCCAAAACTACCTATGGCCCACCCTGCCCCCTATCTTGTGCCTATAAAGACCCCAGACTTGGTAGCGAGAGAGAAGTAGCTTGACTGGAGACAGTGACTTGACTTCAGCAGGATGGCTGGACTTCGGAGGAGAGACGGTTTAACTTTGGAAAGACGTCCTGACTTCAGGAAAGAGCCAGCCAGAGGTAGCTGGACCAGAGGAAGATTCCCCACCTGACCCATCCCCTCTCCAGCTCCCCTCTCCACGGAGAGTCATTTCCATTGCTTAATAAAATTCTTTGCCTTCACCATCCTCCAAGTGTCCAGGTGACCTCATTCTTCTTGGATGCTGGACGAGAGCTCAGGGCCCACTGAGTATGGGTACCTAAAAGAGGCTCTCACATTGGCCCTTTGCCCTTGATGGCAGAGGGCAGCCACCCTAGGCAACACAAGGGGCCCACTGAGCTGATAACACACCACCGTCCATAGACGGCAGAGCTAAGAGAGCACCTGCCCTCTGGAGCTTCGGGGGTTGCAGGCACCTCAGCCTGGGCACTGCTGCAGGGCCCGCACGGAGCTTGCGCTTGCCAGCTCCCAAAGCAGCTGGCCAGATGCCACACTTGCCCACGTGCTCCCTCCCACAAGGGGTTGAGCACAGCAGGCCAAGTAAACACAGCATCCCCATCGCAAGTCCAACAAAGGGGTCAGGAAAAATCTTGCACCCCCGTGATGGTGAGATCCTGGGCCCTTGTTCCTCTCTGTCCTCTCAGTAAGACTCCAAAGCGCTCTTCTGGGGACAGACTGTAAGGGCTGGATCAGAAACAGAAACACAGAGCTGTGATTCGCCCCGTCCCTGCCCACGAGAGGCACCGCTGAGATCTCTTGGCTGTCGCTAATGGTCTGGGGTTCTCCAGCTTGCCTTCACGCCCTGGAAAAGAATGTCCCCCAACTTCTCCTACCTGTTTGAGCCTCCATTCCATGTCTTCCAGCAACGACTCCTTCCAGCCATGCTCCACGGGGAAGTGGATTTCCACCAGCCGCCTCCAGACCTGCAAAACCCAAACACAGGTCACACCCATGCTCACGACTAAACGCCACAGCACGCTCCCATGAAGGGAGAAAGGCAGCATTACGGCAATACAGAGAGCGCGGGACTACGCGAACGCCAGGGCTCTCCTCAACCTTCGTCAACAGTGAGCCGTGCTAGTGGCAGGTCACAGCAGCCCAGGATGGCTTTCTAGAATCCGAGACCCAACCACGGGCCACTACTGGTCTTCCTACTGCACAACTGGCTTTTTATTCTGAAAGGATTTATCTCTAACATTATACTTTGAAAATTTTTGAACTTTCAAAAAGGTCACAAGAATAGCACACCACCACCCACATTCATTCAACTCCAGACCTGAGCTGTTCGCATTTCACACAGCTGCTTTCACTTTTCCTCTCCCCTCCTTGTTCTCTCTTCAGACTCTCCGCATAAATTAGCATTTTCTCTCCCAAACCGTTAGAAAGCAAGTTGCAGGCATCATGGCGTCTTGCCACTACATACCTGGGCAGGGTCTCACAAGACTCTAGCCCTTCTCTGCACAACTCTAGTGCAGGTTTCCCACTCAGGACGTGCAACGTGGAGAGGAGGACGCTGCCCCCAGGAAGTGGTCTCCACCCCAGTTCCTCTCGTGCTCCAGCTCCTGTCCTGACTGGATCCTAGATCCTCCTGGGACACATACTGTACTTCCTTATCACATCTCTTTTCTGCATTTACTTATCACATCTCTTTTCTAGAAGAGTTCCCTGGTCATTTTTTTTTCTTTTTTCTTTTAACAGGTTGACAGTTTTGAAAAGATCAGGCCAACTGTTTTGTAGACTGTCTTTTGACCTGATTTGTCTCGTAATTTCCCCATGATTTGTTTCAGATTAAAATATTTTTGGCAGGGACACTATGAGGTTGAACCACATGAAAATGCACTGTAAAAAAATACTTTGATAGGGTCTCACTCCGTCACCTGGGTTGGAGTGCAGTGGTGCAGTCATAGCTCACTGCAACCCTGACCTCCCGGGTTCAAGCCATCCTTCCACCTAGGCTTCCTAAAGAGCTGGGGTTACAGGCATCAGACACCGTGCCCAGCCAAAAATGAAAATGAACTTTTCTCAGGTCAGGCATGTTCGAATATCCGTCACCTCCACCACCACCATTATCTCCATAATCTCCACCACCGTCACCTCCACCACCACCACCACAATCACCACCGTCACCACCATCACCTCCACCACCATCACCACCACCACCACAATCACCACCATCACCTCCACCACCATCACCATCACCTCCACCACCACCATCACCTCCACCACCACCACCATCACCACCATCATCACCATCACCTCCACCACCACCATCACCTCCACCACCACCACCATCACCACCATCATCACCATCACCTCCACCACCACCATCACCTCCACCACCACCACCATCACCACCACCATCACCACCATCATCACCATCACCTCCACCACCATCACCTCCACCACCACCGCCTCCATTACCACCATCATCACCATCACCTCCCCTTCACCATCTCCATGACCATCATCACCACCATCACCTTCACCATCATCACCTCTATCATCACCATCACCACAGGGACGGTGCCCAGCCAGCGGACACCAGGCAGTGCAGCAGCACTTTGCACCTGGCATCTGTCTGCCTCAGAGTCACCCCGCCGGGTAGACCGGAGCAACTCCATTTTGTAGATGAAGAACCAAGGCTCAGGTGAAGGCCAACTGCCCCTGGCCAGCAGCCTATACCCCATGATTTGAGGCCAAAAGGAATCACGATCACTCACATCCCTACCCAGAAGCCTTTGGCCAAACGCTTACCTCAATTTCCTTGTGGTATGTGAAGGAGACACCTGAATATACGAGCATGTTATTTGTAAAAACTTCTCGGAGCCACCTTTTCGTAGCAGTAAGGGTCCCTTGGAAGACTGTTTGGACTGAATTATTTCCAGTTTCATCTCCCTGTCCTGCAGAATCCTGTTGTCACACAAGAGGGAGAGTCAGTCATCCTCGGCTGTGGACTCAGGTTCCCAGCGAGACGCTGCCCCCACTCCTCTGCTCCCTGCTGGCACAGGCCACTCAAGGAGTGACTACAATGGAGGGACCACAGACCTTGGCAGAAGCCCATATTCCCAAAGCACCTCCATTCCCCAGGGTTTTCTGGGTTCACCCTGAACGTGGGTGATACGGGAGAAAAGAGGGAGGGAGGAAATGGCATCTGGGTGTTCCCCTGAAAGCCCAGGCAGCCTGGGTCCTGCCAACGAGCAGGTTCCCAGGATGTGACTAGGACACTGAGGGGGAAAAGCACACCCCAGAGAGGGTCCTTGCAGACTCCCAGGCCTGCTCCTTAGACACAGGAGACAGCCAGGCTCCCGACCCAGAGGTAAACCTGGGTCCCCTTCCCACTGCGCTCCCAACACGCCCTCCCACTACCTCCACGCCAGACCCACCAGACCCGAGGGCAAACCTCTCTTCCCCTGGGCTCGAAGCCTCCTGTAATGACTCCCTTCTCTCCCCTGCCTTCTTCTTCCTCCCTCACCTTCCTCCTCCCTCCCCCTCCTCCTCGTCCTCCCCAGAAGCACATTTCCCAGGAAGCTCCTCCCTCCCTCCCCCGCCTCCTCGTCCTCCCCAGAAGCACATTTCCCAGGAACCATACAGATCAGGGGTTGGGGCCCCCTCCTGGGAGGAGCCCCATAGTCCTGGACTAACGCATGGTCTTTTTCTCTTTCTTCTTTTGAGACAGAGCCTCGCTCTGTCACCCAGGCTGGAGCACAGCGGCGCAATCTCAGCTCACTGCAACCTCCACCTCCTGGGTCCAAGTGATTCTCCTGCTTCAGCCTCCCAAGTAGCTGGGATTACAAGTGCATGCCACCACACCTGGCTAATTTTTGTATTTTTTAGTAGAGACGGGGTTTCACCACGTTGGCCAGGCTGATATCGAACGCCTGACCTCTGGTTATCCGCCTGCTTTGGCCTTCCAAAGTGCTGGGATTACAGGTGTGAGCTACCACACCCGGCCAAGCGTGTGATCTTTTTTTTAAGCACAACCCTGCACATTGTGCAAGTATATCAGGAGTCACAGAACCTGGATGCGCTCAGGCACTCACTGGAAGCACCGAGAGGCCCATGCCTTGAGGCAGCAGAGATGTGCTGGGCAAGTGGACAGGGCTGCTGCTGGACGGGGCTGCCCGAGAGTGGGAGAGAGGAAGAGCCCACAGCAGGCAGGGAACACAGCGTCACTAGCCCTGGGAAGGGCCAAGACAGGAAGATACAGGCAGGAGCTTTCAAAGCATGAAAGAGGGGCCAGGATGCAGGTGCTGCCATGAAAGAGAAAGAGAGAGCCTGCAGAGGGGGCTGGGTGCGGGGATGACTACAGCACAGCACGCAGGGGGAGGGGGCTGGCAGAAAACGAAACAGGCACTGCTGAGGGTTCCCCCAATGGCACAGCTCCTTCCAGAACAATCCCCCAATGGCACAGCTCCTTCCAGAACACTCCCCCAATGGCACAGCTCCTTCCAGAACAATCCCCCAATGGCACAGCTCCTTCCAGAACACTCCCCCAATGGCACAGCTCCTTCTAGAACAATCCAGCAGCACAGGGCTGGGCAGCGATGGCCAGTAACAACAAACTTAACGATTGCTCAATCCAGAGCCTGACATGGGCACCTTGTTCTCCCAAGTGTCTGTCAACCCTGGAGCCTTCACAGCAGCACTCACCCAAAAGTTTCTTCGGCGCGCATCATGTATTTTTGCTTTGTTTAATTTTAGTATTTGCAAAGGTTTTTTTGTTTGTTTGCTTTTATGGCACAGGTAGAGAGTATTTTGTCCATAATATGGATTCAACTTATCTGAGATACCAGCCAACATTCAAGACAGTTATTTCTGTAGAAAATATACCCTAAGTAACTGACAAATTCCTTAAACACAGTTTCTGTGGAAGTTGGCAGCTGCCAGTGGCGGTTTAAATAGCAGCCACTCCGGAGAACGTGATCATCTCACCAATAATATTTATTCTTAAACTGTGTCTGTGGTACTTTAACACAAGAAAACTGAAAGGAAGGAAGTTAAAATATACACTTAATTGTTTTCTCTCACTAACATCACAGTTCTAACTTGAAGTAAGATTTAAAAAAAATGATCGGCCGGGTGCGGTGGCTCACGCCTGTAATCCCAGCACTTTGGGAGGCTGAGGCAGGCAGATCACCTGAGGTCAGGAGTTCGAGGCCAGCCTGACCAACATGGAGAAATCCCGTCTCGACTAAAAATACAGAATTAGCCAGGTATAGTGGCACATGCCTGTAATCCCAGCTACTTGGGAGGCTGAGGCAGGAGAATCGCTTGAACCCGGGAGGCAGAGGTTGTAGTGAGCCAAGATCACGCCATTGCACTACAGCCTGGGCAACAAGAGCAAAACTCCGTCTCAAAAAGAGAAAAAAAAAAAAAAAAAGATTGTGCCGGGTGCAGTGGCTCAGGTCTGCAATCCCAGTACTTTGGGAGGCCAAGGCAGGCGGATCACGTGAGGTCAGGCGTTCAAGACCAGCCTGGCCAACATGGTGAAAGCCCATCTCTACTAAAAATACAAAAATTAGCTGGCTGTGGTGGTGGGTGCCTGTAGTCCCAGCCACTTGGGAGGCGGAGGCAGGAGAATCACTTGAACCCAGGAGACGGAGACTGCAGTGAGCCAAGATCACGCCATTGCACTCCCGCCTGGGCAACAAGAGCGAAACTCCATCTCAAAAAAACAAACACACACAAACAAATGACCAGTCTAAACATTAAATCTGACATCGCTTTCGAACTGAAGCTCATGAACTCAAACGGGTGAAAGCTGCAGAGACGAGAAAGAAGGAATTGCTGATGCTGCGACCACACAGAGCCCAGAGACATGACTCTGATCCCTGAGACCACACAGACCGAGCTCAGAGACCTACGGCTGAGTGGGGAAAGTCGGAGGCAGAAGGGTCAAAGCTGGAAGACAGGGGAAACTGATCCACGGGAGGTCACAACAGTGGCTTTCTTCGGGAGGGAGGAGCTGGGTCGTTCTGCTGTTGGACCTGGGACGCGGCATGCAGCGGGGGACAGATGTGTGACGCTATGGCCTTTGTCACCATATTCAAGCTACAATGTAAAGAAGGTGGAAAGACCATGTTTGGACATGTATTTTTTGGGAGGAAAATGGTCCGCATAGTTGTCTGCAAACAACAGAATCAAGAAAAGGCATCTTCTCCGCGAGGCATTGCCTGGTCTCCAGCCCCGACGCCAGCTCTCTGGTTTCCCCACGGCCAGCTGGTGGCCACACTTAACTCCCTGCCTCCCTCCCATGAGAGCCCAAGGAGGCAGAAGGGCAGACCCTGGCCCACTGACAGCCCCACACCCAGAACAGAACCCAACATCAAGCAGGTGCACAAGAAATGTCCACTGCTGGAATCCACCGCTCCATCTCATCCCAGCACCTCGGAATCAGACTGTTTCCTTTCCAGATTGAGGCTGCTTGAAATTCCACACCTGTCCCCGGTGTGATACTCTGTGTGTTGACTCCACTCACCACCAGAGATAGAAGTATAATCATCCTGCAGACAATCTCGGCAGATAAGGCTGGCAGCTCATAAAACTCATGTGTCTTTGTGCTGCTGCAGACGGCTTCGTGCAGCTTCAGACACACCGTCAGGTAGGATGGTGACAAGGCCTCCTCGGGAATCCTGCCCCGCAAAGAGTTAAGAGAAATCCCGGCCAGGATTTAGGAGAAGTCAGAAAATGGTAACTATTGATGACGAGCCCCTTCCTTTAAAATAACTAACAACAGGGCATTTGTTTGACCTTATCTAGGTTAACGTCTGGAAAATCACAATCAGTCCTGAACTTGTGACTAAGATAAAAAAAGAACGAAAATCTTCTTGTTTTGTCTCTGTAGTCTCAACTGTTCTAACCAAAGCAAGTCCAAACACTCCTCAGTGCGTTCTGGGATGTGAAAAAAGCAAAGAGATGTGTATTACTAGACATTAAAATACGACATAAATTTGAAAAAATATTCAGAAAGAAACAGAAAGGAGGGAGGAAGAGAAAGAAACAGAAGAAGAGCGTGCAGCCTGTGTGAAATTGGCTCCAGCTCTGCCGGACCTGGGTTTTGTGTTTTCTGAGGGACACATGGACAGAGCAGGGACAGAGCAGGGACTGAGGAGGAGCCTTAGGAGGGACTCAGGAGGAGCCTTAGGAGAAAGCTTAGGAGGGACTCGGGAGGGACTCAGGAGGAGCCTTAGGAGGGACTCAGGAGGGACTTGGGAGGGACTCGGGAGGGACTTGGGAGGGACTTGGGAGGGACTTGGGAGGGACTCGGGAGGGACTCGGGAGGGGACTTGGGAGGGACTCGGGAGGGACTCAGGAGGAGTCGTAGGAAGGACTCGGGAGGGGACTCGGGAGGGACTTAGGAGGAGCCTTAGGAGGGACTCGGGAGGGACTCAGGAGGGACTTAAGAGGACACTTAGGAGGAGCTTAAGAGGAGAGTTGATAGAGGGGCTGGAAAGGCGGTATAAGAAAGGACTCCCTGGGCTGAGGCTGTGACACACAGCGGTGGGGAGGTAGAGAGCTTGTGGGGGGGATCCTGAAGTCACAGGTGCTGGATAAACATCAGCAGAGACGTGAACAAAGGAGGTGAACGGAGACTGGAAGTGCCCAAACCGCTCAGGAACAGCTCAGACAACACGCATCCCATTGCTCGCTGGGACATTTCAGTGGTCCTGCATTCTGTCTGCTGACCCCTCACGGTATCAGAGGTCACAAATTTGCAGGAGCAAATGATTTTGGAAAATTATATAAAGCTACCTTTGATTTTTATCTTAAACTGACTAAGTATTAAAAAAATGCAAAACACCCACCATGCATATGCAGTACCATGACCATTTACAAGTAAGGGAAAAATGTATAGGAAAAAAGACTGGAGGGAGATAAACCCAAATCTTAGCAGCTGATATCTGTTATTTCTCTTAAAAAAAAAAAAAAAAAAAAAAAAAAAAACAGAGGGCCAGGCGTGGTGGCTCATGCCTGTAATCCCAGCACTTTCGGAGGCTGAGACAGGTGGATCACCTGAGGTCAGGAGTTCGAGACCAGCCTGTCCAACATGGTGAAACTCTGTCTCTGCTAAAAATACAAAAATTAGCTGGGCGTGGTGGCACGTGCCTGTAATCCCAGCTCCTCAGGAGGCTGAGAAAGGAGAATCACTTGAACCCGGGAAGCAGAGGTTGCAGTGAGCCAAGATCACGCCATTGCACTCCAGCTTGGGCAACAAGAATGAGACTCCATCTCAAACAAACAAAACTTAGCTGGGCGTGGTGGGTGTGCCTGTAATCCCAGCTACTCAGGAGGCTGAGCTGGGAGAATCACTTGAACCAGGAGATAGAGGTTGTAGTGAGGTGAGATCACGTCACTACACTCCAGCCTGGGCAACAGAGTGAGACTCTGTCTAAAAAAAAACAAAAACAAAAAACAAAAAAAGACGACTACATTAATAACCTGAGAAGAGAAGTGGATCACATATTAATTTATGACGTTGCTGTTACAACAGCCAATGTGGGGCGCGGCCAATCGTAAGGGTCACAGAAGCCCCTGGGGGTCTCATGTGAGGGACAGACTGCATTGTGCTTCCCACTTACTTGTCCTGGTAAGTGTCCAGGAGGTGCAACAGCATTTTTAAAATGTTCAGAACATCCTAAGGCAGAGAAAAAAAAAAAGGGACAGAAGATTGAATCACAATGCCATTGTCATTGCTAAAACAGAGCTGAACAAAATCCAACATCAGTATGGTATACATTGTTTCCTTCCTACAAACAAATTTTAAGGTGCTCACATACTAATCTTACCTCTTTTATAGATAAAACTCAGGCTTTAAACTTATACCATTTTCTCCACCAAAAAATGTGAAAGGAAAAATGGCAGCTATGAAGTACATCACATGAGACCTTCTTTTTTTTTTTTTGAGACGGAGTCTTGCTCTGTCGCCCAGGCCGGACTACAGTGGCGCTATCTCGGCTCACTGCAAGCTCCGCATCCCGAGTTCACACCATTCTCCTGCCTCAGCCTCCCGAGTAGCTGGGACTACACGTGCCCACCACCACGCCTGGCTAATTTTTTTGTATTTTTAATAGAGATGGGGTTTCACTGTGTTAGCCAGGATGGTCTCGGTCTCCTGACCTTGTCATCTGCCCGCCTCGGCCTCCCAAAGTGCTGGGATTACAGGCGTGAGCCACCGCGCCCGGCCCACTGTCTGTTTTTTAGGAATAGGAATCCTGACCTCTCCATGTTTAGTATCTAGTCTGCTTTCGCTAAGCCAGGACTCCAGAGCCAACTTCAGAAACAAACCTGCATATTCCGGGAGGAGATTTTCTGAAGTCCCCGCAGGCGGTAGTAAGTTCCTAGAAAACAGTCCAGGACATGAGCAGGAAAATGACCCAGGTGCTCAATGAAGTTTTCCATATACGGAACCAGGTGACTCAGAGGTAGCAGACTAAACCAGGATCGGAAGAGGGGCTCATCCACGCTCAGCAAATGCTTATTCTGGCTCATAAACCGAAGTAAGAAGCTCCTGCACGAGAGAAATCAGGACGGAGAAAAGAGACGCCGTGAGATCAGTGAGGGAAGATGGAGGAAACCCACGCTGGAGGGACAGAAACAGTCCCAATTTCAAAAATGATTTAAATACTCCTTGGGGCCGGGCGTGGTGGCTCACACCTGAATCCCAAGGCCGACTCGGGAGGATCACTTGAGCCCAGGAGCTTGAAACCAGCCTGGGAAACCTAGTGAGGCCCTGTCTCTACTTTAATAAATAAAATAAAGGCTATGTGGAAAACAAAAATATGCAGTGAATCAAATGAAAAGTACAGAACATCCTATTGAGAATTAACTTAATGGCCGGGCACGGTGGCTCACGCCTGAATCCCAGCACTTTGGGAGGCTGAGGCGGGTGGATCAGTTGAGGTTAGGACTTTGTGACCAGCCTGGCCGACATGGTGAAACTGCGTCTCTACTAAAAATACAAAAATTAGCCAGGCATGGTGGTGGGAGCCTAAAATCCCAGCCACTCAGGAGGCTGAGGCAGAAGAATCGCTTGAGCCCTGGAGGCGGAGATTGCAGTAAACTGAGATCACGCCACTGCACTCCAGCCTGGGCGACAGAGTGAGACTCTGTCTCAAAAAAAAAAAAAAAAAAAAAAAAAAAAAGAGAGAGAAAAGGAGAATTAACTTAATATATAATTCAGAATACAGAATAAGAATTCACTGCTGGCTATTCTGGGCACACTCCTATGGGGTAGCCCTGTTCCACAAGAAGCAGTAATATTAAAAAAAAAAAGTAATAAAATCAGGCTGGGCACAGTGGCTCACATCTGTAATCCCAGCACTTTGGGAGGCTGAGGCAGGCAGATCACCTGAGGTTGGGAGTTCGAGACCAGCCTGACCAACATGGAGAAATCCCATCTCTGCTAAAAATGCTAAATTAGACAGGTGTGGTGGCGCACACCTGCAATCCCAGCTACTTGGGAGGCTGAGGCAGAAGAATCACTTGAACCCGGGAGGTGGAGGTTGTGGTGAGCCGAGATCATGCCATTGCATTCCAGCCTGGGCAACAAGAGCAAAACTCTGTCTCAAAAAAAAAAAAAAAAAAAAAAGGTAATAAAATCAAAAAGAAAAAAAAAAAAAGAAGAGTTCACTGCTGGCTGCAGTGGCTCATGCCTGTAATTCCCACAATTCGGGAGGCCAAAGTAGGAGGATGGATAGCTTGAGGCCAGCAGTTTGAGATCAGCCTGGGCAACATAGCAAGATTCCATTGCTATAAATAAATAAATAAATAAATAAATAAATAGAATTCACTGAGATGGATGAACCTTGACAATGCTATGCTCAGTGAAATAAGCCAGACATGAAAGGACAAATCCTGTGTGATTCCACTCATGTGAGGTCCCCAGAGAAGTCAAAATCCTAGAGAGAGAGAGGAGAACAGTGGTTACCAGGAGGAGGGGGAGTGGGGAGGTTGTTTCATGGGGACGGAGTTTCAGCTGGGGAAGCTGAGTTCTGGAGGTGGACGGTGCTGACGGCTGCACGACGGTGTGAATGTACTTAGTGCCAGGGAACGGTGCCCTGAAAAGGAGTTAACATGGTAAACTGGAGATTATGTATATTTTACAATAAAAAGGTAATATCCCAATAATTAAGCCTCTTAATTATTAAGTTTTTTTTGAAATGGAGTCTCACTCTGTCGCCCAGGCTGGAGTGCAGTGGCGCGATCTCGGCTTACTGCAAGCTCCGCTTCCTGGGCTCACGCCATTCTCCTGCCTCATCCTCCCAAGTAGCTGGGACTACAGGCGCCCGCCACCATGCCCGGCTAATTTTTTGTATTTTTAGTAGAGACAGGGTTTCACCGTGTTAGCCAGGATGGTTTTGATCTCCCGACCTCATGATCCACCCGCCTTAGCCTCCCAAAGTGCTGGGATTACAGGCGTGAGCCACCGCGCCCGACCAAACCTCTATTATTAACGAGTATCCAGGATCAAAGAGCCCAAGTGTGCTCAGCGAAGGCCCTTAAATAATGCTTCTGGAACACAGTACTGGAGACCCAAAATGTTGACAATGGGAAAGAAATAAAGCAAGGTTCCCCAGAAGTAACAGAAGTTATGAAAAACATATCAATAAAGGTTCACTGCATACTAAAGGCCACTTTTACCTGAAAGACTGATCTTTAGGAACAATGCTACTGTAGACTTTTCAAGAGATTTAAAGATAAGTACATAAAAATAGCAATAATAATAAAAGGTACTCTATATGTCTACTATATCTAGCCTTTCTAGGTAAATATGGACCATCCATGGGTCTGACTATATTGATTGTTTTCTCTCTTGATCGTCTGGTGGCCTCTTCTGTTATCAGGGGCTGAGTTAATAGTTTAGATGAATTACAGCTTTGTTGTAGCTTTAATTAGAATTGGTTCCCAAGGGCTGGCCAGGCACAGTGGGTGGCTCATGCCTGTAATCCCAGCACTTTGGGAGGCTGAGGCAGGCAGATCACTTGAGGCCAGGAGTTCAAGACCAGCCTGGCCAACATGGCAAAACCCATCTCCACTAAAAATACAAAAATTAGCCCCATGTGATATGTGATTACATGCACCTGTAGTCCCAGCTACTTGGGAGGCTGAGGCACAAGAATCACTTGAACCTGGGAGGCGGAGGTTGCAGTGACCAGAGATCATGCCACTGCACTCCAGCCTGAGAGAGAGAGAGAGAGAGAAAGAGAGAGAGAGAGAGAGAGAGAGACAGAGACAGAGACAGAGAGAGAGAAAAGAATTGGTTTCCAAAGGCTTTTACACTTCTAAAGGCAAGACCATAACACTGCCTTTAGCAGAAGTTGAGATCCAGGGGCGCAGAGCAACTGCCTCATTTTTTCTGCTGTCCCCAGTCTTCGGCATTTGGCAGGCTCTGAGCATCATGCTTTACAAGGGGGCATCTCTTTCCGTTCTCCAGCCACTTTCCCAACTGCATAGTCACTGTCTTGTTCTCACTGCAAGGCCCAGAATGCTGCAGTCATTACCTCTGCTCTCCTGCCCTATCTTCAGACCTTAGCAGATTCTGTGGCCCACACCTCCAGGCTGGGGAAGGAGGAATTTCCAGAGCGCTCTCATCAATAGGACTTACTAACGTGTTAACTGCCTGCCTCTCCAGTTAGAATGCAAGTTCCATGCGGCCAGGAGCCGCTGTCTGTTTTGAGCAGTGCTGTACACCCTGTGCCTTGAGTAGTACTTCCTGGCACAAGGAAGGTACTCTTCAAGTATTCGTCCAGTGAGTGAATGAACACATTCTAGCACATTAATAAGAGAAAGACCATTTCAAGGCCAAAATAATCTATTTTGCTTAGAAAGGTTAACCTGTGGTCATTATGACAGTTCTATTAAATAACCCAGTATTCAGCATTTCATAGAGATTATACTTAAAGAGAAAGTTTGCGGTTACCTGTCAGGAATCTGAAAATACAGATGCTTTTATTTCAACTTCTAGGGAATCTGGACTTCTACCACTGCAGCCTTGACCTCCCCGGCTCAGGCGATCCTCCCATGTAAGCCTCCCAAGTGGCTGGGAGTACAGGTATACCAGAACATGCCCAACTCTTTTCTTTGTTTTTTGTAAAGATCGGGTTCTCCTACATTGCCCAGGCTGGTCTTGAACTCCTGGCCTCAAGCGATCCTCCTGTCTGGGCCTCCCAAACTACTGGAATTATAGGCATGAGCCACCAAGCCCAGCTGCTTTTATTATTTTTAAACTGACACATAATAATGGTACATATTTATGGGGAACAGTGTTATATTTCCATATATGTATATAATACGTACTATATACAAATGTTTGTATATATTATGCAGCGTATGCATATAGAGAATACATTTTGTGCACTGTATATACATATAAATATATGTCTACAATGTACACTATGTACAATGTATACAGTCTGTAATCTGTACAAATATGTGTATACAACATATATGTATACAATGTGTAATGTGTAAAAATCAGGGTAATTAGCATATCTATCTCAAACACTTGTGTTGCAAACATTCAAACTCCACTCTTCTAGCTATTTGAAAAACATAATAAATTGTAAATTACAGTCGTTCCATACTGCTCTAGGACCCTAGAACTTATTCGTCCTATCTAGCCATATTTTTGTATCCACTAGCCAACCTTTGGCTAGCCCTCTCCCCATCCTTCCTTGCCTCTCATAACTACTATTCTACTCTCTCCTTCTAGAAGATCAACTCTTTTCACATCCACGTATGAGTGGGAACGTGCAGTATTTATCTTTCTGTGCCTGGCTTATTTCACTTAATGTCATCTCCTCCAAGCTCATCCATGTTGCCACGAAAGACAGAATTTCATTCTTTTTGGTGGCCAAATAGTATTCTCTTGTGTATATAGAAAACACTTTCTTCATCCACTCATCTGCAGGTGGATACTCAGGTGGATTCCATATCATGGCTATTGAGTGTCACAATAAATATAGGAGTGCAGCTATCTCTTCAACATACTGATTTCCTTTACTTTGGATGTATCCCCAGCCGTACGATTGCTGGATCATACAGTAGTTCGATTTGTGGTTTTTTGAGGAACCTTTATACTGTTCTCCACAGTGGCAGTACTAATTTACATTCCTACATTGTGTAAGAGTTTCTCTTTCCCACATACTCACAGGCATTTATTTTTTGTCTTTTTGATCACAGCTATTCTAACTTGGGTAAGAACATATCTCATTGGGGTTTTGATTTGCATTTCCCTAATTTAATGATGCTGATCATTTTTTCATATACCTGTTGGTCAGCTGTGTGTCTTCTTTTGAGACGACTACTCAACTCATTTGTCCATTTTAAAATCTAACTTTTTCTGTTCACTTGTTTGAGTTCCTTAAATTCCCCTACCCGACACGTAGATGGCAACTATTTTCTCCCATTCCGTAGACTGTCTCTTCACTCTGTTGATAGTTTCCTTTGCTGCGCAGAAGCTTTTTGATTTGATGTAATCCCATTTATCTCACTTCACTTTGTTGCCTGTACTTTTAAGGACTTCTCCATAATTTTTCTCCAATCTTTGCCCAGACCTAGGCAATACCATTCTAGACATGGGAACGGACAAAGATTTCATGACAAAGACACCAAAAGCAATCACAAGAAAGGCAAAAATTGACAAATGAGAACTAATTAAACTGAGGAGCTTTTGCACAGCAAAAGAAACTATCCACAGAGTAAACAGATGACCCACAGAATGGGAGAAAATTTTTGCAAAATATGCGTCTGACACAGGCGTAATATCCAGCATCTGTAAGGAACATACACACATTTACAAGAAAAAAAAAAAACAACACTAAAAAGTGGGCAAAGGACATGAACAGACACTTTTCACAAGAAGACATACATATGGCTAACAGGCATATGAAAAAAGTTCAGCCGGGCACGGTGGCTCACGCCTGTAATCCAGGCACTTTGGCAGGTCGAGGCGGGTGGATCACGGGGTCAGGAGATCGAGACCATCCAGGCTAACACAGTGAAACCCCATCTCTACTAAAAATACAAAAAAATTAGCCGGGCGTGGTGGTAGGCACCTGTAGTCCCAGCTACTCAGGCGGGAGAATGGCATGAACCCGGGAGGTGGAGCTTGCAGTGAGCCGAGATCACACCACTGCACTCCAGCCTGGGCGATAGAGCAAGACTCCATCTCAAGAAAAAAAAAAGCTCAACATCACTGATCATTAGAGAAACGCAGATGAAAATCACAATGAGGACGGGCGCGGTGGCTCACACCTGCAATCCCAGCACTTTGGGAGGCCAAAGTGGGTGGATCACTTGAGGTCCGGAGTTTGAGACCAGCCTGGCCAACATGGTGAAACCCCGTCTCTACTAAAAATACAAAAATTAGCCAGGCAAGGTGGGGCGCCTGTGGTGCCAGCTACCCAGGAGACTGAGGCGGGAGAATCACTTGAACCTGGGAGGGAGAGGTTACAGTGAGCCAAGATTGTGCCACTGCAATCCAGCCTGGGTGATAAAGCGAGACTCCATCTCAAACAAAACAAAACAAAACAAAACACAATGAGGCCAGGCGTGGTGGCTCATGCCTGTAATCCTAGTACTTTGGGAAGCCGAGGCAGGTGGATCACTTGAGGTCAAGAGTTCAAGATCAGCCTGGTCAACATGGTGAAACTCCGTCTCTACTAAAAATACAAAAATTAGCCGGGTATGGTGGCGCACACCTCTAATCCCAGCAGAATCGCTTGTGCCCAGGAGGCGCAGGCTGCAGAGAGCTGAGATCATGCCACTGCACTCCAGCCTGGGTGACAGAGCCAGACTCTGTCTCTAAAAAAAAAAAAAAAATACAGTGAGATACCATCTTAACACCAGTCAGAATGGCTGCTATTAAAAGGTCAAAAATTAAAAGATGCTGGAGAAGTTGCAGAGCAAAAGGAATGCGTATGCACTGTTAGTGGGAGTGTAAATTAGTTCAACCACTGTGGAAAACAATGTGGTAATTCCACAAATGCCATTCACACCAGCAATCCCATGACTGAGTATGTAACAAAAACAATGTAAATCGCTCACTTATAAACAAACACGCCCATGTATGCTCACTGCAGCACAACTCACAGTAGCAAAGACATGGAATCAAACTAAATGCGCATCAATGGTGGACTGGATAAAGAAAATGTGGTACATACACACCATGGAATACTATGCAGCCCTGAAAAAGAATGAGATCAGCTCCTTTGCAGGAACATGGATGGAGTTGGAGGCCATTATCCTTAGCAAATTAACTCGAACAGAAAATCAAATACCACATGTTCTTGCTTACAAGTGGGAGCTAAATGATGAGAACACAGGGACACAGAGGGGAACAACACACACTGGGGTTTATCGGAGGGGGAGGATGGGAAGAGGGAGAGGATCGGGAAACATAACTAATGGGTACTAGGCTTAATATTTGGGTCATGAAATCATCTGTACCAAAAAAACACATAACACAAGTTTATCTATGTAACAAACCTGCACATGTACTCCTGAACTTAAAAATTTAAAAATAAATAAATAAACAAACTTTTTCTGGTAATATTTTCTTGGGCTAAAGGGGAGGTCATTATGTTTGGATCAGAGGTCAGGATTATATATATTGCCAATATTCCTCTCCTATAAGCCTGCATTATGCAAAGGTATAAATGGCTTAGAGTTCGCAATGCCTTTGACCTAGCAGTGCCACTTATAGGGATCTATCTCAGTGAAGCCATTGGACAGAGAAAGCTAAGGATGCTTATGAGAGCACGCTGACAAAACGAAACTGCACAAACAACCACACATCCCATAACAGAGAACTGGCTCAATACAAGGCTGACACTCTCTCTGGCTGGAAGGCTAAGCAATGTTTATCTTAATAACATAGATAGGGATTTGCTGACAGAAAAAAAGTTGTCCACAAAATACTGTTAAGAGGAAAAATCAGGTTGTAAGCCAGAATAAATAACACATCATTTGTTGTTGCTCTTTTGAGTACATAAAACACCCACGAATCCATATTTGGACAAAACCAGAAACAGGTATGCCTCTGTGCTAACAATGGCTATCTCTGGGGTTACAGGTTGTTTCTGTATTCTTGATAGTTCGTTTGTTTGTTTGTTTGTTTGTTTTAGACAGAGTCTCATGCTGTTGCCCAGGCTACAGTGCAGTGGCACAATCCCAGCTCACTGCAACCTCCAACTCCCGGGTTCAAGTGACTCTCCTGCCTCAGGCTCCTGAGTAGCTGGGATTACAAGCACATGACACCATGCCTGGCTTTTTTTTTTTTTTTTTTTGGTATTTTTAGTAGAGACAGGTTTTCACCATGTTGGCCAGGCTGGTCTTGAACTCCTGACCTCAGGTGATCCACCCGCCTCGGCCTCCCAAAGTGCTGGGACTACAGGCGTGAGCCACTGTGCCCGGCCTATTCTTGATAGTTTTGATGTCATAAAATGTTAAAAGAACGTGTGTTACTTCTGTCATTAGAAACAGGAACGGAGTCACTACAGAGCCCACCGGGACTCCGGGCGCACGGCGTAGGAGCCATTCTTCCCAGATTCATGTAGATAAGCACAACTCTACCACTTACGTATCTTGCGTTTGTTCCCGGAACTGTGAGAAAGAGATTCCCTCCAGAGCGGCCCAGGTGTCCTCAGGCTGGCTCCAGGCGTCCTTGTGCCGCGGAAGCAGTTCCATACAGCAGTGCAGGACAGGCAGGGTGCCCAGCCAGTGGTACATACTTTTGTCCATGCACCTTTGGCACAGGTTCACCAGGTACAGCCGCCAGCTGGAAGGGAATAAAGATCCCGCAGTGAGCTGAGTTGGCCAGGGAGTCGTCTCCCTGGGGGTCTGGAGTCCCAACGGTGAGCAAACACCACGCACACAGAGCAGGAGGAGCAACGCACGTGGCAGAGCAGAGTTTAACTCGCGGAGGAGCCACAGAGTAACTCGCACAGGAGACACGGCTTCCCTCAGCCCCCAGCCTAGGGCGTCAGGTCCTTCACGGGCCCTCGCCGAATCCCCACAACAAACTCCCAGGACGGAGAGCAATCTCAGAGGCAGAGGTCCTGGCTAAGTAGTCAACGCAGGGTCCTGCCTGACAGAGCCGGCATTTGAACCCAGGCCATCTGGCAACAGTAAATCTAAATATAAAGCAACTTGTAAAATTTATTTTCATTGTTTAGAGACAGTCTCACTCTGTCATCAAGGCAGTGTGGTGGTGCGATCGTTACAACCTCGAACTCTTGGGCTTGAGGGATCCTCCTGCCTCAGTCTGTCAGGTGCTGGAATTACAGGTGCACCACCACACCCAGCTACTTTTTTTTTCTTTTTTTTTTGAAACAGAGTCTCACTCTGTTGCCCAGGCTGGAGTGCAATGGCACAATCTCAGCTCACTGCAACCTCCATCTCCTGGGTTCAAACAATTCTCCTGTCTCAGCCTCCTGAGTAAGTGGGACTATAGGTGCCCGCCAACATGCCTGGCTAATTTTTTGTATTTGTATTTTTAGTAGAGATAGGGTTTCACCATGTTGGCTGGTTAAATTTTTTATTTTAATTTTTGTTTCCCAGGCTGATCCTGAACTTCTGGGCTCAAGCAATCCCTCCTGCCTCAGCCTCCCAAAGCACTGGGATTACAGGTGTGAGCCATAATGCCCGGCCAAAACAACTTTTTTTTTTTTTTTTTTGAGACGAAGTCTTGCTCTGTCGCCCAGGCTGGAGTGCAATGGCATGATCTCAGCTCACTGCAACCTCCGCCTCCCGGTTCAAGCAATTCTCCTACCTCGGTCTCCTGAGTAGCTGAGATTACAGGCATGCATCACTACGCCCAGCTAATTTTTGCATTTTTAGTAGAGACAGGGTTTCACCATGTTGGTCAGGCTGGTCTCCAACTCCTGACCTTGTGATCCGCCTGTCTTGACCTCCCAAAGTGCTGGGATTTCAGGCATGAGCCACCACACCCGGCCCCAAAACAACTTTTTAAATGTAAGGGGTGGGCCCATGAACAATACATGGTGAATCTGCTACAGTCAAAACATATTAATGATTCCTCATACTTTAAACATTGGCACTAACTTTGTACATTGCCTTGCCACCATTCCTCCTCTTTGTCAAAATGCGCAGTGTTTATCTGGGTGTTTTATATTTGTAAAACCAGGCCAGGCACAGTGGCTCATGCCTATAATCCCAACGCTTTGGGAGGCCGAGGCAGGTGGATCACTTCAACTCAGGAGTTCAAGACCACCGGGGCAACATGGCGAAACCCTGTCTCTACAATAAATACAAAAATTAGCTGCAAGGTGCATCTGTAGTCCCAGCTGTTCAGGAGGCTGAGGCGGGAGGACCACCCGAGTCTGTGAGGTTGAAGCTGCAGTGAGCCGTGACTGCTCCACTGCACTCCAGCCTGGGGGGACAGAGTAAGACACTGTCTCAAAACAACAAATAAATAAATGTGTAAAACCAAGAGGCAGATGTCGTGATAAGACATGCTGGTCAGGAAAGGCTACCTCATGTCATTCCCAGTTCAAATCAACACACACAGAATGCTGGGAGACTGTGACCATCAGAGCTCAGTGGGGTCTGAGCAGGTCTTCCCACCAAGTCAAAGGCCATCACCTTCTCACCACCAAACATTTCAGGCCCGGGACAGTCACGCTGTTTCCTAAACTAGACACGGCACAGGCAGGGGCATCGGGAGAACATTCACACTGCTTCTGCAGATATCCTTGAGGGGATATGTTCAGGCCGGCATCGTGCCACAACCTCCTAAATGCGTGCACACAGACGCTGCTCATGGTATGACACAAAGCTTCAAAAACCAGGGCATTCAGTCCAGGCGCGGTGGCTCATGCCTACAATCCTAGCACTTTGGGAGGCCGAGGTGGGTGGACCACTTGAGGTCAGGAGTTCGAGACCAGCCTGGCCAAAATGGCGAAAACCCTTCTCTACTAAAAATACAAAAATTAGCCGTGTGCGGTCGTGTGCACCTGTAGTACCTGCTACTAAGGAGGCTGAAGCAGGAGAATTGCCTGAACCTAGGAGGCGGAGGCTGCAGTGAGCCAAGATTGCGCCACTTACTCTAGCCTGGGTCACAAAGTGAGACGCTGTCTAGGGAAAACAAACAAACAAAAAAAGCAGGGTATTCAACAGAAGACAGAATATAATAAAAATAAGATAGATGCTAGGAAAAACTACTGCCACGACCACAGTGAGTGGTAAAATCACGGGTGGTTTTATTTCTTCCCTGTGTGCTTTCAGTCACTCTAGTCAACCCCTTATTTTTGCAATCAGAGAAAATCATTATAATAGCTATAAAAACATTTTAACAAAAAATAATAATACCTCTGAGATGTCCCAAGGATGTGGCTTAGGTCACTGTGAAGCTCATCTGGTGAGCTGGCATCCGAGGACAGGAGGTGACACACTGAGGTCAGGTTGTCTTCTAACTGAAATTTTTCCACCACAAAAAGGACAATGAGGCCCATTTTCAGTTTACTCCTCACTGGGCAGTCTTTAGGGAAAAGGTCCACGCTTTTTCTCTCCAGAAATGGTGCCATGTGCTTCTGCAGATATTCCCACAGGTCTTTCTTCACCTGATGGTGGGAGAAGAGGAAGATGCATGAACCGTGAACCTGAATTCATCAGAGGTGTCCAGAACCGCCCCAGCACCACAGCTAGGGCAGCAGACCCCATCCGTGCCCCGCACCACACCTGCGGGAGCTACAGGAGCAGCCGCGGTGCAGCCAAGACCCTGGCATGAGGGCTCAGGCAGGGCCCCCGAGGCTCACCAGCGCTCAGCTTCCCTCAGAAACAGCTCCAGGCTGGCCTGAAACCCGCCCAGGCTGCACCGCAGTGAGGGAAAAGGTGCAGTGCGGGAGGGCTCCCCGTTCCTTCCACTCTCCCTCCAAGGCCAGGGGAGGACTCAGGACTGGTGCTGGGGTGGGGTTCAGATTACAACCAGGAAAAGGAGGAAAATGGGGAGGGCGGGGAAATTCCAAGACACGGTGGTAGGAGAAAAGGTCGGAAACTTCCACACATTCCCATCTGCAACCCGGCCCACAGAGTCAAGGGGTCATCCGGCCACTAGCAGGTCAGGTGAGGCTCCTGCCCAGAAGGTAGAGCAGCTGGTGGCCAGCCTGATACCTCTTTCTCCCCGTACTGCAAAGCGGTCCACGGCTGTGCGTGTCCTTCATAAATCATAGGCTGCCGCACGACAAAATAAAACTGCTGGAACTGGGTGAAGAAGTTGTTGAGGTTGATGGTGTCCCAGGTCTGCAGGATGCTGAAGATGCCATCCAGCATGACCGTGGCGGCAATCTGCTTCCCCTTCACCAGGTCCTTCCTCGTGAAGTCTGCGATATGGTTCATGACTTTCTGAAATTTCCCGGGAGGCCTCATACAAACTATGTCATCGTACTGATGCCAGTCTGAGAGACAGAAAGAAGGAGAGTCTACCTAAGACCATCAAAACCCTGGAGACCCAGACGCTGGCCTAGAAGGCTGATCACGACTGGCACAGAGATGGAGTAAACGGGCCAGAGGAAGGGAGGAAGGGAAAAGCAAAAACCTGCACACTGACGACAGCCAGACTCCCTCCATCTGGCTTCTTATCTGAGGCCGGCCCCGTGCAAACGGACATCCTAGACGTCCCACAGTGATGAGTGGAAAGCCCCGGGTCGCGAACTGCAGCGGGCCTGAGACTTGCAACGGATCTCTAACTGTGTAGCTCAGCAAACTTGATAAACAACTTCCTTAAACATCATCACAAGGAGGTGGAACGTGTCATACAGAAACCACATCCCTCACTAGCAACTGAGCACTGTCCCGGTCCATCACTGAGCTGGTTTCCTCTGTACTAGGAATGGGACACAGCCCCTGGAGGAAGGTGCGGGCTGCCCAGCAGGCACAGATGGCCTTTGGCATGGTGGCTGGTACAGGGCAAGGGCTGAATTCATGACTGTTCCTAAGCTCCATTGCAAACGATGTGAGTGCAGACCTCATTACAGAGAACCCAGTGAGGTCGACTGTAAAATAATTAGAAAACACAGGAGGTCAATGAGAGAGTGAGAGGCCCCGTGAAGACATACAAACAGAAGTAAAAATCAGGCAGAAACGGGAAGCACCCTCACAGGCCTCCTGAGCCCTCTGCTGTGCTTTGCGGGGGGCGGGGGCCCCACCCGCCGCACAGTTGTGTAGACTGTCAGGCCCACCCACCCCAGCTCTGCACCCTGGGCCCAGCAGGGCTTGCAACTGTTTAGTTCACCTCGGTCATCACCTCCTTGTGGAAGCTTCTGCCGACCTCCAGCTCAAATCCCCTACCACGTGCCTTTTTTTTTGTTTTTTTTTGTTTTTTTTGTTTTGAGACGGAGTCTTGCTCTGTTGCCCAGGCTGGAGTGCAGTTGCCGATCTTGGCTCACTGCAAGCTCCGCCTCCCAGGTTCATGCCATTCTCCTGCCTCAGTCTCCTGAGGAGCTGGGACTACAGGGGCCCACCACCACGCCCGGCTAATCTTTTTGTATTTGTAGTAGAGATGGAGTTTCACCATGTTAGCCAGGATGATCTCGATCTCCTGACCTTGTGATCTGCCTGCCTCGGCCTCCCAAAGTGCTGGGATTACAGGCGTGAGCCACCGCACCCAGCCACCATGCGCCCTTTTAACTGAGCCATCAATGCCATGGCATTTATCAGAGAAGGAATTCCATATTTATATCTATAGAATTCCATATTTAAATATATTTATATATGGAATTACTGGACTAAGGCCTATTCTCTCAAAGCTTAAGTTCTCAGAGTACACTCTCTAGCTAGTAAAAATCACGTTTGGCTGGGCACGGTGGCTCACGTCTTAATCCCAGCACTTTGGGAGGCTAAGATGGGCGGATTGCTTGAGCCCACGAGTTTGAGACCAGACTGGGCAACATAGCAAGACCAGTCTCTCCAAAAAAAAATACGAAAAATTAGCCAGGCATGGTGGCACACGCCTGTAGGCCCAGCTACTTGGGGGACTGAGGGGGAGGATCAGTTGAGCTCTGGGGGTTGAGGCTGTAGTGAGCTGAGATCGTGCCATTGCACTCCAGCCTGGGTGACAGAGCGAGCTCCTGTCTCAAAAAAAAAAATATGTTTACAAAAACAAAAAAATAAATACTTTATAAAGTTCTTAGGACTTCTGTCTTTGTCCAAGGTGGAATGACAGGGACTAAATTTACATTCTCCCGTATCTGCCTAAAGCAACATATGAACAACATAAACAGTAAAACAACCATTTTCAAGACACCGGACAGCAGGGGGCAGGGAGCGGAAAGCAACAACCAGCTGACCCCAGCTCACTTCCTTGAGTTTCAGTGTCACTGTGCAGGGAGGGGGAGCCAGGGGAAGCCCAGGACCCCCCAGCTGAGGAGGCAGTGCTGGGAGTCCAGGTGACCAAGAGAGCCCAAGTTTATAGACAGAGAACTCAGGCGGGGGACCCCTGAGAGAGGCATGGAGGGGCACAGAGGGCTCTGCGAGAAGGGGAGCGCCCGCGTCTATGGACAGGTGGGCGGAGCGGCTGACAGGCTGGGGATGGCAGCCGGCAGGAGCCTGCAGACGGGGCTCTGGGCGTCATCTCCAGTCAACCATCTGAAAATCTCGAGAGAAGTGACAAGTCCCAGTGGCCTCCTGGTCACTGCACTTGTCCCTGACCCAGCTTCCAGGCCTTTGCTGCCCCTCTGTTCCCAGTCGCAGCCCTTCTTCTGGCTTCGTGTTCTCTCCTTTCTCTTAATTAAAAATGCTTTCCGGCCGGGCGCAGGGGCTCACACCTGTAATCCCAACACTTTGGGAGGCCGAGACCGGCAGATCACCTGAGCTCAAGACCAGCTGGCCAACATGGTGAACCCCCGTCTCTACTAAAAATGCAAAAGTTAGCCGGGGGTGGTGGCAGGCTCCTGTAATCCCAGCTACTCGGGAGACTGACGCAGGAGAACTGCTTCACCCTGGGAAGCGGAGGTTGCAGTGAGCCGAGATTGCACCACTGCACTCCAGCCTGAGCGATAGACTCCATCTCAAAATACAAACAAACAAAAAAATCTGCAAGTGAGTGGGTAAGTCACACTGAGCTCAAAGGAGAAGCCAACATATCTTTAACCAACCAGGGACACAACCCAAAGTCAGTGTCACTGAACCTCGAGGCTGGGGAGGGGCCATTGCGGAGCAGAGGCCCTCACTGCCCAGGCAAAGTCTGTGGTCTCCAGAGAGACGCGCCCAGTACTGCAGGGCTGGCACCTGCACTCTGGAAGGGTGAGCAGACAGCCTCCTGCCACGACTTACCTCCTGAGCCCAAAAGTGAAGATTTTATGAACAGACAGCGGTTGACGTGCTCGCCCTCCTTCTGCTGGCGCTTGTAGATGAACTCAAACTCAGCAGAGCCCTTGTTATTACAAATGACGTACTTGTAAGGAATGTATTTATTTAGGTATTTCTTGGAAATGACGGCGCTGCCTTCAACAAGAATGCCATCACGATGTAAGTCTCTGGGAATGAACAGGATACAGTTGGTTATCCAAAATTCCCATCCCGGAAATTTTAGTTCTTCTCAAACACAGCATGGAGTGCAAAGCTACAAATTGATGTGGACTAAGAGGAGGCTTCTAGAACAAGAAAATAAACCCTGGCAAAGCTGGGTTCCGCGGCCCATGCCTGAAATCCCAACACCATGGGAGGCTGAGGTGGGAGGACTTCTCTAGTTCAGAGGTCAAGGCTGCATTGACCTGTGATCCCACCACTGCAGTCCAGCCTGGGTGACAGAGCAAGATTCTGTCTTGGATAAACAAAGCTGGGCATGGTGGCCCAGGAGATTGAGGCTGCAGTGAGTCATGATTGTACTCCCGCCTAGGCAACAGAGCAAGATCCCCTCTCTAAAAAAACAGTGTAATAAAGAAAGATTACTTTAAAAAAAAAAAAAAAAAAGGTCCATGATGGAATGTGACACAGAAATGCATGTCCAGGAAGAGCTGTCTGAAATAGTCACCTTCCAAAAGCCAAAGGATGTCGTCAACTCACTTGATAAAAATTATTTAAAGGCTGGACGCAGTGGCTCATGCCTGTAATCCCAGCACTTTGGGAGGCCTAGGCAGGCGGATCACCTGAGGTCAGGAGTTTGAGACTAGCCTGGCCAGCATTTAGTAGAAACTCCATCTCTAGTAAAAATACAAAAATTAGCCGGGCATGGTGGCGGGCGCCTGTAATCCCAGCTACTTGGGAGGCTGAGGCATGAGAATTGTTTGAACCCAGGAGGCAGAGGCTGCAGTGAGCCGAGATCGCGCCACTGCACTCCAGCCTGGGTGACACAGCAAGACTCTGTCTCAAAAAAAAAAAAAATTTTTTTTTAAATACATGTCACAGATTAGGCATCCTATGCCTTGCCTGAGGGATTCCTCCCAAGCCTACAGACACGCGCACCTGGTGCAGTGCAGCTCACAGACATTCCTGCTCCATTTCGGCTCGCCGAGTTCTTCTCCGCCTCTGATGAAGACTTTATGGTGGTCGGGATTGAATGAGAAATGATTAGAGATGATGGCGTGGAAGTACACGGTGACTCCTCTGCCCGGGCTCAGCGTCCTGGTGGAAAACCAAAACAGAAATCTGATTCCTGCGAGATCTGTCCACCCGCCATGTACATGCACGCACATGCACACACACGTGCACACGGGTACACGCACACGTACACACAAGCACATGCACACGCGCGCACACACATCCGTGCACGTGCACAAGCACGAACACACGCACATGCACACACATGCACATGCACACATGTGCACACACACACACGCACATGGTCCTTGTGTTCCTAATGCACACTATCACACCCTAGCAAAAATGCAAGCACATCCATGTCTGACACACGACCCCCTGTGGGGTTGTCTCTTCCCTGTCTCCAAAGTGGAGGAAGAAGAGGTGGCCAATCCCTGCCCATCTCTGAAGTGTTGCGGGCAGTGGCAAGAGGCACCAGCAGGTGTCCGAGCCAGAATAGCCCCTCTCCTGAGTTCCAAAAGGCCCACGCGGGCTCCAGGACCCCAGGGGCTATTAGGAAACAAGAAACTGGCACAGGTGCCCGCCCCCGTCCACCTCCTAAGTGGTTCCCTTTTCCCCCAAAGTTAAACTTGCCAAAACAGTTGACTAGAGGGCAGCCTGGATATCCCCTGGGAGCTGTGCAGGGAGAGGGTGTGCCGGGCTCTCAGGCAGGGTCTCCTTTGCTCCCCTGCGGGGTCATCCCTACCTTGCCTTCACTTCCTGGACACCCGCTTTCTGGTTTTTTTGTTCCTTCTCCTTTTTCGCAGCAGCTGCACTTTTGTTCTTCCCCTCTGGCTTCTTGGGGTCTTCAGGCTCCCCTTGCTCATTTTTACCGACTTTTTCTCCAGCAGTAGCCGTCTCGTCCTTGGTCTTGGTCTCAGCTTCCTGGAACAAGGAACCAAACCCCGACCTTCAAGGCTGGCCTCCACATTTTCTTTTTTTTTTTTTTGAGACAGAGTCTCGCTCTTATTCCCCAGGCTGGAGTGCAGTACTGCAGTCTCAGCAGCTCACTGCAACCTCCACCTCCCAGGCTCAAGCAATTCTCCTGCCACAGCCTCCCGAGTAGCTGGAACTACAGGCACACAACACCATGGCTAGCTAATTTTTGTATTTTTAGTAGAGACGGGGTTTTACCATGTTGGCCAGACTGGTCTTAAACTCCTGACCTCAGGTGATGCACCCGCCTGGGCCTCCCAAGTGCTGGGATTACAGGTGTGAGCCACCGCGCCCGGCCCAGCCTCCACATCGACCCCTACAGGGGATGCTTCTCACAGCGGACTGAGTGACCACAACCCTTCCCTGCTTGGGACCTTCCAGTGCCGTTGGGGTCACTAATCACAGCCTCCAGAGGCGCCACTCTCCATCCTCATTGGTGGCCTCTCCTCCCCCAACTCCTCCTGGGAGCACTGGTGTCCCTGCTGCTCTGGGAACAGGCCCACCCCACACTACCCCAGGGCCTCTGCACATGACCTTCCCATTGTCTGGGACACATCCCAGACACCTCCGGGACCATCCCTCACCACCTCCTCAGAGAGGCCTTGCCCGGCCACTCGGGCTGTGGGGGGCCACGGTACCTCGGGGCCCACCCCAGTGCCCTCTCCCCTCCCTCCCTCCACGCTCTTCTCACTGCTGAGGTCGGTTTCCTGACTCTCTCTCCTCCAGAAGGTGAGCACCCCGAAGGCCAGGGCTTTGTCTGAATCACGGCTATATCCCCAGCACTTAAATATTCACTGAATAATTAAATGAAAGAGGGGCAGCCGTGGGCAGGACGAGGGCCTCCTGGAGCCAGCAGGCAGGAAGGAGACGCACCTGGCAGTGTGTTTTGGAAGCAGCAGTGGTTGTTGGCGGCTGTTTCATTCCCTGGATCTTCTCTTTCATTTCCTTCCCAGCCCCTTTAACTGCATTGGCTGGCTCAGCTGCAGCATCAACTGCCTGCAAGACCCCAAACACCAGAGCCAAGGTGACCAAATGGACCAGGGTGACTCGGACATGGTTTAAGGGTCAGTAGCTGCCACAAGCCTAGGGACAGGAGGGGCCGGCGTCCCGGGTGGAGGGCAGCCCTCCCACCCCACCCAGGGAGAAGGGCCCAGAGGACACCCTCCCTGGCAGGGAAGCAACGCCAGCACCTTGCAGCAGAGCCCAGGTGCCGAGGGCTCAGTGCCACTCCCGGCCATCTCTCTCGGATGACTCACCGTAGAGGCTGGGGTCCCCGCCTGCTGCCTGGTGGTCTGCGGTTCTGTCCCGGGCTCAGAGCTGCCCCCTTTCGACTCAGGCAACAGGAGCTCCTGGGCAGCATCTTCATTCCCAGAACGGCCTTCACCAGCAGAGGTGGGGGGACCGGCCCCCTCCTGGGACAGGCCTCTGCCCCCAGAGGGGATGGAAGCGTCCTTGTCCTCCCCTTCTGTGTGGTCCTGGGGTTGGCGGCTGCTCTGAGCCTCACCTCCTGTGGCCACTCCTGCTTCTCCCAAAGCCTGAGCCTGCAGGGGGCTGTCACCAACCTTGGTGGGCACGAAGGGACCGTCACCCTCCAGTGGTATGGTGGCTGTGCCCGGGGGCTGGCTCGGCTGGCCAGTCGGGCCACTCTGCTGGGCTTGGCTGTGGGGCCGGGCTGCGTCCTGAGGCTCCGGGTTTGAAAGCAAAGTCAGATGACAGGGGCTGGCAGGAGACAGGGGCAAGGAATCCAGCTCTGAGGAAGCGGAGTTGTTCAGATTCTTATTCTTCTTCCTTTTCTTCTTTTTGCTCTAAACAGAAAGACAGACACTCACTTTACTTCTTAGATTTAGTGTACTCTAGCCCACGTTTCCCTCCAACTTTCTCTCCCATTTCTCAGCTACATCAAGCTTCGCTCAACCAAAGTGCCTAACACCTGTTAGATCTGCAATTACCTGGAAAGAATGAAATTAAGAAACAAAAGTTGGGGATGGGCAGGGTCAGGGACAAGTGGCCTTGAAGTGCTTTTACCACACTCAGCACGGTCACGGCCAGGCGGAGACCCTCACACGGGCTCACTGTTTATTGGGCATCCACGGACATGGTTATTTATTTATTTATTTGAGACAAGGTCTCCCTCTGTCACCCAGGCTGGAGTGCAGTGGTGCAACCCCGGCTCACTGTAGCCTCGACCTCCTGGGCTCAAGTGATCCTCCCACCTCAGCCTCCTGAGTAGCTGGGACTACAGGTGAGCATCACTGCGCCCAGCTAATTTTTTGTTTGTTTTGTGTAGAAACGGGGTTTTGTCATGTTGCCCAAGCTGGTTTTGAACTCTGGGACTCAGGCGATCTGCCCACCTCGGCCTCCCGAAATCCTGGAGTTACAGGCGTGAACCACCATTCCCAGCTGGTTTTAAAAAATGCTTTGTAGAGGCAGAGTCTCACTATGTTGCCCAGGCTGGTCTCCAACACCCAGGCTCAGGCCTCCCAAAGTGTGGGAGTACACACGTGAGCCGCCGTGCCTGGCCTGGTTTTGAACATTAGGAAGCACACGCAGGCTTTCCACATTTTATGCACCTCTATAAAAATATTTCGTACACAAAATTTGAAATGAGAAGGAGGAGACTGAAAAATGAGTAGCAGCTGCCTCCGCACCCTCAGCAGGCACACCCAGGCTCGAAGGCACATCCAGGTTCAGGGGTACCGTCCCCACCTTGGAACCAGGACTGCAGCTGGTGGGAGGAGGCTGCCAGGACCCTGGGACCCCGCAGGCATCTCCCAGGGGATGGTGCTCAGGGGTGCGTGCTGATCGGGTCACTACAGGAAAGTGACTTGCAGATCCCCTGAAACCTGGTGGGGTGTGATGAGGGCCCCGAACTGCCAGGCAGCAGGTGTGAACCTGTGCCCACTCCACACCCCCCACCTCCTGCACCCACACGCCCGGGAAGACCCGCACACACTGAGGTGCAGCCCAGGGGCTAATCTACCCTCTCCTCAGCAACTGGTAGTGAGGGGACTAGGAAGGGCCACAGGGTCCCGTCACTGCCACTTCAGGAGCCCCTCGGCTGATGGCTGGCCCCTGTGTGGCCCCAGGAGGAGGCTGCGTTCCCACCCGCCCAGGGCATGGCGAAGCAGCAGCTGGACAGGGCTGTGCCCCAGGGCTTCCAGGAGGCCAGGCCGACACTGCAAGGCCTTCTCTCTCACACACGACCGCACTTCCTGCCAGAACCAGGGCCAGAAATTCTGATTTTCTCCTCCCTTTTAAATTCAGAGGAAACCCACGCTCAGTGTACACAAAGCACAGGAGGCCCCCCCCGCCCCCCGCCACCTGCCCCCCGACCCGTAACATCTCCCCAGGCCACAGTTCGGCTCTAGCCTCCTGCTCGGCCTGCATCCCTGATGCCGACCCCAGACCACCAACCCACCACACCGCTGAGAGCACCTGGTCCCGTTCCTGGGAGCAAGCACCACCCCTGAAATGACACACTTGGAGCGTTTGGGTGCAGACAGGGAAGACTCACTCCCAGCGCACCGTGACTCTAAAATGGCGCTTCATTGAGATCTGGCCACTGCGCTCCAAGCTGGGCGACAGAGTGAGACTCCATCTCAAATATTGAAAAAAAAATAGGTCGGGCGTGTTGGCTCAGGCCTATAATCCCAGCACTTTGGGAGGCCGAGGCAGGCAGATCACTGGAGGTCAAGAGATTGCAACCAGCCTGGCCAACATGGTGAAATCCCCCGTCTTTACTAAAAATACAAAAAATTAGCCGGACGTGGTGGCAGGCGCCTGTAATCCCAGCTACTTGGGAGGCTGAGGCAGGAGAATTGCTTGAACCTGGGAGGCAGAGTTTGCAGTGAGCCGAGATTAAGCCACTGCACTCCATCCCGAGCAATAGAGCAAGACTCCATCTCAAAACAAAACAAAAAAAAAAAAAAAAAAAAAGCACCTGCAGAAGCAACCGCAGCAGAAGAGTCCGGGGCTGGGGCCCAGCACTGGAGAGTGGCGTCATCAGGGCAGGTGTCAGCCTCTGAATGACAGGCTGGTCAGCTGCCGGGGACCTGCTGAAAGGGGGAAGCAAGAGGCCGTCAAGAAACAGGCAGGTGCTGCACAACCCCTCACTGCAGGCACCCATCGGCCTCAGTATGCTGAGGAGACCTGGCAGGTGGGGTCCGAGCCCTGAAGACAGCCTAGCCTCGGAAAGGCGATGACACCGTCCCTGCCCGGCCAGCTGCCTGGTGCCTCTGGGGCTGCCACGCAGTGATGTCTGGGCTGGGTTTAGAGGGCCTGCCTGAGTTCCCATCCAGCTCACCCCATGCCACACTGGCTGGGCAACCCCAGGTGGGTCACTGAGCCACCGTGGGTCTCAGTTTCCCCATCTTTAAAGTGGAGACAGCAGATGTCTCCACATCACAGCATCACTGAGGGTGACCAAATGGGACGAAGCACACAGAGAGTTGTAGGACACTGCCTGGCACACGCAAGGCCCCCGTCGGTGATGCTGTGGTCACGGTCACTGTCCACACACAGCAGGTGTTTGTGGCCACCTGGTGACAGCACAGGATGGCCTATCCTGGGGGATGGTCCCTTGGCTCTCCCTGTTCTCGGCCGCATGGTTTCAGTACCATCAGCTTTACTCCAGCCCCAGGGGCAGCTCTTGTGCGTGGGCTGATGTCAACCACTGCGGTCTATCATCCTGGCCACAGGGACCCACTGGGGGATTGGCCCGTGAGCCAATCAGAGCCAATGAGATTTGAGGAAGCGCTTCCTCTCTCCAGAGGAATCACTCACCAGAGGAGGCGCTCTCTTGTCCCCTGAATGACAGAGTAGCAGGTGGATCACGGGGAAGCCACTGTGTGGCACGAGGGAGTGACGGGAAACAGCTGGTGAGAGGCTCGGTGGGGGAGCCATGTCCAGAAGGCAGAGCAGACAGGGCCAGAGACGCCTGCACCAAGCCTCGCCTGCAGCCTCGGGGCTCATCAGGTGTCCATAATAAACTCCCTCAATGGGATTAGCCAGGTGGAGCTGGGCTTTCCATTATTTGAAATGGAGTCTCACTCTGTCATCCAGGCTGGAGCGTAGTGGCATAATCTCAGCTCACTGCAACCTGTTTCCTGGGTTCATGCAATTCTCCTGCCTCAGCCTCCTGAGTAGCTGGGATTACAGGCTCAGGCCACCACGCCCAGCTAATTTTTGTTCTGTTTTTGGTTTCTGTTTTGTTTTGTTTTGTTTTTTTGAGACGAAGTTTCGCTCTTGTTGCCCAGGCTGGAGTGCAATGGCATGATCTGAGCCCATTGCAACCTCTACCTCCCAGGTTCAAGGGATTATCCTGCCTCAGCCTCCCGAGTAGCTGGGATTACAGGCACCTGCCATCATGCCTAGCTTTTTTTTTTTTTTTTTTTGTATTTTTGTACAGACGGGGTTTCACCATGTTGGCCAGGCTGGTCTTGAACTGACCTCAGGTGATCCACCCTCTTCGGCCTCCCAAAGTGCTGGGATTACAGGCGTGAGCTACCGTGCCTGGCCATAATTTTCGTATTTTTAGTACAGATGGGGTTTCACCATGTTGGCCAGCTGGTCTTGAACTCTGACCTCAGGTGATCCACCCACCTCGGCCTCCCAAAGTGCTGCAAGTACACGTGTAAGCCACTGTGCCTGGCCATAACCCAAAGATTTCTAATGGTTAAAATAATCAAACCTCAAATTAAGTTATTCCCTAACTATGAAAGTTGAAAATAAGCCAAGGTCATGGATGCTCTAGCAGCTTCAACGACATAATCAGGCTCTGGCAAAAACTAAGAATCCTCAGGCTCTGGACTGCTGAGTCACAGCTGGGAACAGGAGGAGCCCACTGAGGCAGGCCCCTGACCACCCCCCACCTCCCAACCAGCATGGAAGATGCAGGCCCCCTACTGCTTCTTTCCTTGATGTAGCAAAGGGCTCAGACCTTAGGAACAACTGCCAGCAGCCTTCCCCAGGGCCTGCCTTGCAGGAGGAGTGGCCAGCCAGGAATAAACAGCAGCAGCAGCATGCGGAGGTTGGGCAGAGCCCAGGGAGGCTGGAGGCAGGGGCCAGGCCTTACTCCCTCTGCTCACAACATGGGGCTGCGGAAAAACTGCAGTAAACACAGAGGCAACTGCAGGAGAGATCCTTGGAGGGACCATGATCCAGTTCCTGGAAGACCACTGCCCTCAAGCCGCCAGCCCAGACCCTCTTTTCTGTAGAAACAAAACCGACCATCTGACATCATCGCACCTGCAGGCGGGGCTGAGGTCTCGAAGGAGCAGCCCCAGGCTCACCCCTCTCAGCTGTTCCCCTGTGAACTGCCGCCTGGCCCTGAATTGGGGACCGCTTACTTCTCGGTGAGGACTGGCCAAGTGCCCCGGTAGGGGCCCCGCGCTGCTGGTGCCTCCTGCTGTCTGCTTTTCCACTGAACAGTTTCATGGTCTTCTTTGACCCAGAATCTCCAACTATATAAATCATAGTGGTATTTATAATTTTAGCGGGGGGTGAGGCTTAGAAGTATTTACAGAATTTTATAAATATCCCCCTATATTTTCTAGACCTTTTAGGATGCTGTTTTACATTAAAATATTGAATCAGGCCAGGCACAGTGGCTCACACCTGTAATCCCAGCACTTTAAGAGGACAAGGCAGGCGGATCACCTGAGGTCAGGAGTTTGAGACCAGCCTGGCCAACATGGCGAAACTCCATCTCTACTAAAAATACAAAAATGAGCCGGGCATGGTGGCGCATGCCTGTAACCCCAGCTACTCTAGAGGCTGAGGCAGGAGAATCGCTTGAACCCAGGAGGCGGAGGTTGCAGGGAGCCGAGATCATGCCACTGCACTCCAGCCTGGGGGACAGAGGGAGAATCTGTCTCAAAAATAAATAAATAAAAAATAAAGTGCACAGGGGACGCTGTGGGTTATGTGCCGATGGCACGCCGTTTCATATCTAGGACTGGGCATCCTCAGATTTTGGTGTCCTCCAGGGTCCTGGAACCGATCCCCTGTGGGTAACGAGAGACCACTGTGTATTTCAGTGTGACTACAAGATGAGTATGAGCGGGACATGTGTGTGTTGGGGGGTGTGTGAGTGGGGTGAGTGGGGAGTGTGTGTGTGTGTTGGGGCGTGTGTGTGAGTAGTTTGTGTGTTGGGTGTGTGTGGTGTGAGTGGGGTGTGTCTTGGGGTGTGTGTGAGTGGTGTGAGTGTGTTGGGGCGTGTGTGTGAGTAGTTTGTGTGTTGGGTGTGTGTGGTGTGAGTGGTGTGAGTGGGGTATGTATGTGTTGGGGTATGTGTGTGAGTGGGGTATGTGTGTGTTGGGGTGTGTGGGGGTGTGTGTGAGTGGGGTGTGTGTGTTGGAGGTGAGTGGGGTGTGTGTGTGTGCTGGGTGTGTGTGAGTGGTGTGAGTGGGGTATGTATCTGTGTTGGGGTGTGTGTGTTCAGGGTGAGTGGGTTGTGTGTGTGTGTTGGGTGTGAGTGGTGTGAGTGGGATGTGTGTGTATTTGGGGGGGTGTGAGTGGCGTGAGTGGGGTATGTGTGTGTTGGGGGTAAGTTGTGTGAGATATGTGTGTGGTGGGTATGTGAGTGATGTCAGTGGGGTGTGTGTGTTGGAGGTGTATGAGTGGTGTGAGTGGGGTGTGTGTTGGGGGTGTGAGTGGTGTGAATGGGATGTGTGTGTTGGGGGTGTGTGTGTGGTGTGAGTGGGGTATGTGTGTCTTGGGGTGTGTGTGAGTGGTGTGAGTGGGGTATGTATGTGTTGGGGTGTGTGTGTGAGTGGGGTATGTGTGTGTTGGGGTGTGTGTGGGGGTGTGTGTGAGTGGGGTGTGTGTATTGGAGGTGAGTGGGGTGTGTGTGTGTTGGGTGTGTGTGAGTGGTGTGAGTGGGGTATGTATCTGTGTTGGGGTGTGTGTGTTCGGGGTGAGTGGGTTGTGTGTGTGTGTGTTGGGTGTGTGAGTGGTGTGAGTGGGATGTGTGTGTATTTGGGGGGGTGTGAGTGGTGTGAGTGGTGTGTGTGTGTGTTGGGGGTAAGTGATGTGAGTGGGATATGTGTGTGGTGGGTATGTGAGTGATGTCAGTGGGGTGTGTGTGTTGGAGGTGTATGAGTGGTGTGAGTGGGGTGTGTGTTGGGGGTGTGAGTGGTGTGAATGGGATGTGTGTGTATTGGGGGTGAGTGGTGTGAGTGGGATATGTGTGTGGTGGGTATGTGAGTGGTGTGAGTGGGGTGTGTGTGTTGGGTGTGTGTGTTGGGGGTGTGTGAGTGGTGTGAGTGGGGTGTGTGTGTTGGGGGTATGAGTGGTGTGAGTGGGGTGTATGTGTGTTGTGAGTGGTGTGAGTGGGATGTGTGTGTTGGGGGTGTGTGAGTGGTGTGAGTGGGGTGTGTGTGTGATATGAGTGGGGCGTGTGAGTGGGGTGTGTGTGTTGGGGGGGTTTGTGGGGGTTTGTGAGTGGGGTGAGTGGGGTGTGTGTGTTGTACCCAAATGCTGAGCCCATGGTTCAGACACCCCACTTTCCACACCCATGTGTACACCGTGACCAACACGCTCCGGTCCGCACATGCCGTGCATCACTCCAGCTCACAACTCATGCTCCGTGCGCATCCCCAGGTTGTGCCTGTTACTCCACGGGAATGTTTCCACCCGTGTACGTTGACAGTTTTACTATAAATTTCCCATCCATTTCTCCTCCTTCTCACATCCGTTAAGTATCTTCTCCAATTGATAGTTTAAAATCTTTCTGTCAGCTTCCAAAACTACAAAACCAGGCTGGGGTGGTGGTTTATGCCTGTAATCCCCTGCACTTTGGGAGGCTGAGGTGGGAGAATCGCTTGAGCCCAGGGGTTTCAGACCAGCCTGGGTAACACAGCAAGACCCCATCTCTACCAAAAATTTAAAAAATTAACTGGGCGTGGTGGTGCACGCCTGTAGTCCCAGCTACTCGGGAGGCTGAGGCACGAGGATTGCTTGAGCCCAGGAAGTCAAGGCTGCAATGAGCTATGATTTTGCCACAGCACTCCAGCCTGGGACACAGGGTGAGACCCTGTCTCAAAACAAAAACAAAAACCACCAAACCCATTCAGAGCTGTACTACTGTTACACATTAATTAGTTGGTTAAGTTCCTGTGTCACTCTGGGTGACAGCAGACATCTCTGCAGTGCTAAACCTTCCACGTTCTCTCTGGGGAAGGGTCCACCTCTCCAGGGGCTTCACTGTCTGCTGAGCCGCAGCGCCTTCTCCTCGCCAGGCCTATGAATCCGTCCTTTATTTTACAAGCTGCTTCTCATATTTTTGTTGCTATTGAGAATGAGCTCTCCACCCACACCGTGCCTTAGGTCTGAGTAAGTCCAGCCCCATGTGGACGCTGCCTGCATTTCCCAAGAGCTGCAGGAGCGGGCTCACAGCCAAGCCCCAGGCCACAGAGGGAAGAGCACGCCTGCCTCGAACGTTTCTGCATACACCTGAGACCTAGGACCCACCGCAGGTGGTGGATGCTCAGTAAATCGCTGTTCAATGAACACGTGACCATGTGGATGGGCCGGGGGGAGCGGCGCAGGGAAGGCGGGGAGTGTCACCCTCTGTAAAACAGTAATAAACTTCACAAATATCACTCTTCAAGGTACGAAGCTCCCTTGCTTTTCCCCAAAAGCCAAAGTTTCATTACATGTGTTAGCTAATTTCATTCTCGATATTATTAGCGAGTCCTGTAATACTTCTAAATGCTATAGAAAAAGTCAGGATTTTGGACAGGCACGGTGGCTCACGTCTGTAATCCCAGCACTTTGGAAGGCCGAGGTGGGTGGATAATTTGAGGCCAGGAGTTCAAGACTAGCCTGGCCAACATGGTGAAACCCCGTCTCTACTAAAAATACACACAAAAAAGTAGCCGGACGTGGTGGCGGGCGCCTGTAGTCCCAGTTACTCAGGAGGGGGAGGCAGGAGAATCGCTTGAACCCGGGAGGCGGAGGTTGCAGTGAGCTGAGATCGTGCCACTGCACTCCAGCCTGGGCAACAGAGCGAGACTCCGTCTCAAAAAAAGGAAAGAAAGAAAGAAAAAGTCAGGATTTCAACTTCCAGAAACCAGAGACTAAACTGAGCAGGGTTTCCACTACACCCCCATGCGGCAAGCGCCATCCAAGACCTTGTGTTCAGGCAGAGGCCTGGTCCGGCCCCCGCCTGCCTGGGCCCGGCCCTCTCAGCCCCTCAGGCTCCCCTCCTGCTGTCTGTGATGAAGCCTGTGTTGCCAGTGGACCTTTAGCCAGGTGAGTGCAACCAGGTTAAGTTTCTCCAGGTGTCCAAGGGGACAGCTGCATGGAGTAAAAAGGCGAGTGGAAGGATGGGGGCCAGAAGGGCAAGCACAACAAAGCGGAAATTCACCGCTAGCAAAATGTCCTCAGAGTCACAAGAGCCAAGTCTGAATCAGCGTTGCTCTGTCACAGCCCAAGGGTGACCTGAGAACGCCAGTCCTGGGCAGCCTTCCTTGGCTGGCGGGGACTCCAGGGCCGGAAGCGCGAGGTGGCTGTGCCGGCATGCACGGGGCGGGGCGGGGAGCGTACTGCCCAACTGTTGACTCAGACTACCTGCTCACAGTCTGCAGAAGGCACGCCGGCGGCCTCAAGCGGGGCTGCGTCCTGCTTCCTTCTCTTGCGGGGTATGGCATGAGCAGCTTCCCACTCATCGGATATGAGGTCTACAGTAGCATCTACCAAAAACTCTGACGCAGCTCCCTGTTGAAACACGACCCCCTTCAGACAGGGCAGGGCTGTGCACCCCACGCACAGCTCTAGCAGACTCCCAAAGACCCCACCTCAGGGGTCACCTCCTCTCAGAAAGGCCCAGGCAGGGACATCCACGTGTGGGCACTGACCAGCTGCTCCCCAGCACCCTCTGCATCCAGGGCCCACGGGCAGGAGGGTGTGGGGACACCAAGCAGCAGCTCCTGCAGACATGCAGGGCAAATCCACATAAGAGAAGAACTGCCCACACCAGAGGTGGCACCCTGCCAGGCTCACAGCACCCTGCCAGGCTCACAGCACCCTACCAGGTTCCTGGCGCCCCTGGGCCTCCACACGAATGCCTTGGCTTGTGCTCAGAGCACAGATGCACTGCAGAGACCAACCCAGAAACTACAGGCAGGCCCGGGCACCCCAGGTCCAGACAGGCCAGGCCTCCTGAACCCCTAGAGCCAGAGGCGGGCAGTCTGGCCCCGCAGCGGGCATGCTCATCCGGCACCTCCCTCCCACACCGGGCATCACCAGGAGACCTCACAGCAAGACGCCCAGCAGGAAGCTGAGGAAGGGAAGCTCCAGCAGGAGCTTCGAACCCAAATGGCCCTGGCTGCAGCAGAGTCTCCTCCTCCCTCACCGCAGGAAGTACAACCCAGCAGCCAAGCCCAGCAGCCTCTCCAGAGGAAGAATCCACAAAGGGCACCCGGTTAGTCGGCAACCAGCGGCCACCAAGGGAGAGACCAAGTGGAGAACGGCTGTGCCAAGGGACAGGCGCGGGCCCCTCTCTGCACCCTCTCCCTCTCCACCCACCCCATGACTGCGGGTAAAGACTGACCACCTGACTCTGCTGCGGGGTGAGGCTGGCCACGAAGCTCGCTGGGGCCACCTCCCTTGGCTCCGGGCACCCTCCTCACCATGGTTAGAATGCAGCGTCTGTGCTTAGAGAACCGTTCTCTAGAACGCGTACACCGCTCTCAGCTTCAGAATTCAACAGGTTCCCCGTGGGATTGGGAAAACACACAAAAGCCCCTGTAAGCTCGTCACCAGAGACACCCCAGCGGCGTTCACCTGTGCATTCACTCTGAACTTCTCTCATGTGTGGATATGTGTATATTTAGCCGTTTTTTTTTTTTTTTTTGAGACAGAGTCTCACTGTCACCCAGGCTGGAGTGCAGTGGCTCAATCTCGGCTCACTGCAACCTCTGCGTCCTGGGTTCAAGTGATTCCCCTGCCTCAACCTCCCAAGTAGCTGGGCTTACAGGCAAGCACCAGCACACTCGGCTAATTTTTGTATTTTTAGCAGAGAGGGGGTTTCCCCATGTTGGTCAGGCTGGTCTCAAACTCCTGACCTCAAGTGATCCACGCGCCTCAGCCTCCCAAAGTGCTGGGATTACAGGTGAGAAGCCACCACCCCCGGCCCTAGTTCCCATTTTCTTCACCCCAGAAGGAAACCCCACAGCAATGACTCCCTACTCCCCACTCCTCCCAGCCAACCACTAATCTGTGTTCTGTCTCCATGGGTGAGTCTATCGTGGATATTTCGCATCAATGGGATCATACATGGCCTCTTGTATCTGGCTTCTTTCATTTAGCATGTTTTTGAGGTCCATCCACACTGCAGCACGGATCCATATCATATTCTTTTTTTTTTTTTTTTTGGAGACTGAGTCTCGCTCTGTTGACAGACTAGAGTGCAGTGGTGCGATCTCGGCTCACTGCAACCTCCACCTCCCAGGTTCAAGTGATTCTCCTGCCTCAGCCTCCTGAGTAGCTGGGACTACAGGCATGTGTCCCCATGCCCACCTAAATTTTTTTTGTATTTTTAGTAGAGACGGGGTTTCACCATGTTGGCCAGGATGTTCTCGATCTCCTGACCTCATGATCCACCCACCTCAGCCTCCCAAAGGGCTGGGATGACAGGCGTGAGCCACCGCGCCCAGCCTAGGATAATTTTATGTGTAACTTTTGGATCAACTGCCTTGCTGTTTCCTTAGTGGCTGCAGCATCTGACATTCCCACCCACACTGTACAACACTTCCAACTTCTCCACATCCTCATCAACACTTCTTACTTTCCTTCCTTCCTTCTTTCTCTTTTTGATGCAGGATCTCACAGTCACCCTGTGAGCCACTGCATCCGGCCTCTTTTTTTGTTCCCTTGTTCATGTTGGTTTTCTCTTGTTCAAGATTCCCTAGTAAATGTCTTCATTCTTATCACACCTTCAGTGTCAACTCTACATTTTACAAATTCAAGCAGATTCCACTAATAAAAAAATTTTAAAACGTTAAAAAAAATAAATAAATAAATAATAGGCCAGGCACGGTGGCTCACACCTCTAATCCCAGCATTTTGGGAGGCTGAGGCGGGCAGATCACCTGAAGTCAAGGGTTCAAGACCAGCCTGACCAAGATGGAGAAACCCTGTTCTACTAAAAATACAGTATCAGCCGGGCGTGGTGGTGCACACCTGTAATCCCAGCTACTTGGGAGGCTGATGCAGGAGAATCGCTTGAACCCGGGAGGTGGAGGCAGCTGTGAGCCGAGATCACGCCATTGCACTACAGCCTGGGCAACAGGAGCGAAACTCTTCTCAAAAATAAATAAATAAATAAATAAATAAATAAATAAATAAAACAAAAAATAAAAGTAAAAATAAATAAATAATAAATTCTCTGTTCCTTTAGCTTGTTGCCAATTAGTGGTTTGATAGCAATTTCCTTAAACACCCACAGCCAAAACATGGGGAAAAAAAACAAAACTGGCCAGGCGCAGTGGCTCACACCTGTAATCCCAGTGCTTTGGGAGGCCGAGGCAGGTGGATCACAAGGTCAGGAGATCGAGACCCTCCTGGCTAACACGGTGAAATCCCGTCTCTACTAAAAATACAAAAAATTAGCAGGGCGTGGTGGCTCACACCTGTAGTCCCAGCTACTCGGGAGGCTGAGGTAGAAGAATCGGTTGAACCTGGGAGGCAGAGCTTGCAGTGAGCTGAGATTGCACCACTGCACTCCAGCCTGGGCGACAGAGCGAGACTCCGTCTCAAAAACGAAACAAAACAAACAAAAAAAAAACTCTCTCAGTCTTTGTAGACTGGCCCTGAGTTGGGGCACCCCTCCCACACTTAGCCTTCCTTCTGGCCTGCCCCGAGGTCTTCTCAGGTCTTTTTTGAGCAGGTGTCCTGCTTGAGCATTTGTGTGGCTTTCTAGATTCCTCATTATTCATAGGAACTTCTCAAAATTTTATTCCCCCAAGTAACTCAATTCTTAGCTTTTCCTGTCTTTAGACGGGTTTATTGTTTGCCCCAGATGGCAAACGATTTATTCATTTGTCTTCAATGTTTTCAAGGAACACTGTCCACATTGCCACTTCTCCACTCTGACGGAGTTCCAAATTAGGTATAAAAAAGGAGTTACCCAAATTTTCTGCATCCCATGTGGTCCAGGCTTGGGGGTGGCCTTGGCCACTCTGGAAGGGATTACTCTCCAAGGGAATGACACAAGCACACACACACCGCACTCACACACACCCCACTCACACCCCAACACACATACCCCACTCTCCCCACTCACACACACCCCAACACACACACACCCCACTCACACACACCCCAACACACACACACCGCACTCACACACACCCCAACACACACCCCCCCAACACACACACACACACCGCACTCACACACACCCCAACACACATACCCCACTCACCCCAGTCACACACACCGCACTCACACACACCCCACCACACCCCAACACACAACCCCACTCCCCCACTCACACACACCCCAACACACACACACCCCACCACACCACCCCAACACACACACACCCCGCACTCACACACACCCCAACACACACCCCCCAACACACACACACACCGCACTCACACACACCCCAACACACACCCCCCCAACACACACACACACCGCACTCACACACACCCCAACACACACACACACCGCACTCACACACACCCCAACACACACCCCCCCAACACACACACACACCGCCCTCACACACACCCCCCAACACACACACACACCGCACTCACACACCCCCCAACACACACCCCTCCAACACACACACACACCGCACTCACACACACCCCAACACACACACACACACCGCACTCACATACACCCCAACACACACACACACCGCACTCTCACACACCCCAACACACCCCCCCCCAACACACACACACACACCGCACTCACACACACCCCAACACACACACCCCCCACCACACACACCCCAACACAACAACCCACTCACACACACCCCAACACAACATATCCCACTCACACACACCCCAACACACACACACACCCCACTCACACCCCAACACACATACCCCACTCACCCCACTCACACACACCCCAACACACACCACCCCACTCACACCCCAACACACAACCCCACTCTCCCCACTCACACACACCCCAACACACACACACACCCCACCCACACACCCCAACACATACAATCCCACTCACCCCACTCACACACACCCCAACACACACACACCCCACTCACACACACCCCAACACATACATATCCCACTCACCCCACTCACACACACCCCAACACACACACACCCCACTCACACCCCAACACACATACCCCACTCACCCCACTCACACACACTCCAACACACACACCCCCCACTCACACCCCAACACACATACCCCACTCTCCCCACTCACACACACCCCAACACACACACCCCACTCACACACACCCCAACACACACACACCCCACTCACACACACCCCAACACATACACCCACTCACCCCACTCACACACACCCCAACACACACACACCCCACTCACACCCCAACACATACATATCCCACTCACCCCACTCACACACACCCCAACATGTACACACATGCCACTCACCTCGCTCACACTCCCAACACACACATCCCCAACACACACACCCTCCACTCACACACCCCCAACTCACATACCCTAACACACACACAACCCCAACACACACACCCCACTCACACACCCCAACACACATACCCCAACACACACCCCAACACACACACACCCCACTCACACACACCCCAACACACACACCCCACTCACACACCCCAACACACATACCCCAACACACATACCCCAACACACACACACCGCACTCACACACACCCCAACACACACACCCCACTCACACACCCCACTCACACACCCCCAACACACACACACCCCACTCACACACACCCCAACACGCACACATACCACTCACCTCGCTCACACACTCCCAACACACACATCCCCAACACACACACACCCCACACACCCCAACACACATATCCCAACATACACACACCCCACAACACACACACAGCCCACTCACACACCCCAACACACAATCCCACTCACCTCACTCACACACTCCCAACACACACACACACCCCACCCACACACCCAACTCACATACCCCAGCACACACACATCCAACACACACACATATCCCACTCACCCCACTCATACACACCCCAGCATGAACACACATCCCACTTACCCCACTCACACACCCCCAACTCACATACCCTAACACACACACAACCCCAACACACACACCCCACTCACACACCCCAACACACATACCCCAACACACACACACCACACTCACACACACCCCACTCACACACCCCAACACACATACCCCAACACACATACCCCAACACACACACACCGCACTCACACACACCCCAACACACACACCCCACTCACACACCCCACTCACACACCCCCAACACACACACACCCCACTCACACACACCCCAACACGCACACATACCACTCACCTCGCTCACACACTCCCAACACACACATCCCCAACACACACACACCCCACACACCCCAACACACATATCCCAACATACACACACCCCACAACACACACACAGCCCACTCACACACCCCAACACACAATCCCACTCACCTCACTCACACACTCCCAACACACACACACACCCCACCCACACACCCAACTCACATACCCCAGCACACACATCCAACACACACACATATCCCACTCACCCCACTCATACACACCCCAGCATGAACACACATCCCACTTACCCCACTCACACACCCCCAACTCACATACCCAAACACACACACACCACAACACACACACCCCCCTCACACACACAAACATACACACCCCACTCACACCACTCACACACCCCAACACACACACACCACTCACACACCCCCAACACATACACACCCCCAATACACATACCACTTACACACCCCCAACACACACACCCCACTCACACACACACCAACATACACACACCCCACTCACACCACTCACACATCCCAACACACACACACCCCACTCACATCACTCACCCCCAACACACACACACCACTCACACACCCCCAACACATACACACCCCCAATACACATACCACTTACACACCCCCAACACACGTGTGAGCAATAAAGCTTTTTAATCACCTGGGTGCAGGTGGGCTGAGTCCGAAAACAGAGTCAGCGAAGGGAGATAGGCATCGGGCTGTTTTATAAGATTTGGGTGGGTGGTGGAAAATTACATTCAAAGGGGGTTGTTGTTCTCTGATGGGCAGGGTTGGGGGTCACAAGGTGCTCAGTGAGGGAGCTTTTGAGCCAGGAGAAGGAATTTCACAAGGTAATGTCATCACTTAAGGCAGGGACTGGCCATTTTCACTTCTTTTGTGATTCTTCACTTGCTTCAGGCCATCTGGATGTGTACGTGCAGGTCACGGGGATAGGATGGCTTAGCTTGGGCTCAGAGGCCTGACAACACACACACCCCACTCACACACCCCTAACACACACATACCCCATTCACCCCACTCACACACCCCCAACACACACACACCCCACTCACCCCACTCACACACCCCCAACACACACACACCCCACTCACCCCACTCACACACCCCCAACACACACACACCCCACTCACCCCACTCACACACCCCCAACACACACACCCCACTCACCCCACTCACACACCCCCAACACACACACACCTCACCCCACTCACACACCCCCAACACACACACACCCCACTCACCCCACTCACACACCCCCAACACACACACACCCCACTCACACTACTCACACACCCCCAACACACACACACCCCACTCACCCCACTCACACACCCCCAACCACACACACATTCCCCACTCACCCCCACTCACACCACCCCCAACACACACACACCCCACTCACCCCACTCACACACCCCCAACACACACACACCCCACTCACACTACTCACACACCCCCAACACACACACACCCCACTCACCCCACTCACACACCCCCAACACACACACATTCCACTCACCCCACTCACACACCCCCAACACACACACACCCCACTCACCCCACTCACACACCCCCAACATACACATACCCCACTCACACTACTCACACACCCCCAACACACACACACCCCACTCACCCCACTCACACACCAATACACACACATTCCACTCACACTGCTCACACACCCCCAACACACACACACCTAACACACACACCCCTCACACACCCTCAACACACACCTCTCACGAACCCCAACACACACATTCCACTCACACCGCTCACACACCCCCAACACACACCCCCAACACACACACACACACCTCTCACACACCCCCAACACACACGTCCCATTCACCCCACTCACACCCCCCCAACACACACCCCACAGACCACAGCACTGCAGCTGCATCACTCCCCACCACAGCCCAATCATGGAGTGCCACCTACAAGGAACAACAGACAGAAAGCCAACCCCAGCGCCGACACAGAAAAACAGCTTAGCTTCCCCTTCTCAGTGCCCAGCAAGAAACCTGGGAGCTGACACTGCCCTCTGGGTCTTCCCAGGCTGTGCTAGAGCCCAGGAGAATGGTTCTCTTCCAGCCATTCTCCTTGAACATATCCAGGACGCTCCCCTCGAAAGCCTCCCCTAGCAGCTCCAACTGGGGATCTCACCAAGGACGCATTCTCTTGGTGTCTAACACACCTAAGGGGCTGTTGGAGGCCATAGGGAGCCGAAAGATGGCTCAGCCCCACCCTTCCAAGAAGGGCAACCTGCCAGCCAGCACATTTCCAGAGCACCCGTCCCACACCCAAAGCTTCAAAGTCCCTCTGGGCATGCATCCTCAATGCAGAGGCCTACAGAAGCACAAGACACACACCCAGCAATGCTCAGGTCCCTGCCCTGAAGCTGCAAGGCACCTCTGAGCTTGCACCCTCAATGCAAAGAGACCCACAGAAGCTTGGGACACAGATACACACAGCAGAAGCTCAGGCCCCACCCCCCAGTCACAGCTTCTGGGAGACACATGTGTATTGGGTCTGGTAGAAAGAGAAAGAAGGTGCAGGCCGGGGGCAGTGGCTCATGCCTGTAATCCCAGCACTTTGGGAGGCCGAGGTGGGTGGATCACCTGAGGTCAGGAGTTTCAGACCAGCCTGACCAATATGGTGAAACCCCCGTGTCTACTAAGTACAAAAAATTAGCCGGGCGAGGTGGTGCGCGCCTGTAGTCCCAGCTACTTGGGAGGCTGAGGCAGAAGAATCGCTTGAACCCGGGAGGTGGAGGCTGCAGTGAGCTGAGATTGCACCACTGAACTCCAGCCTGGGCGACAAGAGTGAAACTCTGTCTCAAAAAAAAAGAAAAAAGAAAAGAAAAGAAAAAGAAGGTGGAGGCCCCAAGGGGTCTGGAACCCAGAGACTCCAGCCAGAGACAAATCAGGTGCAGAAGGGGCGGCTCTGCTGCTGCCCTGTGGGCAGGTTCAGTGGGCTGGGCTGTGGTGGCATTTTCGGGGGCCAGCTGGGCAGCTGTGCAGTGAGATGATCCTGGGCAGAGTGAGCCGCGGGGAGCCAGGGGCGGGGCACTCACTTCTTGGATGGTCCAGGAGCCGTCGGAACCGGGCTCATCAGGGTTTTCTTGCCAACTGTCTGAGCCCGGGGACAAGCACGGGCCCCCTTCCTCCTCCAGCTCCTGCCCACACTCCATTTCGCCCTCCGGGGCTGACGCCATTGTGGAGTTATTGTTCTCAGAATCTGTAACGGCAGACGAAGGAAGGGTCAAACCTCAGAGAGAAGCAAGTGAATGTTAGGAAGGAAAAACTGGCATCCTTCCCGCTAGTGCAGAGAGATTCACCCCGCTCTCCCTCCGAGGTCCCGCACTGGCCTGCTGACGTGAGCAGGGTAGGGGTTCTGCTCCAGGTGGGGAGGAGGGAACCAGGGACCCCAGTCTCAGCACAAGGGGTGAATCAGACAGAAAGACCGCAGTGTCCTAGCATCCAACCCCTCCCTCCCAATGTCCAGAGCAGTGGATTGACCTGACTCTGTACTAGGATGTCAGCACACCTCGGGCACCTCTGAAACAGAGCCTGTTACGCTTTCCTCCCCTACTGTAGACATTCCTCCTGTCTTCCCCAGGGTGGGCACTCTCCCAGCGGTGGCCCAGGGGTCTCCCACTGCTTCCCTTGTCCTGGCACTAAGGCGTCTGCCTGCCCAGCTGCTCTGCCTCCAGATTCTCACCCATGCAGAGCTGCCACGCAGACAGCGTGGAGCACCCACTCCGCCGGCCCTGCACTCACTCTAGCCTTCGCTGTGGTGTAGACGTGCCTTGTCCGTCCCCACCAAAACTCATCTGATCCCCAGTGTGCCAGTGCTGGGAGGCAGGGCCGGGGGAGGTCTGCGGGTCATGAGGACGAATCCCTCATGAATGGCTTGATGCCGTTTGCAGTCATGGGTTCTCACTCTCTCGAGAGACTGGTTTACTCCCCTCGGGAATGGATTAGCACCCGCCAGAGTGGGTTGTTACGAAGCCAAGATGCCCCATCAGGCTTCATCGGCATCCCCGTCGGCCTACTCTGCCATGTTGTGACACGGCACAAAAGCCCTCACCAGAAGCCAGGGCCAGGCCCTGAACTTCTCAGTCTGCAGAACTGTGAGCTAAATAAACCTCTTTTTCCTTTTTCTTTTTTAATTTAATTTAATTTTATTTTTTTGAGACAGAGTCTTGCTCTGTCACCCAGGCTGGAGTGCAGTGGTACAATCTCAGCTCACTGCAACCTCTGCCTCCTGGGTTCAAGTGATTCTCCTGCCTCAGCCTCCCGAGTAGCTGGGACTACAGGTACACACCACCACACCTAGCTAAGTTTTGTATTTTTAGTAGACATGAGTTTTCACCATATTGGCCAGGATGGTCTCTCTCTCTTTTTTTTTTTTTTTTTTTTTTTTGAGATGGAGTCTCACTCTTGTCACCCAGGCTGGAGTGCAGTGGTGTGATCTCGGCTCACCGCAACTTCTGTCTCCTGGGTTCAAGCAATTCTTGTGCCTCAGCCTCCCAAGAAGCTGGGATTACGGGCATGAGACACCACACCCAGATAATTTTTGCATTTTTAGTAGAGACAGGGTTTCACCACGTTGGCCAGGCTGGTCTCGAACTCCTAACCTCAGGTGATCCACCCACCTCAGCCTCCCAAAGTGCTGGAGGCACTTTTAACTTCTTTCAAAAACTTTTTCTTTGCATTTACAACTTGGCTAACCATTTGGTGCAAGAGGCCTAGCTATCAGCCTATCTCAGCTTTCAACATGCCTTCCTCAAGAAGTTTAATCATGTCTAACTCTTGATTTAAAGTGAGAGGCATGAGGCCAGGTGTGGTGTGGGTGGCTCACACCTGTAATCCCAGCACTTTGAGAGGCCAAGGTGGGCGGATCACTTGAGGTCAGGAGTTTGAGACCAACCTGGCCAACATGGTGAAACGCCGTCTCTACTAAAAATATAAAAAATAGCTGAAGGTGGTGCTTCACGCCTGTAATCCCAGCTACTTGGGAGGCTGAGGCAGGAACATCGCTTGAACCTGGGAGATGGAGGTTGCAGTGAGCTGAAATGGCACCACTGCCTCCAGCCTGGGTGACAGAGCAAGACTCTGTCTCAAAACAATGGAATAGAATTTTAAAAAATAAAGTGAGAGGCGTGAGACTCTTCTTTTCACTTGTGCACTTAGAGGCCACTGTAAGGCTGTTTCTTTTCTTTTCTTTTCTTTTGAGACAGGATCTCACTCTGTCACCCAGGCTGGAATGTAGTGGGACAATCGTGGCTTACTGCAGCCTCGACTTCCCAGGCTCAAGTGATCCTCCTGCTCCGGCTAATTCTTGTTTTTTGGTTTTTTTTTTGAGATGGGGCTTCACCATGTTGCCTAGGCTGGTCTCAAACTCCTGGTCTCAAGCAATCTACTCACCTCGGCCTCCCAAAGTGCTGGGATTACAGGTGTGAGCCACGATGCCTAGCAAGGTGGGCCACCTTTTGATCTACCTTTTGATCCATGTTTCAGCAACCAAACAAAGACTCAGAGCCCTTCCTAACTCTACCAGCTGCAACATGAAATGCACAATCTCTGCTAGTGGCCCCACACTAACAAACTCAACCTGATCCAACTTTATATCATTTGGAACTCAATGTCTCCAGCCTGGCCAGGGGCTTCCCATGTCCCCATCCCAACTTCAAGGATCCCATCCTTTGCCACCCAATGTCCTCACTTTTTTTTTTCTTTTTATACAGAGATAGAGTCTTTCTACATTGCCCAGGCTGGTCTCAAACTCCTAGGCTCAAGTGATCCTTCCACCTCGGCCTGTAAAAATGCTGCGGTTATAGTTGTGAACTACGGCATCTGGCTTAAGTGCCCCCGCTTTAACAGTAGACACCCTGCATGGCTGAGAGCTCAGCTTTCGTTGTAACTCAGCTAATCGCATGAGAGCTGGTGCTCGATTTTCTACAATTTCAACCCTACAGGAGAGAAGATTCTGACCCAGGGCACGCTAACAAACTCTCAGATCATTTATGCAGAGCTGCAGCCCAGACATCGAATCCCTGAGTTCATCCTTTTCACCACTTTCTCAGCGATGCTGGGGGCAACCAGCCGGCATCATTGCATTTCTTGGTTTTCGATAAATGTTCAAAAGCATCATGTAGAGAGCCACCAAATTCCTGGCCTCTTACGAGTGGTGAGTTAGGAGTCTCAAGTGCATTTGCTTTGCATGCCTCTAGAAACAGTCATGCTGCGTACTACCAGTTCTCGCAGCACTATTATTAATAGAAGTAGAGCCCTTAGGCCGCGCGGTGGCTCACACCTGTAATCCCAGCACTTTGCAAGGCCAAGGCAGGTGGATCACGTGAGGTCAAGAGTTCAAGACCAGCCTGGCCAACATGGTGAAACCCTGTCTCTACTAAAAATACAAAAATTAGCCAGGCGTGGTGGTGGGCGCCTGTAGTTCCAGCTACTTGGGAGGCTGAGGCAGAAAAATCACTAGAACCTGGGAGGCAGAGGTTGCAGTGAGCCAAGATCATGCCACTGCACTCCAGCCAGAGCAACAAGAGCAAAAAAACTCCCTCTAAAAACAAAAAAGAACGCGGAAGGACTGGGGTTCACACCCTGACCCCTAAACTTGAAGGACAACATCGGAGAGACCCCGTGGCAAACAGCTGGGCAAAGACTGAAAGAGGGGAAGGGTGGTGCAAAGGTCTTGTGGTAGAAGCACACCTAGTGTATCCAGGAAGGGCCAGGAGGTGGTAGGCTCTGGGGGCAGGAGAGGGAGCCAAGAGGAATGGGGTGGGCAGCCGTCTATGTAGGACCTTATGGCCACCATCAGGGCTCCTGCTGCTCCTGAGTTACAGTGGTGGTGGAGGCGGATCTTGGAAGGGGTCTGTGGTTTGACTATCTGCTGTGCTGAGCGTAAGCAGGAAGGCAGTGTGGAGGCGGGGAGACCAGCAGGGCCCTCTGCATGTGGGGCATGGAGGAAGGAGAGGGCCCAAGGGTGGTGGGTCCCACAGGTGGAATATGGAGGTGCCCTCATCATTGGAGGTAGGGCTGGGCTTTGGACACAGACAGGCTGAATGTCTGGGGCTGCCAGTTATAGGGTTGGTATTTAAAGCCTTAGAGGAGGGGAACCAGTCTGAGGTCCCAGAAGCCAACAAAATTGAGGATGGACTCAAGACGGTCAGCAGGCAAGGCCCGCCTGACACTGCCCTGCTCCTGCCTCTCCACTGGCCTCCCGAGTCAGGGAGGTGCCTGGGCAGGTCCTGGGGCCCCCTCACGGCCCTTCAAAAATGAACCCAGGCAGAGCTCTCAACCCCTGCAAAGCCTCGAACTCTGCTTCCCTGCAGCATCCTCTGAAACCCTCTACCAAGCCTTCAGCTCAGCCCGACACTTCTCATTCCCCGGGGGAGGAAGAACCGGGAGCTCTCCAGGAAATGAAACTGAAACTTTTCAAAAGCACCAGGAACCCCTAGCAAAGACACCGACAAAACTTCTTGAGAGTTCTGTAGCCACAGAGGATCTCGGCCCCACCTGGGCTGCCTGCTGCCCAGGGTTTTCATTTCCTGGAAGGGAGGCGAGACATCTCCGGGGGTCCCCACTGCCCCAGCCTCCGCCAGCACCCCGGGACCTCACCTGCTATGGGGGCTGCAGGAGGCAGCCTCTCTCCGCACTGGCTGCAGAACCTGGGGGCTTCCTCCTTGGAGACATGATGGCACGAGGGACACTCCATGCGTCCTGCTGGGACGACTCAACACCCGCGCTGGTGCCCTGCAGATCCAGAAGCAAGAGCAGGAGTCGCTGGCAGCCCGCTATATACCAGCCTCCTGTCACGTGACCACAGCTTCGGTTTCATTTTCCGGGAAAGTGAAATCACAGCAGCCCAGCTGGTCCCCTGGTTAATCGAAACCCAACAGCAGCAGAGGCCAAGCCCAGCCCCTCCCCGCTCTCTGCTGCCCTCTTGGCTCTCAAGCTTTTGCAGTTTCTGCCCCGGTCCCTCACTCAGTCAGCCCAGAACCATTCCTGCTGCTGAGGACATGGGTTGGGCCGGGTGGGGTCAGGGGATGCTCCAGACAGGCTGGGCAGCCACGTGCTGTTCAGCAGGGTACCACGGCCTGCCCTGAGCAAGGTGCTCAGCCTCCTGATGCTTCACCCTCCTCATCCTCCAAAGAAGACTAGAGCACCTGCCCCACAAGTGATGGGGCCTGAGCAGGAAGCCCAGAGCTACTGGGCTGGCAGTCAGATTCCTAGGAATGGGGGGAGGCTGCCATCCACAAAGCTCCCCACTCTGCACTGACCACCTGCCCTTAGAACAGCCTCTGTGGTGGGTGGCATCAAACCAAGGTGATGGTCACAGCGAGTCCAGACCAAGACTCAGGCCAGCATCCCCGGCCTCCAGGGTCACTTCTTGCATCCAGGGTGAGAGTGGAGATGGCATTTGGGCTCTTGGCCACCTAATAGTGCAGGACCTGACTCTCTCCCTCCCCAGTAAGAGGCCCCAGGGCACACTGGCCCACCCACCCCCTTCTTCTGATGGCTTCGAACCAAAGAACTCCACTGGGGCAGTGGCCGGAGCGGCAGCTGAGTGGTGCCTTCAGCAGCAGGAGGACACTCAGGCCCCCTCCCTGCCCTGGCCCTGCCCTCTCCTCCCACTGAGTCTCCATCACAGGGTGGGCTGATTCAGGCCGGGCCTGAACGCGGGACAGAAGCACTGGGTGTTGGTTCCCTGGCTTCACCTGTGTGGGAGACTAATCTATGCCACTCCAAAACAGACTCTGTGGTCAATTTTGAGATGGCTATTCAGAGAAACCGCAGAGTCAGGAGCAGTTCTGGGAAGCTGGCCTTTTGTAAAAGGCTATAAAGGAAATCCACATCACGAAACAGCACACTGGAGCAGAAGCTCTCTCTGAGGCCCCATTATCTGCCTAGAGGGATCTCGGAGCGGTCCCAGGGACACACTGGAGGAGTGCCTGCGGCCTCACCAGTTCCTCTGAGAGCAGCTCCCAGATCACTTGAGTGATTATCTGCACACGACAGCCCTGTACACCTCCCCTCTCCAGCCCCAAGCTCCCGCCCCAATGCCATAAATAAAACATCAATCATCTGTCGTCTGCAGTCTTCTCTTTGATGAGGTTCCCAATAAGTGTACGGGACAATTTGCATCTCTTCTTCAGGTCTGCTGCCCTTTTATTCCAGAGACTAAAATTCTCTCTCCTTCAGAGTAGAAGGAAAGTTTAAAACTCCCCTTCCCCTGCCACATACAAGCCCTGGCCCCCACCGAACCTCCTCCCCTCCACACTCCACCTGAAGCAACCACCACTGGGCACTCCCTCCCTCAAACACCTTCGATGACTCCCCACCGCCCAGGCCTCTTTCTTTCCACCCGAAGTGTTTCCTTCTCCAATGCTACACTGGGGAACCATAGACCAGAAAACTCGAAAAATCCTCCATAAAGCATCTTCTTCTTCTTTTTTTTTTTATTTTTACAGTTTCACTGGTCACCCAGGCTGGAGTGCAGTGGGCAATCTCAAATCACTGCAACCTCTGCCTCTGGGTTCTAGCGATTCTCCTGCCTCAGTCTCCCAAGTAGGTGGAATTACAGCCATGCGCCACCACACCTGGCTAATTTTTTGTGTTTTTAGTAGAGAAGGGGTTTCAGGTTGGCCAGGCTGGTCTGGAACTCCTGACCTCAGGTGATCCGCCCGCCTTGGCTTCCCAAAGTTTTGGTATTACAAGCATGAGCCACCGCGCCGGCCCCCTAAAGCATCTAATTGTTCCGTCTGCCCTAGGGGCCGAAAGACACAAGAGAGCGCCCCAGGCACCCAACACTGCTGCATTCAATACGCTTCCTGTCTTTTCTCTGCCATTTTTCCCCAAGCACAGACACTGCCTCCCAAATCAAAGCCCATCCCCCCAACCACAACCAAAGTCAACAAGGTGGGGGCAGGGAGAGGTCACCACCATGTTTGCACAGCTCCTTCCCCTCCCGGCCTAGACTCCCCCAGGACCCGGCCCACCGGCTTGCAGGCAGCCATCCGGGAGGGCTGCCCACTCCGGCCTTGAACCCCACGCTCGGGCGACTTCGCCAAGTCGGGAGGACGCTGCGCGGTGCGGTCCGGAAGGGGCGATGCCTCCCTCGTAAAAGTTAGGAATCTGTTTTTGCAACTTCACTTTTCCGTTGTTGCAATTCGTGCAGGCGCAGGATTCCCGGGCGGAGCTGCAGGCCCCGGTCCGGCTGTCCCCGTCCACTACCCGCCCGTGCCCCGGCCACTTCCTGGGGGCAGCACCGCCGGGGCGCAAAAGCTCCTCCGCGCCCCGGGATGGGCGGGTCGGAAGCGCTCTGCGCTCCGGGGATGTCGCCGGGGTCCCATGGGTGCCTGCTGCCCCCACCCCGGCCCCTCCCGCAGCCGGGAAACAGGGTCGGTGGGCGCCGCGGGTGGGGCTGGACCGGGCACCCCGGCGGCGAAACCGAAACTTGGAGCCGGCAGGAAGAGGCGGCCGGGAGGGGCATCCGGACGCAGGCGCCGCTCCCCGGGACCGGGTCAACCCGCCCACCCGCGGGGCCCACTGCACCCTAGCCCGCTCCCCGCCCCGGGAGACTCTCCGCGTCCGCTCGCACCTGCGGCCCCCGAGCTCGCCGCCTGCCGCGCGCTGTCGCCCCTCGGGTCACGGGGCCCTGGGCCCGCCCTGCCCGCCGCCGCTGGACCCGCGCAGGCGTGTGCGGAATTCCCCGCCGGTGGCGCCTCCCAGTGACTCCGCGCCCCCAGCCCCCGGGAGGCGCCTCGGGCCGCTGCGCGCCGGGGACAGGCGCGGGAGGGGCCTAGGTTCCCGTCAGGCGTGGGGCGCATGCGGGTCTCCCGGAAGCCCAGACCCCGGGCGGGCCTGAGCAGTGGAGTGGGGCCGGACAGGTGCGCCCCCTGCCCCGGCGCCCAGCACCTCGGACAGTGTCCGCGGCCCGGCAGAGCGGGCGGTCGGCCTGGAAGCCGCCCAGAGGGCGCCTGGCGGGTGCAGTGGAGGTCGTCAGCGCGCTGCGTGGGGGCCTTTGCGTTATTAAGGGACCTCCGCGGCCCCGCGCAGAGCGCGCTCTGTCACTGATGACGGAGGGGCCACACCGGCCGGCGCCATCCCCCGTGCCTCAGTTTCCTCATTTGTGAGGCTCACGGTGTAACCAGGGACCTCCGTTTTAAAATCGCCCACTTTCTTTTTCTTCCTTCCCCTCTCACCCCTTCATCCCGTCCCTCTCTGGACACTGCGCCTCTCTGCGCATTCCAGAGGGGATCCTCATCCTGAAACAATTTCCGGCGCGGAGCCCCAGCTGAATCCTCCTGCTTAGGGGGGCCGCCAACAATTAGTCCAACATCCTCGCCAGCCACCCCTCCTAACCGACAACTGCCCACGACAGCCATGGGAACAAGACACACAGACCCTGCCCCTACCCCACTCCCCACGGCGCCCATGGCAAGTTTCCCTAGAAGAACCCGATGGCAGCCTGGGCAACATAGAGAGACTCCATCTCTACAAAAAATCATTTTAAAAAATTAGCTGGCCGTGGTGGTGCACCTGTAGAGGCTGAGGCAAGAGGATCGTTTGAGCTCCAGGCTGCAGTGAGCCGTGATCATACCACTGCACTCCAGCCTGGACGACAAAGTGAGATCTTGCCTCAAAAATGAACAAACACAAAAACCTGAGGGTAAATTTTTAATTTTAAGATCTTTGTGTTTTGGAGATAGAGTCTCACTCTATACTCCAGGCTGGAGTGCAGTGTGCGATCTTGGCTCACTGCAACCTCCACCTCCCAGTTCAAGCGATTCTCATGCCTCAGCCTCCAGTAGCTGGGATTACAAGCACCCGCCACCACGCCTGGCTCATTTTTGTAATTTTAGTAGAGAGACGGGGTTTCTCCATGTTGGCCAGGCTGGTCTCAGACTCCTGACCTCAGGTGATCCACCTGCCTTGGCCTCCCAAAGTGCTGGAATTACAGGCATGAGCCACCGCACCCAGCCAAGGTGACACTTTAGAATGCTAGTTGGGCATCTTCTCACTTTACTGGGTCTCCGATTAAAACCTGCTTTTTCCTCCCACCAATCCTGACTGCACCACTGCACTCCAGCCTGAGCGAAAGAATGAGACTTTGTCTCTAAACAGTTAATTTCAACTGTTTCTTTTGACTTTTTCAATATGACTAGTCAAAATGTTTAAATGACTTGCATGGCTCACATTGGTGGCTTGCATGATTTTTCTGTGGGACAGTGCTGTCTCCGTGATCGCAGTCTGCCTCTACCAGCTGCTGCAGCAAGTACACGTAAGCCCTTGGAGCTTTGCCTCTTGCCCATGTAACCGTGCTGGGCTGGAATGCTGCTCAGCAGAGTGCCCTCCTCCGCTCTGCCATTTTCACCCCATGGCTTTGGAGGGCACCCAAAAAATCATCTCCATCCTAGGCAGCAGAAGGCGGGAAGGAGGCTGGAGGGGGAGGTTGTTATTGGCTGGGTTTAGAAATGGCACACACGCTTCTCACACTTCATGTGCTGTGTATGCTTGCCAGGCTGTTGAGACATAGGACCCCAGACCAGAGGGGTTAAACATGTGGATGAAAAGAGTCAAACTCTGTAAAATATTTGAAGAGATTTATTCTGAGCCAAGTATGAGTAGCCATGGTTTCACTCACGTCCGTGTGAAGAGACCATCAAACAGACTTTGTGTGAGCAATAAAGCTTTTTTTTTTTTTTTTTTTTTTTTTTGAGGCAGAGTTTCACTCTTGTTGCCGAGGCTGGAGTGCAATGGCACGATCTCAGCTCACCACAACCTCCGCCTCCTAGGCTCAAGCAATTCTCCTGCCTCAGCCTCCCTAGTAGCTGGGATTATAGGCAAGCGCCACCACGCCCAGCTAATTTTGTATTTTTAGTAGAGACGGGGTTTCTCCATGTTGGTCAGGCTGGTCTCGAACTCCCGACCTCAGGTGATCCACCCGCCTCGGCCTCCCAAAGTGCTGGGATTACAGGTGTGAGCCACTGCGCCCGGCCTGCAATAAAGCTTTTTAATCACCTGGGTGCAGCCGGGAGGAGTCCGAAAAGACAGTCAGTGAAGGGAGATGGGGTGGGGCCGTTTTATAGGATATGGGTAGGTGGCTGAAAATTACGGTCAAAGGAGGTGTTCTCTGACGGGCAGGGGTGGGGTCACAAGGTGCTCAGTGAGCCAGGATGAGCCAGGAGAAGGAATTTCACAGGGTAATGTCATCAGTTAAGGCAGGAACAGGCCATTTTCACTTCTTTGGTGATTCTTCAGTTACTTCAGGCCATCTGGATGTATACGTGAAGGTCACAGGGGATAAGATGGCTTAGCTTGGGCTCGGAGGCCTGACCCATAGCCTGTGGCACAGCCCTCAGGCAGTCCTGACAACATGTGCCCAAGGTGGTTAGGTACAGCTTGGTTTGTACATTTTAGGGAAGCATGAGACATCAATCAAATGCATTTGAGAAATACACTGATTTGGTCCAGAAAGGCAGGAAAATTTGAAGCGGTGGGGGCAGGAGACTTCCGGGCTGTAGGTAAATTTAAACATTTTCTAGTTTACAATTGGTTGAGTTTGTCTAAAGACCCGGGATTAATAGCAAGGAAATGTTCAGGTTAAGATAAAACACTGTGGAGACCAAAGTTTTTTTGAAGTCTCATAGTGCCTGCCTTTACAGACAAATAGATGACAAATGTAATGTTTCCTATTCAAACCTTTAAAAGGTGCGAGAGTCTCAGTTAATCTCTGCAGGATTCGGAGGGCCTGGATGAAAAAGATCTAGCTTTATTCACAGAGATTCTTTACAGATGCAAATTTTCCCCCACAAAGGACAGCTTTGCAGGGCCATTTCAAAATATGGTAAAGAAACATGTTTCCAGGTAAAACATTTTGATTTTCTTCTTTGTCACGTAATGTTATGCCAGAGTCAGATTGGAAAGTAAGTACCGAGGCTGCCTCCTTTGGAGAGGCTAGTCAGAAACTCGAAAGAATGCTCCCGTTTGTCTCTCACTTATCTACGACCTGGAAGACTTTCCAAAGTTGTTCGGCCTTTCCAGTGTGCATCTTACATAGATTGAGGTCTCATGTCTCCCTAAAATGTATAAAACCAAGCTGGGCCCTGACCACCTTGGACACATGTCGTCAGGACCTCCTGGGGCTGTGTCACAGGCAGGTGTCCTCAACCTTGGCCAAATAAACTTTCTAAATTAACTGAGACTTGTCTCAGGTATTTGGGGTTCACACGAAATATAGGATTAAATGAAATCCATCTGAGAATGTTTGTTTTGTAAGGCATGATTCCCTGATGCCTTAGATAGGAATTTGGGCAAGATAAAAAAAATCAGAAATTAGTCTTCAAACAGCAGAAATGCACCATCTCACAGCTCTGGCGGCCAGAAGCCCAAGATCAGGGTGTTGGCAGCACTGGGTCCTGCTGAGGCTATAAGGGAGTATCCGTTTCAGGCCTCACTCCTGGCTCCTGGTGATCACTGGTGCGGGCTGAATTAAAAGTCCTGAACCTCTTTGACAGAGACTAACAGACCCTCTTCTGGCTATAAAACAACAACAATTTTTTTTTTTTTTTTTTTTTTTTTTGAGATGGAGTCTCACTCTGTCGCCCAGGTTGGAGTGCAGAGGCGTGATATCAGCTCACTGCAAGCTCCACCTTCAGGGTTCACGCCATTATCCTACCTCAGCCTCCCGAGTAGCTGGGACTACAGGCACCCGCCACCACGCCCGGCTAATTTTTTTGTATTTTTTACTAGAGACAGGGTTTCACCGTGTTAGCCAGGATGGTCTCAATCTCCTGACCTCGTGATCCGCCCGCCTCGGCCTCCCAAAGTGCTGGGATTACAGGCATGAGCCACCGCGCCCAGCCAACAACAAAATTTTTAAGTCCCAGCCACAGCAGGACAGAGGCTGGCCCTGTCCCACCTGCTTCCCAGCCCCAGCCCTCTTATTAATCATCACCAGTGTCAGGCCTCTGAGCCCAAGCCTACACGTATTCATCCAGATGGCCTGAAGCAAATGAAGAATCACAAAAGAAGTGAAAATGGCCAGTTCCTGCCTTAACTGATGACATTACCTTGTGAAATTCCTTCTCCTGGCTCATCCTGGCTCAAAAGCTCCCCCACTGAGTACCTTGTGACCCCCAACCCTGCCAGCCAGAGAGCAACCCCTTTTGACTATAATTTTCCACTACCTATCCAAATCCTATAAAACAGCCCCACCCCTGTCTCCCTTCGCTGACTCTCTTTTTGGACTCAGCCCGCCTGCACCCAGGTAAAATAAATAGCCTTGTTGCTCACACAAAGCCTGTTTGGTAGTCTCTTCACACGGACACGCAGGAAAACTAGGTCCTATGAAAGACTGAGGATGCCTCCACTAACGGTACCCACCCGGCACCTGGTCTCGTTTCTGTGGTTCTGACTGGCCTCCTGAGGATGTGCACGTCGGGGACTTGTACCCTACATGTCACTTTTTTATGTATAGGGCCTGATTATAATGCATTTAAATGTGAAGTCTTTTTCCCAAAGTGAACATGGGTCATATGTTGCTGTATTTTCCACACATGTAAGCCTAATGCCCATGCATATGCGACTCCTTCATGACTACTCATAGCCCCTCCTGTAACCTACTGAGCACCTATACTTGGCCAACCCTTTCAGAGTAAATTCCTGTCTTACTCGTCCCTTCCTCAAAGTGCCAGCCATGCTTCCCAGGCTACAAGAAGAGCCTCCGGCCGGGCACGGTGGCTCACGCCTGTAATCCCAGCACTTTGAGAGGCCGAGGGGGGCGGATCACGAGGTCAGGAGATCCAGACCATCCTGGCTAATATGGTGAAACCCCGTCTTTACTAAAAAAAAAAAAAAAATACAAAAAATTAGCCAGGCATGGTGGCGGGCACCTGTAGTCCCAGCTACTGGGGAGGCTGAGGCAGAAGAATGGCGTGAACCCAGAAGGTGGAGCTTGCAGTGAGCCGAGATTGTGCCACTACACTCCAGCCTGGGCAACAGAGCAAGACTCCATCTCAAAAAAAAAAAGAGCCTCTGGCCGGGCTCAGTGGCTCACGCCTGTAATCCCAGCACTTTGGGAGGCCAAAGCGGACGGATCACAAGCGGATCACAAGGTCAGGAGTTCAAGACCAGCCTGGCCAACATGGTGAAACCCCGTCTCTACTAAAAATACAAAAAAAATTAGCTGGGCATGGCGGTGTGTGCCTGTAATCCGAGCTACTCGGGAGGCTGAGGCAGAATTGCTTGAACCAGGACCCAGGAGGTAGAGCTTGCAGTGAAGCGAGATCATGCCACTGCATTCCAGTCTGGGCTACAGAGGGAGACTCCGTCTCAAAAAAATAAATAAATAAACCTCCTTGCAGGCTGCAACCCTTTATGAGAAACAAGTTCTCCTTTATCAATGTTTGCACCTCGACGTTCTTCAGCTGACAGTTGCTAGAGTTCCTTGGCTTGACCCTGTGTCATGAGATCTCTGCCTTCACGTTCACAGCACATGCTCCACGTATATCGATGAACAAATTTCCCTTTATAAAAACACCACTTCCAGCCTGGGCAACATGGCAAAACCCTGTCTCTATACAAAATTTAAAAATTTGGCTGGGCGCAGTGGCTCATCCCCGTAATCTCAACACTTTGGGAGGCTGAGGCGGGCAGATCACTTGCGATCAGGAGTTCGAGACCAGCCTGGTCAACATGGTGAAACCGCATGTCTACTAAAAATACAAAAATTAGCTGGGCATGATGGTGCACGCCTGCAATCCCAGCTACTCTGGAGGCTGAGGCAGGAGAATTGCTTGAGCCCGGGAGGCAGAGGTTGCAGTGAGCCAAGATCACACTACTACACTCCTGCCTGGGGCACAGAGTGACATTCTGTCTCAAAAATACATACATACATAAAGAATAAAAATAAAAATTTGCCCTGCATGGTGGCTCATGCCTGTGGTCCCAGCTACTTGAGAGGCTGAGGCAGGAGGATCACTTGAGCCAGAGAGCCGACTGCAGTGGTCAAGCCACTGCAATCCAGCCTGGACAAGAGTGAGACCCTGTCTCAAAACCAAAAACAAGAAGTCACCGCTTATATGGGATTAGGCCCACCCTACTCCAGTATGGCCTCATTTTAACTTGAACTAATTACATCTGCAACAACTCTATTTTCTTTTTTCTCTTTCTTTTTGAGATGGGGTCTTACTCTATTGCCCAGGCTGGAGTGCAGTGACACACTCATGGCTCACTGCAGCCTCGACCCCCCCAGGCTCAAGTGATTCTCCTGCCTCAGCGTCCAGAGTACCTGGGACTACAGGCCTCCCAAGTGCAGAGAACTCTTTTTTAAACTTGTACACAACATACAATTGTTTGGTCTTTGTGTTCACTCAAATAGCATCTTAAGATGGGTATCATTCTGCAACTTGGTTTTTTCCACCCCAAATTCAGTGTTACAACTTAAAGCTTCATCTCATTTCGCTTTTTTTTTTTTTTTTTTGAGACAGTCTCACTCTGTCACAGAGGTCAGCTAATTTTTGTATTTTTAGTAGACAGGGTTTTGCCATGTTGGCCAGGCTGGTCTTGAACTCCTGACCTTAAGTGACCCCCCACCTCGGCCTCCCAAAGTGCTGGGATTACAGGTGTGAGCCGCCACACCCGGCCTTCACCTCATTTCTTTTAATTGCTGTGCAATATTCCATGGTATCCTACAGTCAAGACGTTACTGAATTCAGAGACACCCAGTTTTCTTCCCACTTCTTCTTGCTTCCTGGAAGGCTGACTCAAGCATGTTTGAGTAGATTCTGAGAAGCATGAGTGCTGAGTCATAGGTGGTGTGCAGATTTATGAAACTGATAGTGCCTAGTGCCCGCCAGAGTTTGTTTACCTTCACCCATCCCTGTGAATGAACCATGTCTAGGTTCAAGCATGGATGCCCTTGGTATGTGGGTGCAAGCCAAACGTGGACTGTTGCCCCTTCCAGCCCTGGCAGGGAGGCCCAGCGAGCACAGCTTTGGGACAGGTTCACTTTATGTAGAAAGAGAAGCTGCCTGAAGTCACAAATGACATAGATTGGAGGGCAGGGGTGAACAGTTCTCTTGTGGATGAGAGAGGGCCAGGCATGGTGGCTCACACCTTAATTCCAGCACTTTAGGTTGAAGCCAGAGTATCGCTTGAGCCCAGGAGTTTGAGACCAGCCTGGGAAACAAAGTGAGACCCCGTCTCTATAAAAAAAATTAATAAATTAGCCTGGCGCGGTGGCATGTGTCTGTGGTCCCAGCCACACCAGAGGTTGAGGCAAGAGGATTGCTTGGGCCCAGGAGCTGAAGACCAGCCTGGGGAACACAGTGAGAAGAAAGGGAGGGAGGGAGGAAGAAAGGGAGAAAGGGAAGAAAAAAAGGAAAGGAAGGAAGAAAGAAAAGTAAAAGAAGGAAAGAAAGAAGGAAGAAAAGGAAGGGAGCAAGAGAGGAAAGGAAAGAAGGAAAGAAAGAGGAAGGAAGGAAGGGAGGGAGGGAGGGAAAGAGGGAAAGGAAAGAAGGAAAGGAAGGAAAGGAAGGAAGGAAAATGGGAGGCGAGGCACCTGGAAGAGTCATGCGGATGAACACGCTCCAGTGTCCGCTCCAATGTCCAGTGGGGAGCCCCGCAGCCAGCAGCCCTGGTTACAGCGGCTGTCTCCTTGCTGTGCTGACACTGGCCGGGACTGCCTGGGCAGAACGAGGCTCAGCAGGGCAGGCCACATTCCTCTTGAAGAAAGTGCAGGGAGAACACACCTCTAGGTTGCCACAGGCCTCCAGGGATTTACCCCCAGACTCAATCAAAGCATTCATAAAAATACAAACATGCAGGCGGTCCTCATCTGCTCAGGCTGCCGTGACAGATCACCCCCGCCTGCGGGGCTTAACACAGACATTCATTCTCTCCTGGTTCTGGAGGCTGGGGTCCTCGTGAGGCCTTTCTTCCTGGCAGGCGCGTGGCCTGGTCCTTGCTGTGTCCTCTCGTGGCGTTCCCTGGGGCGAGGGTGCAGAGAACCAGCTCTCTGGCATCTCTTCTCATAAGGACACTAAAGCTATCAGTTCAGGGCCCACCTTTATGACATTCATTAAACCCTAGTTACCCCTAAAAGCCCTATTTCCAAACGCAGTCACATAGAGGGCGAAGCCTTCAACTTAAGGGTCTTAAGGGGGCACGATCCCGTCTCTAACCCAAGCACACGTTGAACAGCGGGCTCAGTAAGTCCATTATGATGCATATATAGACCGAAATACCAAGCAGACATTAAAAACCGTGTGTTCTAATGCTATTTATTATCACAATAAATAACTCACTGCAAACGACTACATGAAAAACGTGGGTTCCAGAGCACCATGTATAAAATGATCCCATTTATGTAAACTGTAAACATACATCCACACGCTGATGGACATGCACGTTTGGGGAGGGGTCTGGAGTGATCACCCAAGTGGAAGGGGTTGGGGGTGGTTTCCTGTATGTTTTACAACAAGCATTTATGACTTTTACAAAATCACCAAAGCTATCACTTTCTCCATTTACAAAACAGAATTATTTGTACATAGAGACTTGACGTCATTTGGCACACCTTGCCTTTCTCCTGGGGGCACAGATGCCGCAAACAGGAGCAGACCCGCCTCCCAGACTCCCGCCTGCCCCGTCCCTCCCCTGCAGGTGGCACTGGTGGGCCAGGAAGGTGCTGCGGGCCCCAGGACGCCTCGCACAGCCCAGGCCAGAAACCCGTGGCCCTGCTTCCTCGCACAGTCTGTCATTCTAGAAGACTCTCTCCAAACCACTCTTCCAAAGAGGGTCATGCCAGGGAACAGCAGCGAGGTCATTTTCCAGTCATCCCGCAGGAAGCCACTGAGCCGACCCCGCCCCCGCCGTAGACCTCCAGGCCTGGCTTCCTTCTCCTCCCCAGGTTACCTGCTCAGGGCCAGCATGTCTATCAGGCGGCATCCAGCATCCAATCACAGTGACAAGAACCTTCCGGAACACCCTGCAAACTGTGGATGCCCACGGGTGGCCCCATTACGCCTCGAGCAGGGTGACCTTGTGGTCCGGAACGGCGTCTTCTCTGATGTTGCAGGGCTGGGCCCCTGGCTCCTGCCTCAGGTGTTTCTCTGCAGAAAGTACAAACAATTTTTCAAGCACTGAAAGCTCAGAAGTGAGGATGGGTCAGTTCACGGGAAGGGATTAACGGGGGCCTTTCAGGGTTCTAGAAGGTACGCAGGAAGGAGCTATGGGCCACCCAGGCCAGTGTCACTAACTCCCTGAGGGTCTCAGCGGAGTCTCTGTAAGTGTATTTTTCAGGTGACTAACGGCCCTTTCTTACCGCTCAGGGTACCCTCCCATCCCATGGCCAGGCCACAGTCTGCTTATCCACCTCCAGTGCACTGCATCTGAGCTGCTTCCTTCTAGCAACGACATGGGTGAATCTCCCTGACATCACATTGAGCCAACGAAGCTGGTACAACATCCGCCCCCCTCACTCTCACGGAGCTGACCCTCCTCTAGCTGTGGCCTCAGTGGAAGAGGAAGAGGCCCGGCACTGGGGCCTGGGACCCTCTGGCCCCTGCTGTGTGGCCTGGGGTGGATGCTCTGCATTGCTGGCCTATCCTCTTGTCGACACCTGCTGCAGCTCAGACCTCCAGCGATTGCTGTCTCAGGGCTCAGCGCCCACCCTGCTCCTGACCCTCCCGTCCCTCCTGTCCTGGGGCTTCTGGATCTCCTGACCCGGCCCTGTTCTGTCCTGGGCCTGATCCCTCGGGGTGTGGACTTCCGCTGGAAGGACATTCTTCCAACCTTCTGCATGAAAAATGTGGGTTCCAGAGCACCAGGTGTGAAATGATCCCATTTATGTAAAACCACAAACACATATCCACACACTGACAGGCAAGAACATACGCATGTTTAGGGGAGGGGTCTGGAGTGATCACCAAAGTGGACTGGGGTGGAGGTGGTTTCCTGTTTTTGTTTTTGTGTTTTTTGGAGACAGAGTCTCGCTCTCTCACCCAGGCTGGAGTGCAGTGGCACGATCTCGGCTCACTGCAACCTCTGCCTCCTGGGTTCAAGCAATTCTCAGCTTCAGCCTCCCGAATAGCTGGGACTACAGGTGCCCACCACCACACTCAGCTAATATTTGTATTTTTAGTACTGATGGGGTTTCACCATGTTGGCCAGGCTGGTCTCAAACTCCTGACCTCAGGTGATCTGCCCACCTCGGCCTCCCAAAGTGCTGGGATGACAGGCATGAGCCACTGCGCCCAGCTGGTTTTCTGTAGTTTTTACAATAAGCATTTACGATTTTTATAAAATCACCGAAGTCGCAGGATGTCTGACTGTGCCCACCTGCTTCCTCCAGGGTGGAGAAGTACTGGAACCCCTTCAGGTCAGCGGACAGCAGGACACGGAGAACAGGGACCTGAAGGACAGACAGACTTTAGCCAGGGCAGGATGTGTCCCTCTCTAGCACACGGCAGGCAGCCTGGTGGACACGCAATCTCAGAGCCTCCCGGAGAGGCACAGCTTCGCCTCCACACCAGCCAACGGCGAGAAGAAACGCAGCCCCAGGGGGATGCTGTCAGAGGAGGATTTTTTTTTTTTTTTTAATTTTTTTGTTTTTTTGAGACAGGGTCTTGTTCATTGCTCAGGTTGGAATGCAGTAGCACGATCATGGCTCACTGCAGCCTCAACCTCCCAGACTCAAGTGATCCTCCCACCTCAGCCTCCTGAGTAGCTACAGGTGCACGCCACCATGTCCAGCTAATTTTTCCTATTTTTTTGATGGGGTTTCATCATGTTACCCAGGCTGGTCTCAAACTCCCGGCCTCAAGGGATTCTCCTGCCTCGGCCTCCCAAAGTGCTGGGATTACAGATGTAATCCTGTAATCTGCCTGGCCCAGAGGAGTTTTGTTTTGTTTTGTTTGTTTTTTGTTTTTGTTTTTGAACGGAGTTTTGCTCTTGTTACCCAGGCTGGAGTGCGATGGCGAGATCTCAGCTCACTGCAACCTCCGCCTCCCAGGTTTAAGCAATTCTCCTGCTTCAGTCTCCCGAGTAGCTGGGATTACAGGCATGTGCCACCACGCCCATCTAATTTTTGTCTTTTTAGTAGGGACAGAGTTTCACTATGTTGGCCAGGCTGGTCTCAAACCCCTGATCTCCCACCTTGGCCTCTCAAAGTGCTGGGATTACAGGCATGAGCCACCATGTCTGGGCCAGAGGAGTATTTTTTTAAGTGAATCATCTCCAAAGACCATGAAGACATGTGCTCTGCAAATATGACACAGGATGTAACGCTTATGAGCAAAGCTCTGAAGGCACATGCCCAAATCAGAAGCCTGGTCCACCATCCTGTGTGACTGTGGGCAGGTTACCTGGCTTCTCTGGGCCTCAATGACCTCTTCTGGACACGGGGATGAAGACAACACTAGCCAGCCGGGCACGGTAGCTCACGCCTGTAATCCCAGCACTTTGGGAGGCTGAGGCGGGCGGATCACAAGGTCAGGAGATCAAGACCATCCTGGCTAACAAGGTGAAAGCCCATCTCTACTAAAAAATACAAAAAATTAGCCGGGCGCGGTGGCGGGCACCTGTAGTCCCAGCTACTCGGGAGGCTGAGGCAGGAGAATGGCGTGAACCCAGGAGGCGGAGCTTGCAGTGAGCTGAGATCGCGCCACTGTACCTCCAGCCTGGGCGACAAAGCGAGACTCCATCTCAAAAAAAAAAAAAAAAAAGATAGCACTAGCCTCGGGGGCCAGGTTGGGGATGAATAAAACCCTGACAAGTACCAGCTGTGGCCCACACAGGAGGTATACGGTTCAGTCAGCCTCCTGTTTCATGGCTAGTTCATGAATGTCTCCTCTCAGTGCCTGGGGACACGCCCTAGTCCCCCATGTTCTGCCATCTAGGACTTGGCAGGGAGCATACATTTAATCACAGTAACAGAGACCCCCGCCTCTCTGCAAACACCGGCCACACTCCTGCGATGTCGACCCTGCAGCGCTCGGAAGGCTCCCAGGTGAGGCCTAAGACGCAGGGCCCGGGACCCGGCCCTTACATTTTACCTGCAGCTCTGAACAGGACGGCCTCCACAGAAACCTGTCTTCTTCAGCCTCTGGAAGCCCTGACGATACGTTTTTCACGAAATTCTATGCGCACCTGTTTTTGTTTTGTTCTGAGATGGAGTCTCTCTCTGTCGCCCAGGCTGGAGTACAGTAGTGGGATCTCGGCTCACTGCTACCTCTGCCTCCTGGGTTCAAGCAATTCTCCCAGCCTCCCGTGTAGCTGGAATTATAAGTGCTCACCACCACACCTGGCTAGTTTTGTTTTTGTTGTTTTTTTTTTTTTTTTATTTTTTAGTAGAGACGGGGTTTCACCATGTTGGCCAGGCTGATCTTGAACTCCTGACCTCAGGTGATCTGCCCGCCTTGGCCTCCCAAAATGCTGGATTCCAGGCGTAAGCCACCACATCTGGCCTCACCGGTCTCTTTTTGTTTCCTAAAATACAATTCCCCTGAGAGCAGGGACTGACCCTCATTCACTGTGTGTCCCCAGCACTGAGGACAGTGTGGCAGTGACCACCAGGGAAATGAAGCCATAACGTGACCCCTCAGAGGGCTGGGGGCCACCGCTCCCCATTCCACAGGGAGGGACGAGGAAGGCCAGATGGGAACGAGAACTGTTTAAATCAGAGGCAGAGCCAGCACTGGCCGAAGGGCCGTCCAGTATCACAGCCCAGAGATGTCACATTCACCACGGGAGGCAGGCACAGGAAGGACCTGAGGCAGCTGCTAACCCCTAAGGCAGCCCAGCGCACACCCACCTGCAGGCCCACGAAGACCAGGGCGACGTCCTGCTTCTGGAAGTCCTGGAGGAGCTCGCCAAGCCCCAGCACCACGGTGTAGTCGATGCTGCAGACATGGGTGCACTCCAGGACCAGGCAGCGTGGCGGGGAGACTGGGGAGACAGGTCCGAGCCAGGTCATGCCACGCAGAGCAGCCCAAAGCCGCTCCGCAGAGGCCAAAGGAGGCTCTGGCCAGGGGGAGGGGACAGAGAGGCCAGAGTGCTCCATCTCGTGGGGACTGAGTCACCCAGTTGGGGGATTCGGGTGACAGGACCAGACACGCAACTGTTTGATGACAGCAGCAGCTGTTTCCCTCCTAGCACTCACAGGCCCTTGGCTCCCCTAAAATCAACCCCCCAGAAACAGGAAGGGGACTTTAGGGGCAGGGAAGGAGCGATATGTGGGGAGCACCACCCTTGCTGCAGCAGTCACTGGCTGAGGCCCACAGGGGACAGTCCTGCCCACTCGGAGATGCCTGAATCCTTGTGGACTAGAGAGTGTCGGGGACAGGGCCTTGGGGTCCTGAAGAGCTGGGAGTGGGGAGCAGAGGACAGGGGAGCGACCTCAGACCACCTTGGCCCCCGCCCATGCACCTTCCAGGGCCCGGCTTAGGATCTCCTCCCGCAGAGCCTCCATGGCAGGGAACGACAGGCCGCTGGCTGGCTGCAGGACCAGAACCGGCCCCTCTGACACCTGCAGGGACGAGTGAGTCCTGGAAACCGGGCAGCCTCCACCAGGCTTGGCCTGTCCCAAGCAGGAAGCCCCAAGCCAACCTAGCACGCTGGAGGGAACTGGGAGTGGGGTGCTAAGGGGAGACCCCCACGGCCCCCACACAGTGGGAGAACACCATGCTCTATAGCAGGGTGGTTGCCCGCCTGCCAGCAAGCGGTCCCCTTCAGCAGCGCCCACGACCACCATCACCCCAGACCCTCAACACATAAGACCGTGCCCAGGAGTCCTGCCCCCAGCACACTCCCCACTCAGGCCACGGCAGGGTACCTTGGTCTCGGGCCTGGCTGCGGAGTGCAGGAGCATGAGCAGAGACACCAGGGCCCCGGCCAGGATGCCGTACTGCACCTCCCAGAAGCACAGCAGGAAGGTCACGCACAGGGGCAGCAGGTCCAGTCCTAGGAGAAGGGTGCTGCTGAGGGACACCTGGCAGCCGCCCAAGCCCCCAACATGGCCCTGCTGACCAGTGGGAGCTTTCTGCCCCCCACATATGAGTAAAGGTGCTCATGCACCCAAAGCAGCCCCCGAGGGGACTCCGGAGGACTTGGGGACAGCAGCTGCTGACCAGGCCAGGCTTCAAGTCAAAGGAAGGAAATGCCCGCCTCATCCGAGCTGAGCGCAGCTGAGACCTGCCCGCTCGGTCCCTCCTCATCCGAGCTGAGCACAGCTGAGACCTGCCCGCTCAGTCCCTGGCCTCCCACCTCAGGGAGGGAAGTGGCAGCGGCTTGTCAGGGCACAGATCTGGCCTGAGGAGTGGGGCAGGGACCACGTGAACTCTTGAGACCTGGCCAAGAAGGTGCCCTGGGGACAAAGGGCATGGGCTCAGGCCTGGCGGGGATTCCACCTCACATAGGTCAGGCCCGCCCCACCCTGGCTAAGCCTCGGTTTCTAGCGGTAGCGACCATCCCATTCCACATGGGCATATTAACATGTTTCAGGGCTGTTCTAAAGCCCCAGCGCACTGACATGCGAAAGGCCCTGGCATGCGGCAGGCATGCAAGAAAATTATCCATCCTTTCACCTGGCAACTTGCTGGGGCTGACCAGAAAATGCCAAGTCAGCTAGGTGAACCCACTCCGTGCTTCCTCCACAAACAAAAGAAAACAACATGTGTTAAGTTAAAGGAACTGGCAGTCAGGGCCCGAGTGCAAGGCTGTTCCACTGCCCCTGCTGGTCACCAGGCACATCTCCCGTCCCTCCCCCAGCTGGGCCGGTGGCTAGAGGCAGCAGGGAGGGTGGGAATGAGGGCAGGGGGATCAGGAGGAGACCCTCCCTGGGTCAGTGCCCCCCCTCAGGACCCCAGGTGTCAGGACAAGGAGCTCCAGCTCTTCCCACTGAGCCTCTGGACCATCTCTGGGGCCATCTCCTGGCCATCCACTCCTCTGTTCCGGGACTGCCTTAACTTCCCAGCCCCAGCCCCGCAGCAGTGGCTGCAGGAAAATGGTGTAGCACAAATGACATTCTCCACGTTCAGACACTGCATCACAGTGCTCTCCCCGTAGGACAAGAACGTACTCTTAACGCGCCAGAGCGTCCTGAAGATCTTGGTGTCGAACAGCGGGGCCACGGCCATGATGATGATGGCGGCCAGGGCGGACTTGGGGATGTAGTAGAAGAGTGAAGTCAGGTAGTCCAGAGACAGCAGCACCAGCACTCCTGCGGGGAGCGGGAACACGGGTGACCTCGGGGGCACAGGGTCCCCCCAGCACGCAGCATAGCAGCCTCCTGTTCAGCGGAGCCCACTGGGGACGGGGCAGGGGTAGGGCGACGAGTGCCAAGACCCCCAGCCCCTGCTCAGTCTCCTGTGGTCCCCCTACTCCTTTGAGGCCCCCCAAGTCCCTGTGCAGTCCCGGGGCACGCGGCCCATGAGCCAAAGGGACGGGACGTCTCTTGGGCCCCCTCCTGCCTTTCTCCCACTCTCAGGGCTGGGGGCACAAGGGGAAGATGGAGGGCCTCACCCGTCACCAGGCCCCCTGCCGGGGTGCACACCCCCGACTGAGAGTTCACGGCTGTCCTGGAAGGCAACACAGAGACCGTCAGTCACCAGAGGCCGGGAAAGGGGAGACCTCAGCCCACACCCTGTGGCCGTTCTTCCGAGGGGACGTCAGCTCCCAGCACAGCTTAGGAAGCAGGCGGGGACTGCAAGAGGGGCAAGGCAAAGAGACTTAGGGTGCAGTCACAGAGCGCTGTGCTCAGGCCACCCTGACTATAGGAAGCAGTTCAGGAACCACACGTCCTCTCGGGTTCCTGCCCCCATCCATGTGGGGGCCCCACACCCTGCAGGGCGAGCGTCAGCAGCTGGGGGACTGGGCACTGCCAAGCGGTGCCGCCTTCTCTCCTTTAAGCCACAGATCACCCCCATCCTGTTGTCCTGACTGAGGAGGGGCCCTAGGGCGTCTGGGCTAAGCCTCACGCCTGGCTTCTTCAGGGCAGAGCTGCAGCCCTTCCTGTCTCCACGTCCTTTTAGGAATTGACTCTGGCACCAGGAGCTAGAAGGGCTTTGGCGTGCTGGGAACTTTCCAGTATTTGTTTTAGAGACGGAGTCTTGCTGTGTTGCCCAGGCTGGAGCGCAGCGTTGCAGTCACAACTCACTGCAGCCTCAACCCGCTGGGCTCAAGCGATTCTCCCGCTTCCGCCTCCAGAGTAAATGGGATAACAAGGGTATACCACAATGCCCAGTGGAAGTTTCTAGTATTAAACTGCAGGACCATCTATGAGAGTAAAGAAACAGAGGACACCCTGGAGGACAGCAGGGTGACCCCCAGCCCTGCCCCTCCACGGACAGTTCACAGCGGAGGACGGGGCGCCAGGGTCAGGGCAGGCAGACTCCTCGTCAGGATAACAACGTAAAGGCAACGTGGGCAAACAGAAGTGGAAGACACGTCACTCACCGTCCAAAGCTGCCTGTGACTGGGTAGGAGGAGACGAAGGAGCCCAACACATTGGTGAGACCTGGGGAGGAGGCAAGACAGGCTGATCGGGGAGGGCAGGCACACAGGACGGAGGGAAAGGAGATGGGGAGGGGATAAAAACCCAGAAGGGAGGCGGGAAGGCAGGGCTCGGGAGAATTATCCTGGGGGCCTGAGCCTGTGCACTCTGTCAGGGAAGAAAACAGGCCACAATCTTGCAGATGTAGAGCCTAGCCTTTTTTTTTTTCTTTTTGAGACAGAGTCTGGCTCTGTTGCCCAAGCTGGAGTGCAGTAGCACGATCTCAGCTCACTGCAGCCTCCACCTCCCAGTTCAAGCGATTCTCCTGCCTCGGCTTCCCGAGTAGCTGGGATTACAGGCACGTACCAGCACGCCCGGCTTATTTGTGTATTTTTAGTAGAGACAGAGTTTTGCCATGTTGGCCAGGCTGGTCTCAAACGCCTGACCTCAGGTGATAAATCCACCTCAGTCTCCCAAAGTGCTGGGATTACAGGTGTGAGCCACCGCGCCCAGCCAGATCCTAGCTTTCAAACACTTCTCACCCGGCCTCTCCTGTGTGACTAGGACATGCCTTCCCCACGCAGAACAGAGGGGAGCATCTCACCGCCCAGGAGGGGGTGACAGCTGAGACGAAAGCGCCCGTAAGACAAACCCTACGTGCTCGGGAGGTCAGTGGCTGCCCACAGTTCTCCACCCAGTTCCTTTCAAACCCAGCACTCCTTCTCACGAGACGACAGCCACAGTGAGGCCAAGGTCATGGCTGGTATGCTGCCTCCCCAGGTGATGCTGGCTGCCGACAACAGACAAAGCCCACGCCTGCAGCATCGTTGAGGCCCAAGAACGGGGATCACTGCTCAGGTTGACCCCACGCTCCCACCAGCATCTGTCTCACCTGGAGGCACCACTAAAACCAGAATCCCTCCTGCTCGCTAAGACCCACAGTGGGTTCTCAGGTCTCAAAGGTGCAGGGCCTGCTCTCAAGGTAGCTTGGGCTGGGGCCAACTCAGTATCAGGGCATCCCGGGTGACATGGCCCAGCTCACAGCCCTGAGAGAGAGGGGACAGGGCAAGGAAATGCAGGCGTGGGAGGTCTCAGCAGAGGCCTGCGGTGACGGCAGGCTGCACGGGATCATCCTCACTCTGCAACAGCTTGGGCTGGGGACCCAATTCTGTGAGCCAAAGCTGACCAGGGCGACCCCTCCCAGCTTGGCCTTTATGGGCTCACATCAGCCAGCTTCTTGCTGTGCGGCTGCTGACGCCTACCTGGCCTATCTGAGATCAAGGAATTGCATGGCTGTCACAGTAACCTTGACCTTCGCTCTGTCTGTGTTGTATCCCTGGAACTCAGCGTGCCATCAGAATAGTTCTGTGGTATTTTTAAAGTAATGGGAATAGGGCCAGGGGCTGTGACTCAGGCCTGTAATCCTAGCACTTTGGGAGGCCAAAGCGGGCGGATCACCTGAGGTCAGCAGCTCGAGACCAGCCTGGCCAACATGGCGAAACCCCGTCCTACTAAAAATACAAAAATCAGTCGGGCTTGGGGGCAGGCGCCCGTAATCCCAGCTACTCAGGAGGGTGAGGCAGGAGAACTGCTTGAACCCAGGAGACGGAGGTTGCAGAGAGCCGGGACCGTGCCACTGCACTCCAGCCTGGGCGACACAGCAAGACTCCGTCTCAAATAACAATTATAATAAGTAAAGTAATGGGAATGGGATGCTCTGGGAAATCGCATTTGGAAGATTTACTGGGAGGTTTCGGGGAGGCTGTGGATTTTCTCGGCCTGAGTGTGTGTGAGTCCTAGGAAGCCCGAGCTCCGCCACTCAACTAGACAGTGCCCTGCTCTCCATGGCTCAGAGAGGAGCCCAGGCAACGTCCCTTTGTGACCCAACCTGGGTCACTCACTTTGCTGTCAAGAAGCCAAATGGCTCTCATGAAATTGTCAGGGTGGACACCCCTTGGGAAGAAGCTCATGGTGCTTCCTGGGTTACCCTGCGCCAGTCTCATGAGGGGCGAGAAGGAAAGGCAGGAAGGCCTGGGTCCCACGATTCAGTCACGATAACTGAATTTAAGATTCATACTGGGCCGGGTGCGGTGGCGGGCACCTGTAATCCCAGCACTTTGGGAGGCTGAGGCGGGCGAATCACGACGTCAGGAGTTTGAGACCAGCCTGGCCAATATGGTGAAACCCCAACCCTACTAAAAATACAAAAAGTAGCCAGGCATGGTGGCACGCGCCTGTAGTCTCAGCTACTCAGGAGGCTGAGGCGGGAGAATCGGATGAACCCAGAAGGCAGAGGTTGCAGTGAGCTGAGATTGCACCACTGCCCTCTAGCCTGGGCGACAAAGCAAGATTCAGTCTCACACACACAAAAATATATATATATTCACACTGTGGTCTCAAAATATACCACTAAGAAGTCAGCCTGCAGAGATATAACAAGAAGAAACTAAACGGTGAAAGCGGGCATGACCCCCATCCACAGGCATGCAACTTGGGGCCCCCGAGTCTTCATGAATCCACCTGCCCCTGCCTGGAGGGAGGCACAAGGCAGGGTGCGGGTACAATCAGAAGACTCCTCTGGACTCCCCCGGCCACAGCCTTCAGCTCTCGACCCTGTCCCTGGGCGCTCCCTCCTTGAGGTGGGACATTCCAGGTGTTCCTGGATCTAGACCAAGGCTACAGACCTCAGGGTCGGGTACACAGCACAGGTGCTCAGCAAGTGGTAGGACAGATAACAGATGTCAGCTCCTTATTCTTAGGGGTTAAACTGAGCAGTGTGGAGGTCTGGGAACGAGTTCTTATTAATATTCCAGAAGAGCCAGGAGCGGTAGCTTATGCCTGTAACCTCAGCACTTTGGGAGGCCGAGGCAGGCAGATCACCTGAGGTCAGGAGTTCGAGACCAGCCTGGCCAACATGGTAAAACCCCGTCTCTACTAAAAATACAAAAATTAGCCAGGCGTGGTGGCACACGCCTGTAATCCCAGCTACTCAGGAGGCTGAGGCAGGAGAATCGCTTGAATCTGGGAGGCGGAGGTTGTAGTGAGCCGAGATCGCGCCACTGCACTCCTACCTGGGCAACAGAGCGAGACTCCGTCTCAAAAACCCAAAACAAAACAAAATATTCCAGAAGAGCCCATCTGGGGCCACCTCTGCCCTCCCAGTTCATCACCACCATCACGGTCTTCCTATGACGCAGGAGACACAGAGGGGCAGCCCCGGGTCCCTGGAGGCCCACAGGGGTTCTTCCCCACAGCTGGGGTCTTACCAATGGCCAGCAGCTCCTGGTTGGCATCGATGCGGTAATTATTCTGAGACGCTAAAGGCATCCAACAGTAAAGACATCGTCACTGATATTCAACATCACTCAAAAAGTATTCACAAAATGTAAAACAGATTATGAATTTCTACGTATGGCAATAAGTTTTGTAAATGTAACTATACGAATACACATCTAAAATATTCACATATATGTGCATGTAAACATGTGCTTGAATGTATCACAGAGTGCAAAGAGGTACAGTACCATGTAATCAGGCCAGGTACGGTGGCTCACAGCTGTAATAGCAGCACTTTTGGGAGACCAAGGCAGGAGGATCGCTCGAGCCCAGGAGTTCGAGACCAGCCTGGGCAACATGGCAAAACCCCATCTCTACAAAAAAATACAAAAATTAGCCAGGCATGGTGGTGTGTGCCTATAGTCCCAGATATTCAGGACGCTGAGGTGGGAGGATGGTTTGAGACTAGGAGGTTGAAGCTGCAGTGAGATGAGATCGTGCCACTGCACTCCAGTCCGGGCGACAGAGACCCTGTCTCAAACAACAAGAAGAAAACACGTAAACAGTAGTTAATTGTGGTAGTAAAACAGATTACGGGTGATTTGTCTCTTCTTTACTCATTTCTGCAATTTTAACATTTTCTACAATGAATGTATATTAATAAACATAGCCATTATTAACAATTATATTAAACTTAAAAAAAAAAAAAAAAAAAAAAAAAAAAAAAAAAAAAAAAAAAAAAAAAAAAAAAAAAAAAAAAAAAAAAAAAAAAAAAAACTTTCAATTAAACAGATAATACAGGATCTTGTTCTGCTGCCCAGGCTGGAGTGCAGTGGCACTATCACAGCTCAATGCCACCTCGACCTCCTGGGCTCAAGTGATCCTCCTGCCTTAGGATCCCGAGCAGCTGGTACCACAGGTGTGCTCCAGGCCCGGCTAATTTTTTTTTTTTTTTTTTTTGAGACGGAGTCTTGCTCTGTGCCCCAGGCTGGAGTGCAGTGGCGCGATCTCGGCTCACTGCAAGCTCCGCCCCCCCGGGTTCACGCCATTCTCCTGCCTCAGCCTCCCAAGTAGCTGGGACTACAGGCGCCCGCCACCTCGTCTGGCTAATTTTTGTGTATTTTTAGTAGAGACGGGGTTTCACCGTGTTAGCCAGGATGGTCTCGATCTCCTGACCTCGTGATCCGCCCGTCTCGGCCTCCCAAAGTGCTGGGATTACAGGCTTGAGCCACCGCGCCCGGCCTAATTTTATTTTTAATAGAAACGAGGTCTCATTATGTTGCCTAGGTGGGTTTCAAACTCCTGAGCTCAAGCGATCCTCCTGCCTAGGCCTCCCAAAGTGTTGGGATTACAACACTTTTTATAATAAGAAAAACATTTTATTTTATTATTATTATTTTTTTAGATGGAGTCTTGCTCTGTCACCCAGGCTGGAGTGCAGTGGAGTGATCTTGGCTCATCGTAACCTCTGCCTCCCAGGTTCAAGAGATACTCCTGCCTTAGCCTCCTGAGTAGCTGGGACTATAGGTGCACGCCACCATGCCTGGCTACTTTTTGCATTTTTAGTAGAAATCGGGTTTCACCATGTTAGTCAGACTTGTATTGAACTCCTGACCTCAGGTGATCCGCCCACATCGGCCTCCCAAAGTGCTGGGATTACAGACGTAAGCCACCGCGCCCACCGAGAAAAACATTTTAAACTGGAAACCTCTCTGATGACCAGTTGAGACGACTGGAAAGTCTAAGATGGGCCATCTCAGAGAGGTGAGCAGGCCAAGATTTGAGGGGAAGGCACAGGAGCATGGATCTAAGACAGAGGTTGGCAAATTTTTCTTTTCCTTTTTTCTTTTTTTTTGAGACAGAGTCTCGCTCTGTCGCCCAGGCTGGAGTGCAGTGGTGTGATCTCGGCTCACTGCAAGCTCCGCCTCCCGGGTTCATGCCATTCTGCTGCCTCAGCCTCCAGAGTAGCTGGGACTACAGGCGCCCGCCACTACGCCCGGCTAATTTTTTTGTATTTTTAGTAGAGACGGGGTTTCACCGTGTTAGCCAGGATGGTCTTGATCTCCTGACCTCGTGATCCGCCCGCCTCAGCCTCCCAAAGTGCTAGGATTACAGGCGTGAGCCACCGCGCCCGGTCAAAACTTTCAACTAAACAGATAATACAGGATCTTGTTCTGCTGCCCAGGCTGGAGTGCAGTGGCACTATCACAGCTCAATGCCACCTCGACCTCCTGGGCTCAAGTGATCCTCCTGCCTCAGTCTCCCAAGCAGCTGGTACCACAGGTGTGCTCCATGCCCGGCTAATTTTTATTTTTAATAGAAACGAGGTCTCATTATGTTGCCTAGGTGGGTTTCAAACTCCTGAACTCAAGCGAGCCTCCCGTCTTGGCCTCCCAAACTGTTGGGATTACAGGCGTGAGCCACCATGCCTGGCCCAAAGATAATACTTAAAACTCATCACTTCCTAATGTATTTGGCATTTGGCTACTGCTGATGAGGTTATTTGCACCCACTGTATCTACATGGTGGAGATGCCATAGAATATGGTTGTTCATGTAGATCTCAACCCAGCTCCATGTGCAAACTCCCCGTTCAGCGATGTGACCTCAAAATCAGACAGTAGCATTTACACCATCGACATCGGCAAGGGCCACGAAGCAAAACCTTTTCTTTCCACGAAGAGCAGAGGCTGTTACGACACTCACCAACACACCATGGGGTGGGAGGGCGCTGTCTCGTTATAGATCCAGTTTTATCATATGTACATAATACGTATATATCTATCATGAGCATGTATTACGAATTCAAATTTCTAACACTAGTAACCGATAAAAGCAAGCTAGAAAGCAGGCAGGCCTAGCCCAGCCGGCGCACTGGGAGGCCTGGGGCGTGGGTGACAGGTGTCTTACCGAAGGCTTTGGCCACCGCAACGCTCTCCAGGAGGCCCATCAGGGGCACCACGGCCAGCCCGGCCCCCATGTCCTGAGAGAGGAGAGAGGGATGGTGAGTGGCCTTCCTAAGGTGTAGGACCCGGCAGTGTCCCATGAAGGCAGCAAGGAGCCACACCTCCCCACAGGTAACAGGAGCAAGTGCTTGTCAGCTGCAGGAGGCGCCTCCTTGTCTGAAGAGGCACCAGGTGCTGGGAGGAACACAGCAAATTCATCCTCAGCTGGAGTCCAAAACAGGAGAAGCACCCCGGAACACAAACGTGACATCCCTGAGCTCACTGAGCCTGCGTCCGACCTGGGATTCTTTAATGACGGAGATGTCCCTTCCTGAGGACTCAGCTGTCCCAACTGACCTCAGACCCCCTGGCACCCAGCAGACGCATCAGGGTAGGGGCCAGGCCACGGGCCACCGCAGCCTCGGCCACGCCATCCTGGCTCCCGGCTCTGCCCACCTGCACCATCTCGGTGAAGGAGATCGTCCCATTGGCTGTGGTCACTGAGAAGGGCGGGGTTCGGACTGGAGGGAGCCCCTCAGCTGTCTCCCCTGTTAGGATGAAAGGCTGGTATCCAGTCACCTCGAAGGAGTATGCAACCAGGGCCGCGAAGGAGACCACCAGGGCGTTGCGAGCTAGGAGAGAAGGAGAGGTGCGTCCAGGACCCTGCTCCTGGCAAGCGTGGGGTAGCGCGGCTGCCTCCAGATTATTGGGGCAGACACCCCAGCGGCAGAAGAGGTCCCCGCTGGGCCACAGTCCTCACTCTGCACTCTGGGAAACATAGCACAGGCACAAGTGCTATGTGGCAGCATGAGCAGGTGGGATGGCAGAGCTGCACGCTGCAGACAGGTGCACATGCCACCTGCTGCCAAGCTCCAGGTGACTGGATGTCGTGCACCCTGGCAAAGACTCTCTGAAATCAGGTGCCCAGGGCACATCCACCTCAAAGCACAAGGGAGGAAGAAGCCAGATGTACCCCCCTTCCCCAAACAACGGCCTCCAAGATGCGGGACAGTGGGCATGATGGCCACTAAGACACGGGACAGCGGGCATGACGGCCACCGGGAAACGAGGGAGGTGAGTCTGTCACTGCCCCGCCGGCTGCCTGTGGTTTCCCTGATGGTCCCTATGTGCATGGAGGGGACCCCCGAGCAGAACCCAGGGGTCTCCCTGAGTTCAGGGGGCAATGCTGGGAGGGAGTCTGAGGAGGCCTGCGGCTGGAGCTGACAGCAAGGTCACAGGAGCAGAGAAGGCGGCCAGAGACAGAGCTCAGAGATCTGCAGAGGTGCCCTCAGGTGTGCAGCAGAGAACTGGTTGAGGCAAAGTGGGGCGAAAAAGACCCAAATCCACAGTGGGGAAGAGGGTTACAAGGGACAATCCCAGGGACTCACACCAGAGTGAAAAACCCTCATAATCCATGGAGCATCACGGACTCCTGAGGGTTTTACCTCAGCAGTGGAGAAGATTAGCCCAAGGCCTGGGGTTGGCAAATTTTTTCTGTAAAGGACTAAATACTAAAAACCTTCTGCTTTGTGGGCCATAAAGTCTCTGGTGCAACTACTCAAGTCTGTTATTACTGCATAAAAGTTGACATTGACAAAGTAAATGAATGGGAGTGACTTTCCAATAAAACTTTATTTACAAAATCAAGTGGTGGGCCAGATTAGGCTTGCCCTAGAATGAACACGGCTCTGGTCCAGCTCACAAAGCTTAAAAGTAAGATCCTAAATGGATCAAACTGTCCTAAGTAACTTAACTATATCCCAGAACAAAGCTCAAGAAGATTTATAGAATACAAAAATATCCAGCATGCAATAACCTCAAACTCACCAAGTCTAGCATCCATGCAAACAAAAATTACTAGGCATACAACGAAGCAGGAAAACATGGCTGGGTGCAGTGGCCCATGCCTGTAATCCCAACACTTTGGGAGGCCAAGACAGGAGGATCGCTTGGGCCCAGGAGTTTGAGGACAGTCTGAGCAAATTAGTGAGACACTATCTGTACAAAAAATAAAAAATTAGTTGAGCACGGTGGCATACGCCTGTAGTCTCAGCTACTTGGGGGACTGAGGTGAGATGATCACTTGATCCTGGGAGGTTGAGGCTGCAGTGAACCATGATCATGCCACTGTACTCTAGCCCAGGTGACACAGTGAGACCCTGTCTCAAAAAATAAAAATGAAAATGAAAAAAAGACCCAAAAGTAACATAGTTAAAGATGACAGAATTAACCAGACATTAAAAGAGGAACTGTAACCAAATGTAATGTGAAAGGATATTAAAAGAATTAAAATAGGCCGGGCGCGGTGGCTCAAGCCTGTAATCCCAGCACTTTGGGAGGCCGAGACGGGTGAATCACGAGGTCAGGAGATCGAGACCATCCTGGCTAACACGGTGAAACCTCGTCTCTACTAAAAAATATAAAAAACTAGCCGGGCGAGGTGGCGGGCGCCTGTAGTCCCAGCTACTCGGGAGGCTGAGGCAGGAGAATGGCGTGAACCCGGGAGGCAGAGCTTGCAGTGAGCCGAGATCCGGCCACTGCACTCCAGCCTGGGCGACAGAGCAAGACTCCGTCTCAAAAAAAAAAAAAAAAAAAAAGAATTAAAATAGTTAATAGGACATTAAAAGAATAACTGTAACCAAATTCCATATACTTAAAAAACAAAAAAAGAGAGGAAAGATTGCAACTGTTAAGTAAAGATGTACAAAATACATTTTAAAAGATTCAAATTGAGGCTGGGCATGGTAGCTCACGCCTGTAATCCCAGCAGTTTCGGAGGCTGAGGCAGGTGGATCACCTGAGGTCAGGAATTCGAGACTGGCCCAGCCAACAAGGTGAAGCTCCGTCTCTACTAAAGATACAAAAAATTAGCCAGGCGTGGTGGCGGGTGCCTGTAATCCCAGCTACTTGGGAGGCTGAGGCAGGAGAATGACTTGAACCCGGGAGGCAGAGGTTGCAGTGAGCCGAGATTGCGCCACTGCACTCCAGCCTGGGCGACAGAGCGAAATTCCATCTTAAAAAAAAAAAAAGAAAGAAAAGAAAAGAAAAAGAAAAAAAAAGATTCAAATTGGATTTCTAGCAATGAAAACCACAGTGTCTGAGATGGAAGAAGCACTTGATACAATTAACAACAATGGAGACATTACAGAAAAAAAAAAGACTAAAATGTAGCAGTAGAAACTATCCAACAGGAAACACACAATGGAAAAGACTAAAAATCACAAGTGAGCTGTGGGAACAGCTTCAAGGTGCCTGAAATACAGGTATGGGCGTCTGCAAAAATTAGCCGGGCATGGTGGCATGTGCCTGTAATTCCATCTACTTGGGAAGCTGAGACAGGAAAATTGCTTGAACCTAGGAGGCAGAGATTGCAGTGAGCCAAGATCATGCCACTGCACTCCAGCCTGGGTGACACAGCAAGACACCGTCTCAAAATAAAAAAATAATAATTTTTTTTTTTTTTTTGAGACGGAGTCTCACGCTGTGCCAGGCGGAGGCAGTCGCATCTCGGCTCACGCAAGCTCCGCCTCCCGGTTCCCCCATCTCCTGCCTCAGCCTCCGAGTAGCTGGACTACAGTGCCGCCACCGCCCCTAATTTTTGTATTTTAGTAGAACGGTTCACTTGGTCTCGATCTCCTGCTTGTGACCGCCCGCCTCGCCCCCAAAGTGGGATACAGGCTTGGCCCCGCGCGGCCAATAATTTTTTTTTTTAAGTATTGAAAAAAAAAAAGTCGAGAATTCTATCACCAGCAAAACTATCTTTGAAAAATGAAGGCAAAATAGACTTTCAGACACACAAAAGTCAAAAGTTGAAAGAAGACCAGGAGTAGTGGCTCACACCTGTAATCCCAACACTCTGGAAGCCAAGGTGGGAGGATCCCATGAGCCCAGGAGTTAGAGACCAGCCTGGGCAACGTAGGAAGACACCATCTCTACAAAAAGTAAAAATAAAAAAGTATCCAGGCGTGGTGATGCACATCTATAGTCCCAGCTACTCAGGAGGCTGAGGCAGGAGGATTGCTTGAATCTAGGAGTTTAAGGATGCAGTGAACTGTAATTGCGCCACTGCATTCCAGCCTGGGTGACAGAATCCTGTCTCTTAAAATAAAAAAATAAAAAAATAAAAAAGGAAGGAAGGAAGAAAGAAAGAAAAAGCTGAAAGAGTTAATCACCAACAGGCCTGCAACAGAAAAAAAAATAAAGTCCTTCAGGTAGAAGGAAAATGATACCAGATGGAAATCTGGATTTGTACAAAGGAATTAAGAGCACCAGAAACAGTTACTACATGGATAAATATAAAAGACTTTGTTCCTGCAGGGAATGGTAGCTCACGCCTGCAATCTCAGCACTTTGGTTGGCTGAGGCAGGAGCATCACTTGAGGCCCAGAATCTTTGACCAGCCTGAGCAACATAGACCGTTTCTACAAAAAAAATTTTTTTAAATTAGCCAAATGTGGTGATGCATGCCTGTAGACCAAGCTACTCAGGAGGCTGAGGCAGGAGGATTACTTGAGCCCAGGAGTTTGCAGCTTCAGTGATGGATCTTGGCTCACTGCAATCGCTGCCTCCCAGGTTCAAGCGATTCTCCCACCTCAGCCTCCCCAGCAGCTGGGATTACAGGCATGCACCACCATGCCTGGCTAATTTTTTGTATTTTAGGTAGAGATGGGGTTTTGCCATGTTCCCCAGGCTGGTCTTGAACTCCTGAGCTAGACAATCCGCCTCCCTCAGCCTCCCAAAGTGCTAGGATTACAGGTGTGAGCCACTGCACCTGGCCTGCTATAAGGTTCTTATGTCACATGAAGTTGAAGTTTAATGTATACTGTAGCAAGATAAAGATGTTTACCACAACCCTTAAAGCAGCCACTTAGAAACAAAAACTAAATATAGCAGTTACAGCTAATCAGCCAATAAAGGACATAAAATGGAATCATAAAAAATAATCAATAGAGGTAGAAAGAGGGGGAAAAGGGAACAAAGAACAAATGAGACAAAGAGGAAACAAACAGCAATATGGTAGATCTAAAGTCAAACATACCAATAATGACATTAAATATAAATGGCATAACATTCCAATTAAAAGGCAGAGATGATCAGATTAAAAACAAATCCCATCTATATGCTGCCTACAAAACATACCATTAAACACAAGAACACAAATTAATTAAATACGTTAAAAGTAAAAAGATATGAGGCTGGGTGTGGTGGCCCAGCACTTTGGGAGGCCATGGCAGGTGGATCACTTGAGGCCAAGAATTTGAGACCAGGCTGGCCAACATGGTGAAACCTCATCACTACTAAAAATACAAAAATTAGCTGGGCTTGGTGGTGCAAGCCTGTAATCCCAGCTACTTGGGAGGCTGAGGCACAAGAATTGCTTGAACCTGGGAGGTGGAGGTTGCAGTGAGCCAAGATCACGCCATTGCACTCCAGCCTGGGCAACAGAGAGAGATTCTGTCTCAAAAAAAAAAAAAAAGTAAAAAGATGGGAAAAGATATGCTACTACTAATCAAAAGAAAGCTGGAGTAGCTCTCTGAGTATCAAAGTAGATTTCAGGGCAGAGAATATTGCCCAGAAAAAAAGAGTAACATTCCAAGAGAAAATTATAATTCTGTATGTTTATATACTAAAAAACAGAGCTTCAACATATATGAAACAATAACTGATAACTGAGAAAGGAAAATAGACAAAGTCATAGCTATAGCTGAAGTTATTCAACATTCTTCTTTTAATAAGCAACAGAACAAATAGAAAGAAAATCAGCAAGAATATAGTAGTCTGAGACAACCAATTAGACCTGACATTTACAGAACATTCCACCCAATAATGGCAGAAAACATTATTTCTCAAGTGCACACAGAACATTCACTAAGATAGACCATATTCAGGACCATAATACAACTCTCAATAAAGGAAAACAATTTAAATCACAAAGTATGTTTTCTTATCACAATGGAACTCAATTAGAAATCAATGGCAAAGTACTAATTGGAAAATTCCCAACTATTTGGAAACTAAATAACTCCCATGGTTCAAAGGAAAAATCATATAATCTACTTCTAAATAATCCACAGGTCAAAGGGGAAGTCAAAATGGAAATCAGAAAGTATTTAGAACTGAATGAAAATTGAAAAACAGCATATATATCAAAATTGTGGGATGCAAACGAAGTAGTGCTAGGAGTGAAATTTATAGCATTTAAACAACTATATTAGAAAAGAAGAAAGGTCTCAAATCAAAGACCTAGGCTTCCACCTTAAGAATCTGAAAAAGAGGCCGGGCACGGTGGCTCATGCCTATAATCCCAGTACTTTGGGAGGCCAAGGTGGGTGGATCACCTGAGGTCAGGAGTTCGAGACCAGCCTGGCCAATATGGTGAAACCCCATTTCTACTAAAAATACAAAAAATTAGCTAGGAATGGTGGCATACGCCGGTAATCCCAGCTACTCAGGAGGCTGAAGCAGGAGAATCACTTGAACCCAGGAGGTGGAGGTTGCAGTGAGCTGAGATCACACCATTGCACTCCAACCTGGGGGCCAAGAGCAAAACTCTGCCTCAAAAAAAAAAAAATTGAAAAAAACATTTTTTTGAAAAAAAAAATTAACTCAAAATAAATAGAAGAAAGGAAATAATAAAGCCCCAAGCAGAAACCAATGAACTAGAAAACACAAGCAAAAGGGAGATCAATGAAACCAAAAGTTAGTTATTTGAGACGATCACTAAAATTGATACACTTCTAGACAGACCATTCAGAAAAAAAGGCAGATGACTCGGGTGAAATCCTTGTTCTGCCTCTTCCCAGCCATGTGGCCTTGAGAAGTTCTGTTTTATTTTTCATCTTTCAGAGGCTCACTTTCCTCATTGACAAAATGGAGAAAATAAATTCATCCTCAAAGCTGTTGTAAGAATCAAAAGCTTTTTAAGTAGTTTCCCCAGGACAATGCTACACACACTGGGAGAAAGGAGACGGCAGCCCTACACTGTCAACCCTACACTGTCAATGTTTCTCAAGTTTCTGTACATTACAACGTTTTGACATCTTACAAGAATTTTCTGGCTGTGGAGAGACTGCCTTCAGGGTTAGGCAAGTCTTAGAGACAAAAGCAGCCCTAAGTATGTCTCCGATATGCCAGCTAACCCCTCGGGAGCCATCCTTCCTCCACCTGCCTGGCCTGCACCCCAGGAGGCAAGATTTTTCTGCCTTACGCCTGAAGCCCACCAAAATTCCTCCAACTGCCAGTCCTAAGCTGGTCACCTTTCTTCACCTTGCCTTTATCTTGAAAACCTCAATAAAGGCTGTGGCCTAAACCACAGCTTTGGCTTCTCCTCCTGGCCACCCTGGTGTCCTCTGACATGGCCCTACATGGTATGCTGTGCCTCCTGTCTCTAGGACCTGTGAGTACAATAAACTGGTTTTCTTCCTGAGCCTTTCTCGGTCTCCCCTTGTGGTCGCACCTGACTCACCATCTCATAAAGTAATACGAAACAAGTCTCTAAGAAACATGGGGTCTCTAAGCAGTTCCAAAACTTTGACTTCTTTTTTTTTTTTTTTTTTTTGAGACGGAGTCTCACTCTGTTGCCAGGCTGGAGTGCAGTGGTGCAATCTTGGCTCACTATAACCTCTGCCTCCCGGTTCAAGCGATTCTCCTGCCTCAACCTCCTGAGTAGCTGGGATCACAAGCACACGCCACCACATCTGGCTAATTTTTGTATTTTTAGTAGAGACAGGGTTTCGTCATGTTGGCCAAGCCGGTTTCGAACTCCTGACCTCAGGTGATCTGCCTCCCTCAGTGTCCCAAAGTGCCGGGATTACAGGCGTGAGCCACCATGCCCAGCTTCCAAACTCTGACTTCTAAGGTGATCTGGGCATGCGCTGAATAATACAGATTCTGATTCAGACATCTGGGGTGGGGCCTGAGATCCTGCCTTTCCAGTAAGCTCCCAGGAGATGCCTAGTGCCCAGGCTGCTGGTCCCAGGCCACACTCTGAGTCTCAAGGTTTAAGACAACGAAGCATAGGCCGGGAGCAGTGGCTGAGGCCTGTAATCTCAGCATTTTGGGAGGCCGAGGTGGGCAGATCACTTGAGGTCAGGAGTTCGAGACCAGCCCGGCCAACATGGTGAAATCCCGTCTCTACTAAAAATACAAAAATTAGCCTGGTAAGATGGTGGTGCACGCCTGTAATCCCACTTAATTGCGAGGCTAAGGGGGCACAATCGCTTGAAACCAGGAGGCAGGTTGCAGTGAGCCAAGATCACGCCATTGCACTCCAGCCTGGGCAACAGAGTGAGACACCATCTCCAAATAATAATACTAATACTAATAATACTAATAATAATAATAATAATAATAATAAGGTAACAAAGCGTTTTCACTATTTCACGGACAACTGAACTAAAGCTCAGGAACTTCGGAAGCTACTCTGCAAGTCTAAGCCCAGGCCAGGCTGGGACTGGAAGCTGGACATCTCCACTCTAAACCCAGTGTCCTCTGCACCCTACGAGGCTCTCAGTGTTCACCACGGCCTCAAGTCTGCTGAACAGGATCCAGGGAGAGACCACAGGGAACCGACCAGCCTGGGCAGGAGGAAGTGACTCAAGAACTAAATCCAGCCACCCTCTCTCTCCTATGGCTGTTGGATTTTGCAGCCCCCCAACAGCAAGGCCAAGCTCGGGCTGTTCTGAGCTTAATCTGTCCCCTCAGCTCTGAGAAGGTTCGGAGTCACCTAGACTTCCTGACCTTCCTGGGTGTGCCCTCCTCTCTGGGCCTCCCTGCCCGGTGCTCAGCCAGGGGACCTGTGCCCATCTTGGATGTACTGATATAAGAGGCTTCCACCTCCCCCAGGGCGGTCCTTCACCTGCTGACAGCCCTGCTGCTCCTCCCACAATGCAGCCCTCACCACCCCTTTCTCAGAGGACCCTTGGTTATCTGTGGCTCAGCCTGCAGCCTCCACCCCTGAAGCTGAAGTTGGACCCCAGCAAGTTGCACAATTCAAACAGAGCCTGTTGGTCTCCGTGGAATTTGCTTTCTCTCCCCAGGAATGGCCAGTAGACTGGGTTTCTCCACCTTGGCACCACTGACATTTTGGGCCAGATCACTGTTTGCTGTGGAAGCCTGTGTACTGTCAGGGGTTGAGTGGCATCCCTGGCCTCTCCTCACTAGTTGCCAGCAACTGCCTTGCCCAGTGGTATCCACCAAAAATGTTTCCCAACATTGCCAAATGTCACCAGGGGGCAAAAGTGCTTCAGGGTAAGAACTACCAGAGCTGGCCAGTTCTCAGCTCTGGCTGTGCGTCAGTTCTCAGCTCTGGCTGCATCAGAACCCACCGAGTTTGGTTCGGAGTTTTAAATGTCCCAGAGTTTGGGTCAGGGGCGGTGGCTCATGCCTGTAATCCCAGCACTTTGGGAGGCCGAGGTGGGCAGATCACTTGAGGTCAGGAGTTTGAGACCAGCATGGTCAACATGGTAAAACCCCATCTCTACTAAAAATACAAAAATCAGTCGGGCGTGGTGGCATGCGCCTGTAATCCCAGCTACTCAGGAGGCTGAGGCAGGAGAATCACATGAACCTGGGAGGCGGAGGTTGCAGTGAGCCAAGATCACACCATTGTACTCCAGCCTGGGCGACAGAGCGAAACTCCGTCTCAATCAATCAATCAATCAAATAACATGTCCCAGAGTTTGGTGTGGTGTTTCATATGTCCCAATGCTCAAGTTACACCCAGACCAATGACATGAGACTCTCTAGGAGTGGGAGTCAGGACTCCCCAAGTGACCCCAACCTGCAGCCAAGGTTGCATACGATGTCAGCCAGAGGTCCCTCACCTGTCGTGGCAGACCAGACCAGCCCGTGGCTGAGCCGCACACCAAGGGGCATCTCAGGGTGGACGGGAGGCATGTGGTCCCGCATCAGCTTCAGCACCAGCAGCAGCAGCATGCAGACCAGCCCCAGGACGGCATCACCTACCCTGTGGACAGGCAGAGGACTGGTCACCACCCAGCTTGGCCCAGGCCTCCTGTTGACTCCAGCGTCCTGATGCTGCTTAAGCTGGGAGGTGCCAAGAAGCTCCCAGGGGAGGCCCAATGCCCAGGCTGGCCCCAGACGACAGCGAGTTTCAAGGCTTAAGGGAATAAATCATTTTCAATATTTTCGCTGTTTCACAGACACTTAACTAAAGCTCAGGAACCTTAGCAAGCTACTCTGCAAGACTAAGCACAGGCTAGGCTGAGATGTTTTCTCCTAAGCTGTATACATCCCTGTTCTACTTCAAAATTCAATTCAAAATTCAGTGTGCACAGGCTTGTGCAGGACGGGCAGTGGAGAGGCCTGGGTCACGATGGCGGCGGGGTGACGTGCTCACATTTTCACTCCCGAAGCTCTCTGGGACTCAAGTCTGTGGCTCAGGATCTGCTGAGTGACCACAAGGAACGGGACCAGCCTGAGCAGCTCTCTGCAGGTGGCTCTAGAACTAGAACGAGTCTGCCACACCCACAGCCTGCGGGCCATGTGCAGTCTGGGAGAGTTCTGAACGTGGCCCAACACAAATTTGTAAACTTTCTTAAAACATGATGAGCTGGCCGGGCGCGGTGGCTCAAGCCTGTAATCCCAGCACTTTGGGAGGCCGAGACGGGCAGATCATGAGTTCAGGAGATCGAGACCATCCTGGCTAACACGGTGAAACCCCGTCTCTACTAATATACAAAAAAAATTAGCCGGGCGAGGTGGCGGGCGCCTGTACTCCCAGCTACTCGGGAGGCTGAGGCAGGAGAATGGCGTGAACCCGGGAGGCGGGGCTTGCAGTGAGCTGAGATCCGGCCACTGCACTCCAGCCTGGGCGACAGAGCCAGACTCCGTCTCAAAAAAAAAAAAAAAAAAAAAACATGATGAGTTATTTAGGTGATTCTTTTTTCCAGCTTATCAGCTATCATTAGTGTATTTTATGTGCAGCCCAAGACAGTTCTTCCTGTGTGGCCCAGGGAAGCCAAAAGATTGGACACCCTGCTCTAGACATTCTAGAAGGCTTAAGAATAAACAGTCAGTAAGGCCCCTTTTCCCTCTGACAGTCTGTGATGTTCTCTAACTGGTCAGGCTCCATAATCACTGCTCCCCCATCCGGCCAACCCCTGACCACTGGCGCCTCTGAAGGGTAAGGAACCCACTGGCCTCCAGCTGGGTTCAGCCGCTGGGAAGCTTTGGCAGCAGGTCAGAGGGGAGGGGAAGATGGTCCAGGATCGCCCCCACTCCCTCCAGGCCACAGCACCGGGCAGCCATCTCTACAGCTCCCCCAGATCACTTCCTCCTCCAGTCCCTTCCACCCAGAGAGGTAGAGAGGTATCCCGCCTTCCCGCTGGATGGTCTGGCAGGGAGGTACCCCTCATCGGAGGCTTTTTTTGGAGATGGAGTCTCGCTCTATCACCCAGGCTGGAGTGCAGTAGTGTGATCTCAGCTCACTGCAACCTCCACCCTCCTGGGTTCAAGTGATCCTCCTGCCTCAGCCTCCCGAGTAGCTGGGACTACAGGCGTGCACCACCACATCCAACTAATTTCTGTATTTTTAGTAGAGATGGAGTTTCACCATGTTGACCAGGCTGGTCTTGAACTCCTGACCTAAGGTGATCTGTCTGCCTGGGCTTCCCAAAGTGCTGGGATTATAGGCATGAGCCACTGTGCCCGGGTGCCCGGCCATCAGAGGTTCTTTAAACCACCTGAGGGAAGTGCTTGGGTCTCCTCATCTCTCATCACAGCCTCACCTGCCGTCCCTGCAGCAACTGCGTTCTGTCTGTGTTAGCTGCCCCATGCCCTGTGTCCTCTTCCTTCACAAATCACAACCCAGGAGAGACACGCTGCCTTCTTTTTCTTTACCCAGCCTCTTCCCATTCCTGTCCCCCAAGAAAGCTTTGTGGAGAGAGGAACACTGCCTCTCGGCTCCCCAGAGCAGAGCTTCTTGAATTCTCCCCTGCGCACAGACCATGGGCCTCCTGTTAAAACAGTGGCTCTGACAGGCAGGTCTGAAAATGGCTGAGAGTCTCATTTCTTGCCAGCTTGCAGGTGCTGCTGAGGGGCTGCTCTGGGGACCCCTGTCTGAGCAGCCACCAGCCGTGGAAACTGAGGTGGGGGCTGGCAGAGGAGGTGTGGGAGGAGGAGCTTCCTTATAGGAGGGAGGAACAAAGCCCGGGGTACCTGGTCTCTGCGATCCTGAGGAAGGTGTGGTACACCTGCAGGAAGAACTGCCTGGGGATGTTCTGTAGTCCCAGCAGGTTCTGTCCAAACACAGAGATGCTGATCAGAGGCCCTGCCCCCAAACCAAGGCCATCTGGCCCCAGCTCCCCGCCCACCTGCCCCACAACCCCCATCCCAGACCCTCATTCCCAGGGCCCATCTTAGGGGCTCAGGGGTCCATCTGCCCACTCCCAATGCCCCCTAGGGCAGGAGATCAAAGCTACCCTCGGGGGACACAGTACTTCACAATTACTGGGTCAGTGATATGTTTCTCTAAATTACTTTTCTCATAAAAAACAGTGTAGGTGACCCCATAGCAGGGAGCCCGGTTCTACAGCTTGATGGCCAGGGGCCATAGGCTGCCCAGCCCCACCCCCCATTGGCTCGAGGCAGCTTGGTGACCAGGCCCCCTGCAATGTAGACCCTTGCTGCCACTGGCTTGAGAATGCCTCCATTACTAGGTGCCCCACCACCCCCCAGCCCTGCCGCTGCGGAATCTTCGCGGCGCACAGATGTGGAGGGCTCCCAGAGGCTTCAAGAAGCTGGGCTGGGGAATCCTCAGCCAGGCAGGAATCTCCCACCATGATGCCAGCTCTCAGGGGTCCTGGGCGGGGGAAGGCACTCCATCCTGTGTTTCAGTTTAGTTTTTTTTCTTTGGCGGGGTGGGGGGGTCTTGCTTGCTCTGTGGCCCAGGCTGGATTTGAACTCCTGGGCTTCAGTGATCCTCCCACCTCGGCCTCCCACGTAGCTGGGATCTACAGTGCAGGCACAGCTTGTGCTTTATTTAGTTCTTTACGTCGCCTGAGACCCGACAGGAGTCAGAGGGGAAAGTCGAGGCCCCGGCTCCCAGGGTCACAGGCTCAAGGACCCTGCCCTAAAACGGCTGCGCACACGGTGGGTGGGGTTAGGACATCCTGGTGGCTGGACTCTGGGACTGCTGGGGTAGGGGCTTCTGTCCTGAGCATGTCAGGGGACGCCCTCCCCCCAGATGGCTGCAGAGTGCCTGGGCAGGGCTAGAGTTGCCAAGTATGAAGGCCTGAACAAGGCACTCTCCACTCTCACTGCGATCCTAAAAAGAACATTCTTGATACCAAAAACGATGTTTCCAGAATAAAGAACCAACCATGCCCTGAAACAGCATTTGCCAAGCTAACCCTGAGAGATGTGTGTAGATAACGTACAAATCACACTCACCCACACCTAAGTTGGTCCCTCCTCTCTAAAATGGAAATAATGACGCACCTACCTCCCAGGGGTGTGCTGAGAATTACACACGGAGAGTGTCTCGCCCAGCGCCTTGCACGTAGCAAGAGTGCAAAAAGTGTCCAATCACACACGCACTCTCACATACGCACACTCTCACATATGCACTCTCACACATTCACACACTCACACTTTCACACTCACACACACCCTCTCACACTCTCACACTCACACTTTCACACACTCACACCCTCTCACATACACTCTCACACTCACACTTTCACACTCACATACACTCAACCACACACACATACACACTCTCACATACTCTCACACTCTCACACTCACATTCACACACTCTCACACTCACACTCTCACACACACACACTCACACACACACACACACTCACACACACATTCTCCTGTCCTTGGTCTTCTCATGGTGCCTCCATCAGGGAAGACTGTCTCAGGCTAGCCTGGAGCAGAGCCTGGCAGTGACACAGGGTCAGGAGGCAGCATGTGACCCCAGTCTGTCATGAGGGCCACACAGCCCCATCTATGGAAATGGGCTTACTTCACACACACCCAACTGAGCACCCCCCTACTGCAAAAGCCCAGTGCTAGGCGGCCATGGCTGGGAGAAGGACAGTTCCTGCCCTCGAGGAACTTACAACCCAGCAAAAAGAGAATAAATTACACCCTCAGCTGATGACTGACTTTAGAGCTGCTTATAGATGTTTTAAAAGGAAATATAAAATGCATGGCATTTAAGAAATATTAAATAGAAACCAGGGGGGAAAAAGGCACAGAACGAAACCATCTAGCTAAATCAGCATGGGTAAATAATTTGCTTGTAGAAATTCTAGCAGCGTGCTCGTGACCGGTGGGGCCTGCTGGATGTGCCCAGTGCAGGGAGAACAGAGCCACGTCACAGAGCCAGCCAAGCACACTGGCACAGAAACTCGGGCAAGAGCAGGGGGATGGAATTACCGGCCCCCAAGTTACCCGCTGTAAAATCCAACCATCACGCAACATCCCTCCCGGGGGGTCATTTATTAACAGGGGACCTGTGAGAGCACCGCGTGCTTCTTAACCCACAGAGGACAACCTGAAACAGCAAGACGTCCACTGACCACAGGGGTCAGGACTGGCCTCGGTTCTGCTCCCGCTATCCCTGAGCCAACAAGCAGCAGCCGAAGAGCAGTGTCCTGGGTGGGCACTGTGCCTACCTTGATCTGTCCAAAGCCGATGGTGACTGTAGCGGCAGAGGTGAAGCCTTTGATGACGGGGCAGGAAATGAAGTCCAGCAGGAACCCTGGCCGGCCAAGAGGGAACACCAAGCTGGTCCCAGCTCCACCCAGTCCCAGAGGATGAGGGGAGATGTGAGCTGGGGACACCAAGCTGGTCCCAGCTCCACCCAGTCCCAGAGGATGAGGGGAGATGTGAGCTGGGGACACTGAGCTGGTCCCAGCTCCACCCAGTCCCAGAGGATGAGGGGAGATGTGAGCTGGGACACTGAGCTGGTCCCAGCTCTACCCAGTCCCTGAGGATGAGGGGCGATGTGAGCTGGGGGAGGCGGCACAGGTGGGATTGGGGAGCAGACACTGCAGCTACGGACTGGGGGTAACACACCCTGCTTGGCTGTTCTTGGAGAGCAGAAAAGGGAAACTGGGGTCTGAGGCCACAGGCACTTCTCCAGAGTGTCCTGCCCTCTAAGCAGAAAAGAGTAGACTAAAGGCCAAGCGTCCCACCCCCTCTACCACCCACCCACCTACACACCAAAACACACACCCGCACCCACACCACACTCATACATACATACCCACACCCCCATGACACACACACACACCCCCACACCCCCACGACACACACACACCCACACCCCCACGACACACACACACACATACCCACACCCCCACGACACACACACACACACCCCCCCACGACACACATGGGGATAGACCTTGAAATGCAAACAAGGAAATGCTGAGGTCAAAGGCATCCCCTTGGCAAGAAGGTAGAGCCTCACCCAAATGCAGGACCCCCATGGCCAGCTGGATGCAGCCGGACAGGAAGGCCAGCAGCACAGCATAGGCAGGCTCGTGGAAGGTGTAGAAGGAGACCAGGAGGGACATAATGGCGGTGGGTCCCAGAGTCACATCCCGGGAGGTGCCCAGGAAGAAATAGACGAAGCAGCCCACGAAGGCAGAGTAGAGGCCGTACTGTGGGGAGAGACGGCGGTGAGCACGCAGGAGGCTGAGGCCTGTCCACCAGGTCCCTAGTGTGTGTGTCCAAGCACGGGATCTGTGGGTGCCAGCTGTGTCCCGGGCACCCAAGCACGCACAGGTGAGAGGTGCACCACCCTGCCCTGTGGGTGGACCTGCGGTGATCAGGAGGCCACTTCTTCAGCAGCACCCAACTGGGGGCTCAGGGTGCAGACAGCAAGGCAGAGGGTTGGTGCAGGCCCGTGTACTGTGTCCAAGTCTGAGGAAACATTCTTTTTTTTTTTTCCTGAGACAGAGTCTTGCTCTGTCACCCAGGTTTGAGTGCAGTGGCACGATCTCGGCTCACAGCAACCTCTGCCTCCCGGTTTCAAGCAGTTCTCCTGCCTCAGCCTTCCCAGTAGCTGGGATTACAGGTACCCGCCACTGCGCCTGGCTAATTTTTGTATTGTTAGTGGAGACAGGGTTTCACTATTTTGGTCAGGCTGGTCTTGAACTCCTGAGGCCTCCGTGAGTCATCTCACTGGCCTCTTCATAACCAGCTCAGTGTCTGTATGTGCCAAACAGGCATAGGAGCCTGGATCGGCCCAGAGACAGTCATGCGTCACACACTGTAAACCAAAGGTTCCTTGGCGCCCAGGGGCTGGAAACCCGTAATCTCTGCTGGCGTCTGGGATTGATACTGTGTATTCTGCACTGCTTCTGAGATGTGGCTGGCAGCAGGGTCAGACACCTCACCTGGGGCGGGAGTCCAGCCACTTCAGCATAGGCCAGTGCCTGGGGAATGGCAGTGAGGCCAACTGAGAGACCTGCGATGAAATCCATCTTCAGCCACTGCAGGGAGTAGTTCGGCAGCCACGCCAGGATGGGCAGTCTCCTCTGCACAGCCGCAGGCGAGCAGCAGCAGGCGCTGGAGGCCATCCCGGGGCCGGAGGACCTGGCCTGACCCAGAGCCGTCACCGAAGAAGGCATCCCTACGGTGGGGCTGGGGGGTGCAGGTGACATAGACCAGCAGTGAGAGCGTGGCCTTTGATGAACCCGGCAACACTGGTCAGGGTCGATGGGTGTCAGGAGGGGTCACTATGGGTCTCCCCTTCCCAGGGGGACTGAACCAGACGGCTCTGAGAGGAAGCCAACAACGTGCACAAGACTGGGACTGGGCCAAGACTGGAGGGCCCACCCCGTCCCTCATCACTCTCTCTCCCTGAATCCCCCCTCCTGTGCAAATCCTGGGTGTCTTCTGTCCCTTCATCCTCAACTCTCCCAGATAAGAAACTGATAAGTGATTTCTGATTGAGAAGTCTGAAGACTAATTAAGCTCAATACTTCTGGCTCCTGGAGAACCGGCTTCCTTTGCCTTTTTTCCCCTCTCCCCAGGGAATTTAACAGGGAGAGAAGCAGGGCCCGCGGGCGCACCCTAGGCTGGCGGGGGGTGCGGGTGACAGCCGGGAGATCCGGAGGGGTTCCGAGGTTTTCCAACTGCGCACCAAGGCGGGCTCCACCCACTACGGTGGACTGCGGCGCTCGTGGGGGGCTGGGGGGCGGTCCTCGGCTCCTGAGGCCAGGCCTCGCTCAGCCCCCACCTGTGGCTTTCAGAGTCCTGGAATTCTAGTTGCTTCTGGGAGGGCATCAGAGGCGCCCGGTTAATTCAGGTGCGCAGCATCTTCCAGGGCCCCGGCGCCAGCGCACAGAGCTGCCACCCCCACCCCGCCACGCCCCCGGCCGCTCCGGGCAAAATCCACTGCCCAGCCCCCGGCCCCGCCCACGAGGCCGCTGGCTCCGGATCCTGGGGTCTCCGGAGGACCGCGCCACCTGACCGTCCGCGGTCCCTTGGCCCCGAGCAAGGCCAAGGGCCGCGGCGACCCGGGTGGGGACGCGGCGGGGGAGTGGTCGCCACGGGAGGCCCCCGCACTTTCGGACTCCGCGCTGGCCCCCGCGTCGGCTGCCCCGGGCGACCCCGGCCACCGTCCGCACCCCCCGCCCCTGGTCCCCGCTCGCCGCCCTTGCGGGCCACGGACTCACCCACTCGGCGTTGCAGCTTGGGGGTCTCCTGGCGTCGCCGCAGCCGGGTCCGCAGGAATCGCCCGGGACAGGCCGGGGCGGGGTCTGGCGCGCTCGTGACCGGGGGCGGGGCGGGGCGGGGGCGGGGCAGGGGCGGAGCCGAGCGAGAGACCAGAGCCGGGGCGGGAGCGGGAGCCGGAGCCGGAGCCGGAGCCGGAGCCGCCGCCATGCGCCGGCCCGGGCCCGCCTGCTGCGCGCTGCTGCTAGTCCTGGGGCTCTGCCGGGCGCGCCCCCGGAACGCACTGCTGCTCCTCGGTGAGTGCCGGCGCCGCCCCCCCACGCCCACCTGCTGTGGCCCGCGGAAGTGGCCACTGGCCTCCTCCCCACCCGTGGTCAACGCTGACCCTAGTGTGCCCTGCCCTTGTATCCCCACTGCCATTCCCTCTCGTCCTCCTCACTGTGTTGCCCCCAGACTCTTCATGAGTGTCTCCCCAGAGAGGGCAGCAAGGGCTGGAGGGGTGAGCCCCAGCATCCAGCACCCCTACATTTACCTCCTGCCGCTTGTCCCCACCCTCCTCTGACCCTGCCCAGCCAGGGTTCAGGGGTCCACGGATCCCAGATCGCTCTCGGGAGGGGATTCCAGAGGAGGGACTGGTGCTCAGGTCCCCAGAGACTGCAGACAGGATGCCCTCCTGGCTCTGGCTCTCATCTCCTCCCCGCTGCAATCTTTTCCGACCCCATAGGCTGTGGCTCAGCTATGTCCCAAGGGCACAGCCCTCCACCACCCACCCCCAATCCCAGTCCCTCTCAGAAACCCCGGGTTCCTCCAGCGCAAGCACTGTGTTGCTCACAAGACTTCCGGTTTGGGTAATCAGGGCTCTGGCCCATGACAAGTGACGAGGCCAAACCCAAGGCCTGCGATTCTTTCCCCTTCTGAGGTCTGGCGCTCTGCCAGGTGCCCTCTTTCTGATTAATTTTGTGGTCTCTGGGCGGGGGTTCGGCTCATTGTAACATAAACAGCTCTCCTGCCAACTCCTCGCCTCCCAGAAACTCAGCAGAGAACCTGCATGGATCCTCATCTGCGTATGAGGATTCCTACAGGAGGCTTTCAGAGCCCAGGCTATGCGGCCACTGGGCTAGGGCCTGTCTTAGCACGGACTGCCATGGATTGGCTTAAACAGAAATGTATTTCTCACAATTCTGTGGGCTGAAAATCCAAGGTCAGGGTGCCAGCTTGGTTGGGTTCCAGTGAGGGTCCGCTTTCAGCTTACAGGTGGTCACCCTCTCACTGTTTCCTCACATGACAAGTGGATGGGGGTGGTCTCACTTCCTTTTCCTTTCTTTTTTCTTCTTTTTTTTTTTTTGTGAGACAGGGTCTCACTCTGTCACCCAGGATGGAGTGCAGTGGCACAATCACAGCTTACTACAGCCTCAACCTCCAGGCTCAAGTGATCCTCCTGCCTCAGCCTCCCAGGTAGCTGGGACCTCAGGTGCACATCACCATGCCCGGCTAATTTTTGTATTTTTTGTAGAGACAAGGTCTCACTGTATTGCCCAGGCTGGTCTCGAACTCGTGGGCTCAAGCGATCTTCCTGCCGTGGCCTCCAGGGTCCTGGGATTACAGGCATGAAACACTGCACCTGGCGCTCTCTTTATTTTCTTATAAGGCCGCAGTCCTGTCAGATCAGGGTCTCATCCTTATGAATCATTTAACCTCAATTAAGGACCCTGTCTCCAGATACAGTGATGTTGACATCAGGGCTTCAGCGTATGAATTCTGGGAGGACACAGTTCAGTCCACAGCAGGCCCACAGCCAAGTGCCGAGCAACTCTGGGTTTGGAGAAGGGCAGCTTTCCTCCTGGCCTGTGGGTAGGGGGGTAGGGAGCACAGCCCATCCCCCTCTCCCTCCGGGTTTACCTGGCTGCCATGCGCTCATACCCCGTGGGCACTGTGGGGTGGAGGACGGGAGCCCAGCTGGAAGGTGCCCAGCCTCCTCTGCCCGTGGACCTCTGAGGGAGACTCTGAGGGAACTGGGGAAAGTGTTGGTCCTGAGGGCTCCCACCAGCCTCTCCTGTGGTGCCCCCAGTGCCCTCTACTCCAGAGCAGGGGGAAGAAGCTTGGTGTGGTTGTGGGAGTTCAGCGGCCCGTCCCTGTTTCCCGCTGCCCAGTGTGTGGCCTTGGGCACTGCACCTCACCTTTCTGGGCCTCAGCTGCTTTGTGGAGAGTGAAAGCGTTGAAATAGACAACCTGCAAGGTCACTGGGCCTTTGAGATGGCATCAGTGAGAAGCAGCGGTGGGACGCACACACATAGATCTTTAGACGTGCCCTGGGTGAGGCTCCATGCAGTTTCTGCAGAGCCCAGAATTGCCCAGCAGTTCGGTGGCCATGCATTCAGCCACTGTGGCCATGCGCGGCTGTGGAATGCCCGGCTGTGGCCATGCATTCGGCCACTGTGGCCATGCGCGGCTGTGGAATGCCCGGCTGTGGCCATGCATTCGGCCACTGTGGCCATGCGCGGCTGTGGAATGCCCGACTGTGGCTATGCATTTGGCCACTGTGGCCATGCGCGGCTGTGGAATGCCCGGCTGTGGCTATGCATTCAGCCACTGTCTGCCTAAATGCCTAGCCAGCTAACATGCCTATCCAGGTGGCATGCCTACTGGGGTATCATCAAGCTTGTTGGGATATCATGCCGACATGAGTATCTTGCCCACTCGGGTACCATGCCTGCCTGCTAACATACCTACGCAGGTACCAGGCCTGCCTGGGTACCATGCCCATCTGCTTATACCCCCCAGCTGTCAGTTCAGCCTGTGTACCGTGCCCACCTGCCAACATACCCACTGGGTATCATGCCTGCTTAGGATATCATCAAGCTTATTGTGGTATGATGCCCACTTAAATACCATGCCTGCCTGCTAACATACCACCCAGGCATCATCCCTGCTGGGTACCAGTCTACCTGCTAACATACCACCCAGGCATCATCCCTGCTGGGTACCAGTCTACCTGCTAACATACCCACTGGGTATCAGGCCTGCTGGGTACCATGCCCACCTGCTAACATACCCACCAGGTTTCATGCCTGCTGGCCACCATGCCTGCTTGCTGATATACCCACCAGGTATTGTGCCCACTAGGTACCATGCCTTCTTGCTAACATACCCAGTGGGTATGGGGTCTTCTGGGTACATGCCTGCCTGCTAACATACCCACCAAGTATCAGACCTGCTAACATGCCCTCTGATATCACCCTTGCCTGATGTACCCACGCGGGTGTCATGCCTCCTAGGTAATGAAGTGCTCTGTCAGAATAGCGTTTCACGATGAGTGTTCACGCTGAGCCAGTACCATGCCCACCTGGGTATCTTGCCTCCTGGCATCACAGCCCCAGCCTCCCTCACTCCCAGTGCTGTTTCTCATGACCGCAGCCCACCATGTGCTCTCTGTCTCCCACCTCACGCAGCGGATGACGGAGGCTTTGAGAGTGGTGCGTACAACAACAGCGCCATCGCCACCCCGCACCTGGATGCCTTGGCCCGCCGCAGTCTCCTCTTCCGCAACGCCTTCACCTCGGTCAGCAGCTGCTCTCCCAGCCGCGCCAGCCTCCTCACTGGCCTGCCCCAGGTGAGGTGCAAGGGCAGGAGGAGGGGATGGGCAGGGAGTAGACAGGCTCCGTCCGGGGCCCAGGCCTCTGCCACATCTCCCATCCCCGGGCTCCCTGGGGGTGTTGCCCGCTTTCCCTCCCACCTCCAGGAGGAGGCAAGAACAGCCTACGGCCGTGAGTGCAGACTAGGGGCTCCAACTCACCTACCAGCCCTGGCTCCACTGCTGTGTGTGGCCTTGAGCAAGTAACCTACCTCCCTGTGCCTCAGTTTCCCCATCTGTAAGATGGTGGGTATAATGAGATGCCACTCTAGTTATGGGGATTGGCGGGGCTCATGCTTCGTATGTAAACAGCGTGAGGCCTGTGGACTGAGTCAGCGTGACCCGCCATCGCCACAGTGTCCCAGGAACGCCATGGTGCGGGGAGTGGCTGCCGCTGGGCACACACACTCCTGTTTTATTGTGGTAAATGCACAAACATCGATGTTCCCATCTTAGCCATTTTTCAGCACACAGTTCCGGGGCATGAAGTGCATTCACATTGTTGTGCAGCCATCACCACCATCCACTTCCAGAACTTTTCCATATTCCCAGACAGAAGCTGTGTCCCATGAAACACCAGCTCCACGTTCTCCCTCCCTATCCCGTCTCTATGACTCTGACTGTTCCAGGGGCCACATAAGAGTGGAATCACACAGGACTAGTCTTTTTTTTTTTTTTTTTTTTTTGAGTTAGAGTCTCACTCTGTCACCCAGGCTGGAGTGCAGCGGTGTGATCTTGGCTCACTGCAGCCTCTGCCTCCCAGGTTCCAGCAATTCTCCTGCCTTAGTCTCCCAAGTAGCTGGGATTACAGGTGCACACCACCACACCTGACTAATTTTTGTATTTTTAGTAGAGATGGGATTTCACCATGTTGGTCAGGCTGGTTTTGAACTCCTGACCTCAAATGATCTGCCTGCCTCGACCTCCCAAAGTGCTGGGATTACAGGTGTGAGCCACCGCACCTGGCCCCCCTTTTGTGTCCTTACTTCACTCAGCACAATGTCCTCAGGATTAACCATGCTGTAGCACTAGTCAGAACTTCCCTCCACTTTAGGGCTGAATTATATTCCAGTGGATGGATGGACCCCGCATTTTCCTTCTCCATTTATCTGTCAGTGGGCACTTGGGTTGCTGCTACCCTTTGGCTGTTGTGAATAAAGCTGCTGTGAACACGGGTGTTTGAGGACACTTATTGTTTTTTTGTTTGTTTGTTTGTTTGTCTGTTTGTTTTTTGAGATGGAGTCTCACTCTGTTGCCCAGGCTGGAGTGCACTGGTGCCATCTCAGCTCACTGCAACCTCCACCTCCCAGGTTCAAGCCATTCTCCTGCCTCAGCCTCCCGAGTAGCTGGGACTACAGGTGCCCACCACCACACCCAGCTAATTTTTGTATTTTTAGTAGAGACAAGGTTTCATCATGTTGGCCGGGCTGGTCTCGATCTCCTGATCTCGTGATCCACCCGCC